TGCATTCCGGCGCTTGCGGAGAGAGTCTAGGCGCTGGGCGGAGCGATCATGAAGCTGCTGAATGGGAGAGACAAGTTTCAGACGTGCAAAAAGCGCTGCTGTAGTTTCACGAGTCTTATGCACAGGGTTGTGCGTTGCCGCTCGCACCTGTCTGGCATGCCATGAGCGGAGAGCCCGTGCCTGCCTACCTGAGAGACCAACGGATTCCAGGCCAAAAGTGGCCGTGGACCAGACGGTGGCTCTCCAGACAAGCAGCCTAGATGCGGTTTTTGTCCTGCGCTTATTGTGAATGAATTTGCGCACTGTCTGCTTTTTCTTCGCCGCTCTCTCTTGTCTTAAGGAATAGGTAAGATCTTCCGGGTTTGAGTAGCTGACCATGACCCCTAGATACTTGAAGGAGTCTACCAGCTCGAAGGAAGGAAGAGAGGGGAGAGGGGGAAGAACTGAGGAATTCGAAAGCAGAATTGGCCGTCTTGGCTGCTCTGGTGCATCTATATTCCAGACCGTGACCTTCCGGCCTGAGCGAAGCTCCTGTGACTTGAAGAGCTTCTTGGCCTGCTGTGCGTGGCGACCTGCCAGTTTGACCATGATGTTGCACTTGGCGTAATTCACCTCTAGTCCGGCTTCTTGCAGGTAGTGCAGTAACAGTCTAACCATGTCATGAGCCGCGTAGAGATCGGACCAGTTGTGGATGTCTCGGTGAATGACGAGGTCATCTGCGAATCCTGTGAGGAACTGCTGTATGGGAGGGTACCCTATGTGGGTGGCCATAAGCCGGAACGCCTCCGTGATGACCAGGGAGAAGAGAGAGGAGGCCAGTTTGCAGCCTTGCTTTATACCTCTTGTGGAGGTTACTGTTTCCTGGCTTCGTCCATAGCGCAGATTATACTGGGCCTCCCGATGGAGGGATGCAACCAGCTCGACGTCTTCAGGTGAGGCTCCGTAAGTAATTAGTGAGCGCAAGAGAGCCTCTCTGCTTGTTTTGTCAAAAGCTTGAGAGAGATCTAGTGAGAAGGTGAAGCCTCCGATTAGATCCGGCTTGCCCTTCGTGCGCTTGGGAGTGCAGAATCTGTCTGGTGCTCGGGATCGAAGCATGGCACGGACGCGCCTTGCGTGGCCAATTACCCGGAGTTGGGCATCGGCGATACCGCGTCCTGGAATGTAGGCAAATTGAGGGGAGGCAAAGTGGGCCTTCTTAAAGAGGGGGTCGAGCCTTCTCCTAGCCTCAGAGGCTATTCCTTTGCCATCTGGCCTAATGATGCCCAGCGGTCGCAAGTTCTCCGGCTTAGAGGCAGGTTTAGAAGGCTTGGGTATGAAGCTAAGGTCTGCTGACTTGGCCGTTGTGGGCAGCGAGGGTGGCTCGGCTGGATTCAGTGGTGCTGTGTTATGCTGAGGCTCGCGCTTCCCTTGGCAGGAGGTGACCTCGCACGCCGGATGGGTCAGAGCGGGAGGCGGAGGCACCGCTTCAAGATAGTCGCAGTAATTATTGGCCACAGTGGAAGCACAAAGGCGGTACATGGATGCTGGGGCAGATCCTTGCGGTACTGCCTTTTCCGGCTTTATAGAGGCTATGCCTTTGGACAGACTACCTTTGTCCAGCTTGGGCAAGGCTTGGCCTACGCCACTGGCTAGGGGGGGATGCGAGGAGAAGATGGAAAGACTATGTCTCTTCAACTCTGCCAGCCCCTCAGACTCAGTTAGGATACGGCCGCACGGCGATCTGAGGCAGACTCTAGGTGCAGGAGACCAAGGAGCTACATGCCTTAAAGAGCGATATGCCGCATGTGGATCTCGTTTGACCTTCTCAGAAATCTCTGTCAAAGTGCGATGAGTCCTTTCTCGGGCCTGATTCTTTATCTGGATGGCATGTGCCTTGGCTGCCTCGTCTAGCGAGCGCTGAGCCTGTTTGAGGTGCTCAGTGCGAGCCATCTTATTTATGACGTCATCCTCACGTTTTAGGTTCCGTAGTGCAGTCTGCCGATGGTTATGAAGCCGCCACAGAGGTTGTGCTGTCGGAGCTGCGTCTGAGCTGCCTTCTTCTGGGTCCCTCGGCTGGAAAGTCTTGGCGTGTTCGAGAAGAAGCTCGTTGACCTCATCAGGGTGAAGAGGCTCTCCATTCTTCTGCGCTCGAAGTTTGTCGACATCCTGTGCAACTTGCTTCCGCAGGGTTTGAGCCAGAGGAGTGTTTTGTCTAACATGGTGGGCCAGTAGGGACTTTTGTTTGGAAGGGACTGCCGGTTGAGTTCTGGTCGAGAACGGGTGTCTCCAGACCTTCTTGAGGGGTACTGCCGTCCGGAGTGGCATGTGTTTGCCGCCTTTACGCCATGCTCCCAGCTTAAAGTCTTTGAGGACACACACTTTGCGGGCCAGCTGAGCAGCGTAGAATTTGGAGGTCAAGATGAAATCTATCTGAGAGCTGCCCTGTGGCGAGATGAAGGTGTTTGCCTTGCGCCCCTGCCATGTGTTAAGCGCAACTAGGGAGTTTCGCTGAAGAAACTTCTGGAACTGCTTTTGAACCGGCTTGTGTTTAGAAGATCCTGCTGGCACCACTCCCCCTACGAAGGGGGGATTTGGTTTTAGGGAAGAGTTGAAGTCGCCCGCCAGTACCGGAACAGTGCGCTGTGACAAGTTGGAAAGGGACTTGCTTAGGGAGGAGAGAACTTTGCTTTGGGTGGCATAGTGGTCCTGCTCCGTCATGCCTCGTTGCTTGGTATACTGGTAGCAGTTTAGCAGGAGCACTGGATGGCCTCGGACTTCGCAGTGAACCTCGTGAGCACGGCCTGGGTGTAGATCCTGCCAGTGTAGTGTCGCTGAGTCTATGCTAGGCGATAGTAGAGTGAGAACACCTGCAGAGCGCCTGTGCTTTGGCTGTTCGGGTAGCTGGGATGTTTGAGCGGGAGGAGACCTCACGAGCTCTTCATCCGGCAGCCCGCCTGAAACAGCCGTCCAGCCATGCACTTTAAACTGGGAGGATGTAGTCCAGTGGGTTTCCTGGATAAAGATAACATCGAGGTCCTGCTGATTTTGCAGCCACTCCTTGAACTCTGCCCACAATTGCTGGCTTAATCCACCTGCATTCCACGAGAAAACTCGCAGTGGTTTGGCTTCGCGACCGCCTCTAGGGTGACGCCTGCGCGGTTGCCTAAGAGGAAGCTGCGGTGCAAATTTAGGCCCGACGATAGGAGTGTTTCCGAATTAAACCCTCTGCCATCCGCTTGTTTCGACTGAAGTGCCGAAGCACGATCAGACTCCCCTCGTCCTGCGGAAAGACGAGAACCCTCACACTTAGGAGTGAAAGATGCAGTCTAAGACGATCTAAGTTCTCCCCCCGGAATTGGGACCGGGCCAGCTCGTGGATATGCTGTCTGCGGCAGAATCTCAAAATGCTTGGGGCTAAAGCCTCCAAGTGACCATCAGCTGGCAAGAGCTAGTAAGCCTTGAGATGTTAGGTGGGCCCCGAGAACTGTTAAAGAGATGAAGTTCGGGGCCTTGGCCGGTTCGACAGCTACCATGCGCGGGCGGCTTGAGCTGGTAGTGCTTAGCAGCAGCAGCAGCAGCAGCAGCAGCAGCAGCAGCAGCAGCAGCAGCAGCCTCGAGAAACAACGCCGGCCCTGGGTTTTCAAGCCCCTGTGCAGTGCACCGAGGGCCACGGGGTGGGACCTTCAGGGGCTTGTGGTTTTAGGGCTTTTAGGGTTTAGGGCTTGGGCAACTGGAGGGTGGGAATTGGGAGAAAGCGGGAGGTGGACGGACAACATTGCCATTTGGCTGGCCAAGCACAAGAAACCGCAGCCGCAATAGGAGTGAAAGCGTGAGAGAAGCCCACGTGCGCAATGCCTGCAAAAGAAGTCCGCGGCAACCACATTCATGATGATGACATGCTTGATCTGCTGCTGCTGCTGCGGCGGTTTGGATTTCAGAGTTTCAGGGTTCTTGAGTGATGGGACATGCAGGGGTTAGGATTGCAGGCAGGTTTCAGGGTTGGGGCTGAAGGTTCCTAGAGGGGGGCTGCACAACTTAGCGATGTGCAAGCAACATGCTACGAGGCTGTGATTTCTGAATCGTTATGATCATGATGTAGCGCTGTCATCCACAAGCAAGCCAACCTTTCTTCAGATCCTCCCTAGCGCGCGTGATCCAATGACATCGCTCGTCAAAAACCCAAGCGCGATTTGGTAGAATTGTTCAGAAAACCTATGATGTCGATGGGGAGTATCTGAATATCTCATATCTCAAGGAACCCAGCATCAGATCTGCGAGGTTTGGGGCGGAATTGGAAACCAGCAATGATGGGATGCCGCAGCTGCCATATGTCCATCATGGTAGACTGGACACTTGCCACTGTTTTTACGTCCTGACACCGCATCATCCGACTCACACTCAACCATCTGCGACTGTGACATCGCACAGCTTCACAGTGCTTCACGGGTGCATGCTCCCGCTCACGCCCTTGGAGAGGGCTCTGCTTGCAGTCGTGCCTTCAGCGACATCTGGAGGCATGCGGGAATTCGAAGGGTGAAGGCAGCTCCTCATCCTGCCCTTCAAGCCGTCTGGCTCGCACTTGCTCGCACTTGTTCAGGAGTGGGCAAGGCCCCTGAGAGATCTTTGGACCACTAGAAGTCGTCCGCCAGCTGCACAGAGTCATAATTTTAGAGCGTGCGGCATCATCTTCCCCACATTCGTGGGCGCAGGCAAGCTTCCTGCTGTGCGTGCATCCGGATGCCTCGCTGCCCAGTATGCGCGCGTGAACCAGATCATGTCCTGGGAGCCTGGCATCACCTCGACGGCCTCTTTCTGCGCCTCGGTGCTTGGAGCCGCCCTAAACAGGAAGCTCGGCCACCCAGCCCGCGTCAATCTGACTCAAGAGCCTTCTGAACTTCTGGCAAGGTCGTCCATTCAGTATAGGTGGCATGATGGGTGACATGATGCAGGAGTTATAGACGAGGCCCACACCAGGGTGCAGTTTCGCACCTTGCTAATGAGCACATGCGCGGCTCTGGATTTCAGTAGAGTAGAAGAAGGCGTTTCAAGTCGGGCACGAACTCGTGGAAGCTCGGCGACTGCAAAAACTCGCGCAGCTTCGGCATTACCGATGCATAGGTGCGCCTGGGGTCCTCGTCAACTCGCCAGAGCCAGATCAAGTCGTAAACCACGACGCTACAGATGCTAGAAAGGTCCAAGTCCAGAGCTGCGAGGGCGGCTAAGAATCTGACCGTCAGGGAGACCCACTTCTGCCGCTGACACTTCGTCATTGAGCGCAGTACCACTTGAAGGTGCACCATGAAATCCAGCACCGCGTCGTAGTTTAGTGGAGACGTTGATAGGCTCGCTTCAATGAAGCCCAGCATGGTGTTCGCGATCAGCTGCTGCACGTAAGGAAGGGCGCACTCCCCATAAACTAGAAGTGTCCGCAAGGCAGGTGAGTGCGCAATGTCGTCAGGATCGCGGCACTGCCGAAACAAGCTTCGAAGGTTGTCCTCAACAATGCGGCGCGTGTCACTGGCAGGTAAATGGGTCAATGTAGCACTGGCCAAGGCCATGCACCAGCGCCCACCTGAGAGGCTAAGGAGGGATGCTTAGAATTAGGTGAGGCCGACTGCGAACCTTCGGAGCGCCTTTTTGGAACAATTCTGGAAGAAGCTAACGTCACTAACGCCACTGGCACGCGTCAAGGCCCTCTGCGGCTAAACAGGGCAAGAGGCAATCGAAGAGCTTCTGCTGGCCGGCATGGTCAGCATCGAAAGCCTCTTGGTTCTTCAGCGCAGTATGCAAGGACACAGTGGCGGTGGACCTGCGCGTGACTCGCAAGACATGTCAAGCTATCCCGGAAACACCAAAAAACACCAGGAAACACCGGGAAGCAAGAGACATCTCAAGGCCTAGAATCCCCAGAGCAGATGCCTCTCCAAGCTGCCCATCTCAGCCACATGTGCCAGCAAAGCCTCAGCTTGCGCAGGGAGGAGGGCAGAGAGACAGCAAGAGAGAGAGAGAGAGAGAGAGAGAGAGAGAGGGCGAGAGAGAGCGCCGAACCTGCCTTCGGGTGTCTGGTCTCACGGGATGTCGTGCGCCAGCGGAGTATCTCTGGCACCTGGAGGGTGTGCACTCCGACGAAGATGACTCGGCATAGAACATCATAGAACCAATCCCACCAGTGAGCCACTCCACGACATCCTCGCAACCCTAGCTGCGTCTTTCAGGCAAGACACAGAAAGGTACTCCAGCAAGTTTGGCCTCAGGCTGCGCAGCAATTCTGACATGCCCAGCAACCCTTGGCTGCAGCTTGGCTGAATGTGGCAAGCAGCTTCGCGGCTTAGCATCACCATGCAAGCCAAGGCAGCCAAGGCACATCACGAGCGCAAAGGGGTTCCATAGGCACTCGCTGCACTCGACCTGTGCAAGGGATGAGTGCCAACACCCAGCACCCAGGAACCACCTGTTCCCCCACCACAGCATGCCCGATGTGGCCTAACACCTCCGCACAAAACCACCTGCAATGTCTGACCACCCCAGAAACGTGCGGAGCCTTGTCGAGGATGAGCGACTGGGCACCAGAAGCCTGCCCGAGACTGCAGCTTATTCAACAGAAGCAAGCAAATGCCATCGCAGCGAAAAGCATCGCAAACTCATCTCCACAACTCCGCTGCGTGAACTCCAAAGCCATCAGTGCCTCAACTCCAGAGCCAAGCTGTTCCCAGAGACCTTCATACTCTTCCACTATGTCTGGGAACCTCGGAACCCAGAAGTGTCGCGAACGCACTTCATGGCTATGTGTCAGACGTATGAGAGGAATGCAAACCGCACCTTGTGCATTCCACGGATTCTGCGCTGACCTTCGGGTGGCTGGCAACGTGAGCTGCACTTGCCCTTTGCGGCACAAAAAACGGCCGCCTCATCAACGGTGAACGACTGGGCATCGGAATATGCATCGGAAGCCTGTGACAGAAAGCAACAATACACAACAGCCGCACACAACCGCTCCTCTCGGGGGAATCCCGACATCTCCAGACCTTAGCCTTAGCCCATGGCGGCGAGATCTTAACAGATGGTCCTCTTTGATTCCGTATAACCGCAAAGCTTGGACTGGGGATGGCTCGGGGTCAATGCTGCGATGACAACTGCGCAGACCAGTCCCAAGAATCTGGAAAGGTCTTGTTTCCATCCCTCTCCCGCAGGCGTCAACCCTGCGAAGCACACGCTTTTACAAGGTTCTCAAGAGACGTTGGGCGCGAGGTCGTCCACAAGCAGTCCACAAGTGACGGGCTCCAACTCCCCGACGCACCCTATCCTGGTCATCCATCCCCGGTGCCTTTGGATAATGAGGACGCACAATGACAAGCGCATCGGTTCGCAAGATGGCAATCTACACAGATCATCCACGAGAGGCAATGGGTTCCCCAAGGGCAGTCAACATGTCATCTCTCGCGAATGGACAGGCATTAGTGGCCCGATCCTCCCCTGGTCGTCCCATCCTGTCCCATCCCGAACAAGGCAAGAAGCATGCATGCTTGATGCGCCTCGTTCAGCGAAGAAGTGCACGTCGTCCCAGGTGGTGCCTGAGGAAGTGCCTCTAACAGGAAGGAGTTGGATGGAGCCAGCCAGCGGGCTTGACACGTCAAAACCCCTCAATCCTGTCAAGGCCTCAGGCCTCCTCGTCGTTGACATCCATCCGATACATGTGGACCTTCGCCTGGTGAGCTGAGAGCTCACGCAACGTCGCCGGCTGAAAGGTGCATCTCCCCTCCTTGCGCCGACGGCGTTGCCTCTCCTCCAGACCTTAGCAACGCAGCGCGGGGCTTTTCGATAAATTGGGCGCGAATCAAGGCGGGACAGGACCCTTCAGGAGATGCCACCCATAAACAAAACAATTCTTGGCCCGCCACTTGTGGGTGCGGCCAACTTCTCAGGAGTCAAATCGACGTCCTGTCTTGGCAGGAATTCTGACATAAACAGACGGACACTCATACTGGGCTCTCAGAGCTATTCCTGTTTGCCGCTTGCCCCGCTCCTTTGCTTTGAGGCGCCGCAGTGGTGTGCGAGGCTCGTCCTGCCGAGACTGCTGCAGAGAACTGTGTGCCACGCGACGTCAGCAGCTGATACTGGGCGTAAGCACAGATGACATCTGAACTTTTTACTGAGTTCCTATAAGGCTGAAAGTGCAATTCTGTCACCCTGAAAGGCCTCTGGCACTTCAGTGCACGAAGGCTCCGAGGAAGCGAACTCGCAGGGCCGCGAGGCCTGAGCACTTGCAGGGCAAATGGAAGAGACTGAGTCAGGGAGGCAAAAGAGGCGTGCTACACCGCCAGCTGAGGCCAAGGCCACTTCCCGGGCGGCAACCTCCTGGCAAGGTTTGGAGTTGGGAGTAGCTGTCGCAACAGAGCCGTGCCACCCGCAACAACCAGGACATCTGCCTGCAGGAGTTCTGTGCGGAAGTTGCGCCACTCCTGGGGAGGAATCATGTGACTGGCTTGAACTTGTTGCAGCAGCGGGCGCCTCCAGAAGGGCCTTCTTCACCCCTTGTGTCACCTGCCAGGACAAGCGCTTATAACAAGCACTCTTGACATCCCGCAGGGCTCGTTCCGCAATCCAAGGCTGGGACTGCTGAAATCAAGTCCTCCGCCACTGCTGGTTCCGCTGGTCTAGCCTCCAAGGAGTTTTTTCAACTGCGGTGTCAGGTTGCAGAAACAGCCAGCCCGGCCTCATTGGCCTCATGTCCGCCCAGCAACTGCCACATTGGGCAAATGCCAGGGTCTTCTCCAGGCTGCTGTGACGGGTGCACGTTGAGCTATTCTTCCCCGAGCCACAGCCGCATAGACACGAGAACACATGGAAAGCTGAAGCACATGTTGAAAGGCTCTCTTGTTGTCGAGACGCGTGCACATGAGGCGGACATCGCTTTTCCGCTGAGTTGTTCCCAACCGATACAACGACGCGGATCGAGAGGCGGACTGAGACAATGGACACTGCCACATTTTTGACTCCAAAACCCGTCGTGCTTGTATGGAACTGACGCGTAACGCGTTTCTTTCCTGTTGCTTTCCACACTTGTTACTGCGCCAGCATGCGAGGCTTAAGTAAATTGCAGGTTTGCTGTGCTCGGCCTCGTAGGCAATGCAGCAACAGCGCAACAACAGCAACAGCAGATTCAGAAACATCCAGAGCACGCTGACCTTTTTCCTTGACGCCAAAAATCACACGCCCCGGGCATGTGCTGCACAGAACTGTGAGCAGCGCTGCGCGCTGATCGCAGCGCTGTGCAGCACATGCCCGGGGCGTGTGATTTTTGTTTTTGTTTTTTTGTTTATACTCACGCCCCCCAGGGGCGGAGGAGGGTGAAACGAAGGAAACCCATGCAGACCAGCACTGGGCGCCCTTCGGTGGTTCAACACTTTGGGTTAAAGTTAAAGGGATGTAGGGCTTAGGGTTTGGTGTTTAATGTTGGGCAGCTGCATAGGGGGACATCCCAAAAACCTCGGAACCCATAGCTGAAGTGGCTTCGGGCGCAACCCTGGTGATTGCTGCCCTCTCGGCACCTTAGCCTCAGCCTCGTCTGCAGCAGCATACCTGCTCGTCTACGGTAGATTCTCTACAAAGAAAAAGAACGAGTGTGAGAGAGTGAAAGGGTAGGGCAAGCGGGACAAGTAGGGCGAGTAGCTCTTCCGAAAGACCAGGCGATCCAAGTGGGGCAGAAACAGTTCGTGGATTTCGGTGGCGCTGGCAATGTGTACAGTCCAAAACCTTGACACTGCGCTCGTTGAACCTGAAAGCTGCCGCCTGCACCGAAAGAAATGTTGGACCTTAAGCATAATGGGTTTTAAGTGAAATTGTCAAGTGGTATTGGTTTGAAATGAGAATAGTATGCTGTGGCGGTGGGCGTTGTCGGGATTATAGTGGGTTCTGAAAAGGTTTAATTGCCGAAGGTTCAGTTTCAAAGAAATGGCGTGTGTGTTTTTCAACGCTCGAGCACCACTACAAGGGTTAGCTCTGGTTAGGAGGTGAATCAAACTTCTAATGAGACCCCCCCCTCCCCCCCAATTGCTTCAAAAACACCTCTGAGTTCAGCCAGCTCTTCGTGGCAATGGCCTCCAGTCGAATGCATGTGCCATCATGTACCCCCACAATCTGGCGGGCGCGTGACTTTCTGCCACGAGCACAGAAGCTTCTTCTCAATGCAACATTCCAACAGGCCTTCTTGGTAGCTCGAGCCTTCTCCAATTCGGCTTTGCAATCCTCCGAGCACAGCTGGAATCATTGCACAGGAAGGGTCCGCATAATTGTATTGCGAGACATGTGGTCCGTATGTGACCTTTCCTTCAACACAGACACGAGTCTCCAGACAGATGTGGCTACGAAAAGGCCGAAACATGCCGAAACGACAATGAAGAATCATTTTACTTCGAGCATCCCCACCCTCTGTGGTTTGGGCACTCCAGGGGCACTCTGGGGTTGGCACTCCAGGAACACTCTGGGGTTGGGCACTTGAGGGACACTCTGAGTTTGGGCACTCCAGGGACACTTGGGGTTGGGCCACCTGGCGTTGGGCGAGGAGTAGAAAGGGCGAGGAGAAGAGTTGAGTTTAAAATCTAACAACCCCACACCGAGGGTGGGAAAAAAAAAACACCATTTCGAGCATCCCCACCTGCCCCTAAAACCCAATGGCACGGAACGCTTTGCTGCTGTTTTTCACGCTGGCTCAAGGTCTCTGATCCGATGGAACAAGCATTGAGAGTGCGGGGGTTCGGGTTGAGGGCAGTATGCCCGGATTGCGTCTGTCAATTGTGGTGAAAGAAGATGATAACCTGCATGTTAAAAAATCTGTTGGGCCATTTGGTGGGGCCAAGGAAGCTGGCTGTCTGGCAGGTTCATGAGGGGGATGCTGCAACTCCGACATTCCTGACAAATAACATGCGCCAATAGGTAGGATCAAGGGTTGGGTGGGGGGAACAAGAGTGATGGAGAATGGGAACCCAACAAGAAGCGTCTGCCTGCAGCGAAGCAACATCTGAAAGTTTGCGACAGTCTTTGAAAGCTTACGCCTGAATCTTGATCGTGTACGGCCAGAAGCAAGGACAGTATTCTAGCCTCGACTTTCAGCGCAGCAGCAGCATATTTCTGGCTCATCTGCCTTCCCTGCAGCAAGCCGTCGAGAACGCCCAACAGCAAGTCACAGGGTAAACCAAACCAGGGCTTAGTTCTTACATCTGGGTATTTGCGGCCTCCAGAAAAGTTTAGGTCCATAGGTCCTTAGGCGGTCTTCGATAGTGGTCCTTCACCGGACCCAACAAGAGTAAGTCCGCCCTGCGAGCCTCCTCTTCTGCCTGCTCCTTCGCCTCGAGCTGTACGAATCGCCGCATCATACTACGAGTACCACAAAAGTACTTCGAAATTATGAAGACAAACCGAGACAGCGCAGCACAAGCACCTCCACAAACTTTTGACCATGCTGAAGGGCCTGCTTCATCGTTTCGGCGTCTGCATTGGACTTCTCCAGTACTTCCTTGTAGCCCTCCAATACGGCTAGAATCATTGAATGGATAGTGAAGAACAAGAAGCAGCACAGCGCAGTACAGTACATCTCCGTGGACAGAGACAGGCGAAACCCAGCGCAACTAAAACTTCTAACAATTTCTGAATCTTTGCTGCAAGAGACAAAACACAGGTTAAACCTATGGCCTCTTGTTCGGCAAGGGTGCCTACAACAACAGCACAGCACACCAGCCTCGAGATTGAATTATTGAACGAACAACGTCGAGTAAGATTCAAGGGCATCGCTGATCTTCCAAGCACAGTTGCGACCAACAAACGCCAGCAGCTCACGGGGTGTGCTGGCTGCCACACGGGATGTTTGCACCGCATCTCCCTTAGAACGGCATGGCCTGGAAACCCTCCCTCCCCTCCATCCCCTCACGCGGGAACGCTTTGTACATAAATCATTCCCTCCAGGAAACCCAAACTCATACCAGAAAGGCAGCTAAGCGGCTAAACACAAAGACAGGGCAAAACCAGACGAAATAACAATGCTTGCGCAAAAAGCATCTTAGGCTCGTGGTTTTCTGAAGTCTTTGCTTAATGATACCAAACTTTGTGTGCCTCTCGATATAATGACAGGCCGTAAAGAAGCAACAGCAGGCAGTCTTGACTTCCAGCATGGCTGTCGCATAGCTCTGCTTAGCCTGGTTCTGCAATGCTCAGGCACTATGCTATGCTGATAAACTGATGGAAATGACTTGGTCGGCCAACGCGCCTCCTCTTCCGCCGCCGTCTTTGCCTCTCAGTCGGGAAATCACACATACGCAGCGTACGCAGTGCCGCTACGGCTCCCAGTATGCTTGTTCAGCTATTGCTCCGCAGGAGGAAGGACAGTCGCTTTGACGCAAACAGCTGGGGCCAGCCTGCAAAGCAGCCAGAGCGGCAGTCAGTTCTTTCTGCTTCTCCTCCACTTGCATGACGTATGGACCACCGAAAGCCCAAGGTCAAAATGCTAGACGGTGCAGCTAAGCAAAGACTACCAAAAAGACTACCAAATGCAAGCCTGATGCTGGGAGTCCTTCAGCGTGGCCACCAGTTCCACATTGGCTGCCTCCAATAACTAAACAGCTAATGAGCTAAACGATGGCATGTCAAATTCATTCCGACACCCCACGCATCTCCATCGATACTTCACCAAAGGTTGAGGCCAATCCCTCCTGCTTTGGATCTCGGGCAGGCAACAAAGGCCCGATTTCGAGCCTCTGCTTTTCGGGCAACGGCGGCGGCATTCTCAAGTTCGGAGCGAATTTGGTGAATCTCTGCTTCGCTTTGTTCCAGCCTGCATTTGCACAAAGACCAGCCATGGCTGTCCAAGATGAAAGGCCGGCCTGGTCTGCAAATCCGACCGCTCTGCAGCAAGGTTGTTTTCGACCTCCAGAACGCGTGCCCCAAGAATGGTGACTTGGCATGGTTTGGCATTGGGATCGATGGGCATGGTTCCTATCTGACAGGAAAGGCCAAAAATGAATCGAATGCTAAAAACCTGTATGCTTACATGCTTCACATCGTGCCCGCAAAAGCTGATGGCGCAAGGCTGGCGAGATACATGCGGTGGCTCTGGCATGGTTCAAGCATTGGAGGTTGCCTTTCTATCGTACGTTCTCCTACATGTGCTTGAGTATGAGGGAAAGTAGTGCATCAAAGCGGAAGCAGCGACGCAAGTCACCTGCAGACGCTTCTTAGGTCACCGTTGGTCCTCGGTTGGCATAGAGTACCCTTGTTTTGCACTCAGGTTGTGGCCAATGACGTGCTCGGTACGCCAGCTGTTGACTCGCCACTGGAGCCGGCCACGACGGCCTAGTAACTAGTACGAGAATCCGTGGCCGTAGATAGGTCGCTTGACAATAATCGTAGAGGGCGAAGGCATGTCTCACTTCGGCTCCCGAGAACGAGGCCCCGACTTTTCGGTACCTACCGATGTCGGACCAGTCCTGCACACAATGATTGCCCTGCCCTGCCCAAACACGCCCTGAAACACCGTCCCGACCGTGCTAGAAGCCTCCAGAAAGTGCCCAGACCCTTGTTGCTCTTCCCAATTTCTCCGCCTGCGCCTCCATACCTCCCGAGCCCATCAACCCCGTCTACATTTCCGCCCTCCCACCCGAAACAAGCGCTGGGAAACACCGGTGGGAAACAAGCGGAACAAGCGCTACGGGAAACAAACGTTGGAAAATGAGCGGCAGGAAACCAGCGGTGGGAAGTAAGCGGAGGGAAACCAGCGGTCGGCGTGAACCACACATGGGAAACAACCGCTGGGAAGGGACATCTAGGAAATTGTGGAAACAAGTGATGGGAAACCAAAGGTGGGAAAAGGAACAAGTGGCGGGGAACAACGACGGCTTACCAGCGATGATCAGCGACGTCAAACAAGCGTCGGGAAAAAAACGGTGTGGGAAACAAGCTGGGAGAAACAAGCCGTGCAAAAAAAGTCAATACATGTAAGCATGCTACACAAATCCTTTTGTTGGTTCTTCTCTTGAAAATCAATGAATTTGTGCTGAGTTGCTATTATCTTCTTCAATGCTATTGGGATAGTCTTCAAAATGCACTTGTTCCTTGTCAGTATCCATCTTCATTATATCGATGTATTCTTTAGCGCCTTCCAAGTGCCATTAACTTGAACACTAGGTGAAGATATGCATCTTCTTCCAAACGAACCTCTGTAGCTTTTCAACTCTAAGTTTTAAATAAGCACCGTCTATCCTGTTGTATAGGTTCATTTTTTTGTGTTGGTTGTTGTTGTATTGCCACCGCTTTTGGTTTGGCCTTTGCCATTCCAACATTTAAGCGAGTATCTTAAAGACTTTGACGTTAAAGTTTGGCCTGCAGTCTTTCAAATTAAACTTTCTTGTTATTCATCCTGCCTGCTTTGTTTTCGAACTGGTATTCTACGTGTTTAGGTGCTTCTTCCTTAACATCAACTGTTTTAACCTTTGAACCTTTGGTTCACTGAGTGCTTCAATCTTGGTCACGGTGGTGAATCTGGCGCGTATTCATATACTGTGTTGATGACTTCTTCATTCATGCCTTCGGTCTCTGTTGCCATGCATAATACTCTATGCTACTTAAAGGTGCTGTTTATACTCTCATCTTTTTTGATTTATCCTGTTATACACCTACAGAAAGGAGACTTGTCGGAGCATAATGAACGTTAGTTGTTCTACCCTTCGCATCGGTACTTCAAAATCGTAGTCTCTTGAACGAACGGCTGGCCGGAGGTCTAGGGAACCTTAGAAAGGTCTACCCCGTTTATCCGGCCGAAATTTTGTTGCTCACAATGGGTACCCCCTGTACGCGATCGCGATCAGTGTGCAGCCGCGGGCGACGTGCTGGGACCAAGGAAGATCTTGGGCCCGCCCTCCGTAACCCCCCCCCCTAGACCGGCTCCGATCCGCCACGCCCTCAGCCCTGCCCTTCAACGGCATTAGCCTCGGACCCGTTGCCGAGGCGGCCTCGCGTTAGCGGTTTCTAAATTAATCAAACCTAGACGAGCAGTTGAATAATGACTTGATCACCGTCAACTCCATTCACAACATCATGGAAAACATCGAAGCATTAGAAAAGGATGTGGAAGAAAAATCAGGAACAAAAACACATGTAGCAACATGGTACAGTAAGCGTGTGCCATGTAACCTTTTTCATTCGGTTTATTGTCATGATAATTGATAATCTTTTTCGCTACACTATTAACCATCTGAAACATGAAAGAATAAGGGGCATGATCCACCGCTTGTTGATACATCTGATACAATGACCTCTTAACTAACGCCTAGTTTTCATCCAGAAAACTACTAACTTCATTCATACTTCAACCTGAAGATAAACAACGCCGATGCGTTCAACCTAATTTTTGGTGCTAATAAATTGTCCCGTGTAGATAGAATAAACGAGATGGCATTGTGCCTCCATCCAGTGAATAACCCGTGTAGTGAACCAGTTTCAGCTTCAACCCACAAAGCGGATTACAGGGGTCATAGGGCTTACAGAGTTCACAGGGTTTATAGGGATTTCAGGGTTTACCAGGGTTGCTGCTTATGGAGCTTTGGGGCTTTGTAGATGTTTGTAGGTTCAGGGGTCAACTGCGCGCGCCTTGATCTCCCCACCCTTGCCGCGGCCACCTCTGCCCATCGCTTCTGGTTCGACCTGACTTCCCAACCGTGAGAGGCGTGACACTTCGTGGAACTGCGAGCGGTTGCTTGGGTCTGAAGTGTCGTGTTTCGTGCCTTTGGACACAAGAGGCGCAAAGGTGCGCGGCAAGGCAGGCCAATGGCATGAAAGGGCTCAGTGCGATGGGGCCCGTTCCTATCGAAGCACTCGATACCTAGACCCTATAAAGCTCATCAAGCCTATAAAACCTACAAAGCCTTTCAACCCTCTGAACCCTCAAAACCTTCTCGACCCTAAACCAAGCACTTGCATCAACCTTCCAACGCCACCTCCTGAAGACATCGGCATCTTCAACCGCCAAACCACTGGCGCGCACAGTCCGCCATCATCTTACTGGTTCTTGTAGTCGAGAGTTAGGGAAGCGGGGTTTCCTGTAGAGATCCCTTGAAAGGCCTAAACGGGAGGGGCAAATACGTCATTCAAGTGCTCTAAGTGCTGCAACTCAGCTTTGGGCAAAAAACTATCCTTTGGGTGTGGGACGGCAGGGTTGCCCAAGCCCCAAACCCTAAAAGCCATAAAAACCACAAGCCCCCCTCGAAGGTCCCACCCCGTGGCCTCGGGTGCACAGGGGCTTGAAAACCCAAGGGCCGGCGGTGCTTCTCGAGGCTGCTGCTGCTGCGGTGTGGATTTCAGGGATTCCGGGTTCTTGAGTGACGGGACATGCAGGACTTAGGATTGCAGGCAGAATTCAGGGTTGGGGCTGAAGGTTCCGAGAGGGGGGGCTGCACAACTTAGCGATGTGCAACATGCTACGAGGCTGTGATTTCTGAATCGTTATGATCATGATCTAGCGTTGTCATCCACAAGCAAGCCAACCTGCCTGCAGATCCTCCGTAGCGCGCGTGATCCAATGACATCGCAACTCTCTTCAAAAACCAAAGCGCGATTTGGTAGAATTGCTCAGAAACCTATGATGTCTATGGGGAATATCTGAAAATCTCATATCTCAAGGAACCCAGCATCAGATCTGCGAGGTTTGGGGCGGAATTGGAAACCAGCAATGATGGCATGCCGCTAGTCTGCCATATCTCCATCATGCTAGACTGGACACTTGCCACTGTTTTTGACGTCCTGACACCGCATCATCCGACTCACACTCAACCATCTGCGACTGTGGCATCGCACAGCTTCACAGGTGCTTCACGGGTGCTGTGAAGTTCAGATGCTCCCGCTCACGCCCTTGGAGAGGGCTCTGCTTGCAGTCGTGCCTTCAGCGGCATCTGGAGGCAGCAGGGTGCCACTTGCTGCTGGGCTGGGAGAAAAGGTCATTGTGGGCATAGTCGGCTGCGGGAATTCGAAGGGTGAAGGCAGCTCCTCATCCTGCCCTTCAAGCCGTCTGGCTCGCACTTGCTCGCACTTGTTCAGGAGTGGGCAAGGCCCCTGAGAGATCTTTGGACCACTAGAAGTCGTCCGCCAGCTGCACAGAGTCATAATTTTAGAGCGTGCGGCATCATCTTCCCCACATTCGTGGGCGCAGGCAAGCTTCCTGCTGTGCGTGCATCCGGATGCCTCGCTGCCCAGTATGCGCGCGTGAACCAGATCATGTCCTCTTGGGAGCCTGGCATCACCTCGATGGCCTCTTTCTGCGCCTCGGTGCTTGGAGCCCTCAGCAGGAAGCTCGGCCACCCAGCCCGCGTCAATCTGACTCAAGAGCCTTCTGAACTTCTGGCAACGTCGTCCATTCAGTAGGTGGCATGATGGGTGACATGATGCAGGAGTTATAGACGAGGCCCACACCAGGGGTGGAGCTTCGCGCCTTGCTATTTATGAGCACAGGCGCGGCTCTGGATTTCAGTAGAGTAGAAGAAGGTGCTTCAAGTCGGGCACGAACTCTTGGAAGCTGGGCGACTGCAAAAACTCTCGCAGCTTCGGCATTACCGATGCATAGGTGCGCCTGGGGTCCTCGTCAACTCGCCAGAGCCAGATCAAGTCGTAAACCACGACGCTACAGATGCTAGAAAGGTCCAAGTCCAGAGCTGCGAGGGCGTCTAAGAATCTGACCGTCAGGGACACCCACTTCTGCCGCTGACACTTCGTCATTGAGCGCAGTACCACTTGAAGGTGCACCATGAAATCCAGCACCGCGTCGTAGTTTAGTGGAGACGTTGATAGGCTCGCTTCAATGAAGCCCAGCATGGTGTTCGCGATCAGCTGCTGCACGTAAGGAAGGGCGCACTCCCCATAAACTAGAAGTGTCCGCAAGGCAGGTGAGTGCGCAATGTCGTCAGGATCGCGGCACTGCCGAAACAAGCTTCGAAGGTTGTCCTCAACAATGCGGCGCGTGTCACTGGCAGGTAAATGGGTCAATGTAGCACTGGCCAAGGCCATGCACCAGCGCCCACCTGAGAGGCTAAGGAGGGATGCTTAGAATTAGGTGAGGCCGACTGCGAACCTTCGGAGCGCCTTTTTGGAACAATTCTGGAAGAAGCTAACGTCACTAACGCCACTGGCACGCGTCAAGGCCCTCTGCGGCTAAACAGGGCAAGAGGCAATCGAAGAGCTTCTGCTGGCCGGCATGGTCAGCATCGAAAGCCTCTTGGCTCTTCAGCGCAGTATGCAAGGACACAGTGGCGGTGGACCTGCGCGTGACTCGCAAGACATGTCAAGCTATCCCGGAAACACCAAAAAACACCAGGAAACATCGGGAAGCAAGTGACATCTCAAGGCCTAGAATCCCCAGAGCAGATGCCTCTCCAAGCTGCCCATCTCAGCCACATGTGCCAGCAAAGCCTCAGCTTGCGCAGGGAGGAGGGCAGAGAGACAGCAAGAGAGAGAGAGAGAGAGGGAGAGAGGGAGAGGGAGAGAGGGAGAGAGGGAGGGAGGGAGGGAGAGGGAGGGAGAGAGCGACAGGGAGAGCGACAGAGAGAGGCGCCACCGAACCTGCCTTCGGGTGTCTCGTCTCACGGGATGTCGTGCGCCAGCGGAGTATCTCTGGCACCTGGAGGGCGTGCACTCCGACGAAGATGACTCGGCATAGGACATCATAGAACCAATCCTACCAGTGAGCCACGACATCCTCGCAACCCTCTCGCAGCCCTAGCTGCGTCTTTCAGGCAAGACACAGAAAGGTACTCCAGCAAGTTTGGCCTCAGGCTGCGCAGCAATTCTGACATGCCCAGCAACCCTTGGCTGCAGCTTGGCTGAATGTGGCAAGCAGCTTCGCGGCTTAGCATCACCATGCAAGCCAAGGCAGCCAAGGCACATCACGAGCGCAAAGGGGTTCCAGAGGCACTCGCTGCACTCGACCTGTGCAAGGGATGAGTGCCAACACCCAGCACCCAGGAACCACCTGTTCCCCCACCACATGCCCGATGTGGCCTAACACCTCCGCACAAAACCACCTGCAATGTCTGACCACCCCAGAAACGTGCGGAGCCTTGTCGAGGATGAGCGACTGGGCACCAGAAGCCTGTCCGAGACTCAGACCGAGCGCTGGCTGAAGCCCAGGCACTGCTCAACAGAAGCAAGCAAATGCAGCAAATGCCACCGCAGCGAAAAGCATCACAAACTCATCTCCACAACTCTGCTGCGTGAACGCTAAAGCCATCAGTGCCTCAACTCCAGAGCCAAGCTGCTCCCAGAGACCTTCATACTCTTCCACTATGTCTGGGAACCTCGGAACCAGAAGCGTCGCGAACGCACTTCATGGCTATGTGTCAGACGTATGAGAGGAATGCAAAGCGCACCTTGGGCATTCCACGGAGCCCGCTCTGACCTTCAGGTGGCTGGCAACGTGAGCTGCACCTGCCCTTTGTGGCACATATAACGGCCGCCTCATCAACGGTGAACGACTGGGCATCGGAATATGCATCGGAAGCCTGGTGACAGAACGCAACAATACACAACAGCCGCACACAATCGCTCCTCCCGGGGGAAGCCTCCGGGAGAGGTATGGGAACAAGACCTTTCCAGATTCTTGGGACTGGTCTGCGCAGTTTGTCATCCCAGCATTGACCCCCCCAGCCATCCCCAGCCCAAGCTGTGCGGTTATACGGAACCAAAGAGAAACATCTGTCAACATCAGATGTCTGGAGTCAACCCTGCGAAGCACACGCTTTTACAAGGTTCTCAAGAGACGTTGGGCGCGAGGTCGTCCACAAGCAGTCCACAAGTGACGAGCTCCAACTCCCCGACGCACCCTATCCTGGTCATCCATCCCCGGTGCTTTTGGACAATGAGGACGCACAATGACAAGTGCATCGGATCGCAAGATGGCAATCTACACAGATCATCCACGAGAGGCAATGGGTTCCCCAAAGATCATCTCTCGCGAAAGGACAGGCATTGTTGGTGGTCCGATCCTCCCCTGGTCGTCCCATCCTGTCCCATCCCGAACAAGACAAGAAGCATGCACGCTTGATGCGCCTCGTTCAGCGAAGAAATGCACGTAGTCCCAGGTGGTGCCTGAGGAAGCGCCTCTAACAGGATGGAGTTGGATGGACCCAGCTAGGTGCGGACTTGACACGTCAAAACCCCTCAATCCTGTCAAGGCCTCAGGCCTCCTCGTCGTTGACATCCATCCGGTACATGTGGACCTTCGCCTGGTCAGCTGAGAGCTCGTGCAACTTCCATGCAACTTCGGCGGCTGAAATCTGCATCTCCCCTCCTTGCGCCGACGGCGCTGCCTCTCCTCTAGACCTTAGCAACGCAGCGCGGGGCTTTTCGATAGATTGGGCCGCGGATCACGGATCAAGGCGGGACAGGACCCTTCAGGAGATGCCACCTAAAAACAAAACAATTCTTGGCCCGCCACTTGTGGGTGCGGCCAACTTCTCAGGAGTCAAATCGACGTCCTGTCTTGGCAGGAATTCTGGCACAAACAAAACGGACACTCATACTGGTTCAACCGAAGCTGTGGCCACACTTGCAGCAGCAAAAAGACCTTCCCCGCGCGGAGCATCAAGCCCTCAGAGCTATTCCTGTTTGCCGCTTGCCCCGCTCCTTTGCTTTGAGGCACCGCAGTGGTGTGCGAGGCTCGTCCTGCCGAGACTGCTGCAGAGAACCCTGTGCCACACGACGTCAGCAGCTGATACTGAGCGTACGAACTTTTCACCGAGTTCCTATAAGGCTGAAAGTGCAATTCTGTCACCCTGAAAGGCCTCTAGCACTTCAGTGCACGAAGGCTCCAAGGAAGTGAACTCGCAGGGCCGCGAGGCCTGAGCACTTGCAGGGCAAACAAGGGACTGGGGTCAGGGAGGCAAAAGAGGCGTGCTACACCGCCAGCTGAGGCCAAGGCCACGTCCCGGGCCGCAACCTCATGGCAAGGTTTGGGAATAGTTGGGAGTAGCTGTCCAAGGGCCAGGACATCTGCCTGCAGGAGTTCTGTGCGGAAGTTGCGCCACTCCTGGGGAGGGATCATGTGACTGGCCTGAACTTGTTGCAGCAGCGGGCGCCTCCAGCAGGGCCTTCTTCACCCCTTCTGTCACCTGCCAGGACAAGCGCTTATAACAAGCACTCTTGACATCCCGCATGGCTCATTCCGCAATCCAAGGCTGGGACTGCTGAAATCAAGTCCTCCGCCACTGCTGGTTCAGCTGGTCCAGCCTCCAAGGAGTTAGGAAGGGGTGGTACAAGCGCTGTGTGAAAAAGCGCGTGAGAAACAAGCGATGGCAAAAGCATGCTTGGAAACAAGTGGTGGGTCACGGTACAATAGAAGCGGTACTACACACGCGGTGGGAAACAAGCAGCTGGGATATCTAGGAAATGGTCGGAAACAAGCGATGGGAAACAAGAGGTGGGAAAGGGAACAAGTCGGAACAAGTGGCGGGAAACAACGACGGCTAACCAGCGATGTCAAACAAGCGTCGGGAAACAAGCCATGCACAAACTGTCAATAAATATAAGCCAAGGGGGATCTTGGGCCCGCGCTCCCTAACCCACCACCCCCCGCCCCAACCGGCTCCGATCCGCCACGCCCTCAACCCTGCCCTTCAACTGCATTAGCCTCGGTACCGTTGCCTTCATCACTGTCAACTCCATTCAAAACATCATAGAAAAGACCGAAGCATTAATTCAAGAACAAAATCACATGTAGCAATATGGCGGTACAGCAAGTATATGCCATGTAACCTTTTTCATTCGGTTTATTGTTATGAGAAATGACAATTTTTCGCTACACTATTAATCATCTGAAACTTTAAAGTAAAGCATCTTATTAACATCTTGGACGTTAGTGTTCATGTAGATGAAAGAATAAGGGGCATGATTCACCGCTTGTTGATACATCTGATACAATGACCTCTTAACTAACGCCCAGTTTTCATCCAGAAAACTAGTCATTAACTTCATTCGTACTTCAACCTGAAGAGAAACAACGCCGATGCGTTCAAACTAATTTTTGGTGCTAATGCATGGTCCCGTGTAGATAGAATAAAGGAGATGGCATTGTGTCTCCATCCAGAGAATAACCCGTGTAGTAAACTATCTGCAACCCACAAGCGGTTTTAACAGGGTTTACAGAATTTACAGGGTTTATAGGGATTTCAGGGTTTACAAGGTTTACTGCTTATGGAGCTTTGGGGCTTTGTAGATGTTTGTAGGATCAGGGGTCAACTGCGCGCGCCTTGATCTCCCCACCCTTGCCGCGGCCACCTATGCCCATCGCTTCTGGTTCGACCTGACTTCCCAACCGTGAGAGGCGTGACACTTCGTGGAACTGCGAGCAGTTGCTTGGGTCTGAAGTGTCGTGTTTCGTGCCTTTGGACACAAGAGGCGCAAAGGTGCGCGGCAAGGCAGGCCAATGGCATGAAAGGGCTCAGTGCGATGGGGCCCGTTCCTATCGAAGCACTCGATACCTAGACCCTATAAAGCTCATCAAGCCTATAAAACCTACAAAGCCTTTCAACCCTCTGAACCCTCAAAACCTTCTCGACCCTAAACCAAGCACTTGCATCAACCTTCCAACGCCACCTCCTGAAGACATCGGCATCTTCAACCGCCAAACCACTGGCGCGCACAGTCCGCCATCATCTTACTGGTTCTTGTAGTCGAGAGTTAGGGAAGCGGGGTTTCCTGTAGAGATCCCTTGAAAGGCCTAAACGGGAGGGGCAAATACGTCATTCAAGTGCTCTAAGTGCTGCAACTCAGCTTTGGGCAAAAAACTATCCTTTGGGTGTGGGACGGCAGGGTTGCCCAAGCCCCAAACCCTAAAAGCCATAAAAACCACAAGCCCCCCTCGAAGGTCCCACCCCGTGGCCTCGGGTGCACAGGGGCTTGAAAACCCAAGGGCCGGCGGTGCTTCTCGAGGCTGCTGCTGCTGCGGTGTGGATTTCAGGGATTCCGGGTTCTTGAGTGACGGGACATGCAGGACTTAGGATTGCAGGCAGAATTCAGGGTTGGGGCTGAAGGTTCCGAGAGGGGGGGCTGCACAACTTAGCGATGTGCAACATGCTACGAGGCTGTGATTTCTGAATCGTTATGATCATGATCTAGCGTTGTCATCCACAAGCAAGCCAACCTGCCTGCAGATCCTCCGTAGCGCGCGTGATCCAATGACATCGCAACTCTCTTCAAAAACCAAAGCGCGATTTGGTAGAATTGTTCAGAAACCTATGATGTCTATGGGGAATATCTGAAAATCTCATATCTCAAGGAACCCAGCATCAGATCTGCGAGGTTTGGGGCGGAATTGGAAACCAGCAATGATGGCATGCCGCTAGTCTGCCATATCTCCATCATGCTAGACTGGACACTTGCCACTGTTGTTTACGTCCGGACACCGCATCATCCGACTCACACCCAACCATCTGCGACTGTGACATCGCACAGCTTCACAGTGCTTCACGGGTGCTGTGAAGTTGCCGAGAATCCATTCAAGAGTCGCAAATGCTCCCGCTCACGCCCTTGGAGAGGGCTCTGCTTGCAGTCGTGCCTTCAGCGGCATCTGGAGGCAGCAGGGTGCCACTTGCTGCTGGGCTGGGATAAAACGTCGTGGTCGGCATAGTCGGCTGCGGGAGTTCGAAAGGGTGCAAGTGGCTCCTCATCCTGCCCTTCAAGCCGTCTGGCTCGCACTTGCTCAGGAGTGGGCAAGGCTGAGACATCTTTGGACCACTAGAAGTCGTCCGCCAGCTGCACAGAGTCATAGTTTTAGAGCGCGCGGCATCATCTTCCCCACATTCGTGGGCGCAGGCAACCTTCCTGCTGTACATTGACCTGCATCCGGATGCCTCGCTGCCCAGTATGCGCGCGTGAACCAGATCATGTCCTGGGAGCCTGGCATCACCTCGATGGCCTCTTTCTGCGCCTCGGGGCTTGGATACAGAGCACTGAGCCTGGATTACCCTGAACGACCCTACCCTACCGCCGTCCCTACCGCTACCCTACCCGACCGTACCCTGTCACATTCTATCACCCTACATCGTGCACTAGGCACACTTCTGCGTACTACAACCGCCCAGCCTCACTTCAAACTTCAAGGCTTCTTGTTCTTGGTTTCTAAACTCAGACTCAGAGTGCTTGAAAAAAACTACATGCTCAGGCAAACAGGAATGGGAAGAATGGGTCAAGTCGGTTTCAGCGACAGGTGGTAACACCTTCTCTTGCAGAGAGCTGGGGCACTGATGGACAGCTTTTTGTGATGATGCACCCGCCCTTCTCAACAACCCCATCTATACCCCACTCTGTCCCAGCATACCGAATCCATCCTAATCCGGCCCGGACCATCTCGTTTAGACAAATTATGCGGAACAAAAGGGCCAAAGGAGACTTCGGATGGCTCCGGCCCCGGCCCGGACCATCTCGTTAGACAAAATCAAATGAACGGAACAGAAAGGCAAAAAGATGACTCGGATGGCTCTGGCGGGGCTATCTCGTTTAGACAAACTGAAGAAGAAAAAAAAAAGCAAACGGAGAACTCGGATGGCTCCGGCCCGGACCATCGGGGTCAACAGCCGCAGGCGATGGCGGTGAGTCCGCCTGAGGCAGCGCAGACAGCAGCAGCGCATTGGACCCTGATACTCGAGCGGCTACGGCTTCACAATTCGCGCTTGTACTGTCAGGCATGATCGAGCAAGCTTTGCCCGTGTCCGTCCAAGCGCTTGCTGTCCTGGAGCTTACCTTCGCACACTTGCGTCGCGTTTAACAGTTGCATGGTTGCCCCACTCGAACTACACCAAGGTATCGATAAGTTTTCAGCTCCACAGAGCAAGTCGCATAACCAGTGACACTTATAGTGCTTCTCAAGATCATCAAACTAGTTTTAGTTGGTCCCCCACCCCTCCCCAACGTCACTAATTTCAGCAGAGTATAACCAGTTCTTGCGAGTCGGAAAAATGAGCAACTTCGCCTCCGAGGACTTACACATGGAATCTGCAATGATGCATCACAGCATGAGGCGCCAGTGGTCGCGTGCAGCTTCGTTTTGATGATGTTGCAGGCGACAACGTGCACGTGCGTCAGGATGTGCCACAAGCACCCTAAACCCTAACTGGTCCTGCAGGTGCCTCGAATCGTACCTGCACTTAGCGGCCGGCTATAGGCAGCGAAACACCCGCCAAGAATCACTTGTAAGCACAGCCCCAACAGCTTGTGACAGACTCCATGTTCCAGCTGTGTATCTTTGTACATGTACTTGTACCCAAGCGGGGACGCACCCTGCTTGTGGCACATAGCGTCATACAGCCAGCCCGGTTCCGGGAGGCATTGCTCAGCGGACCTTTTGGCGCGCGCCCGACGCCCCCGACGTTGCAGCCATCCTGATCTCCTGGTCCAGTCAGACCTCCAGATCTAAGCAAAGCAGCAAAGCGTTGCAACCTTCGCCTTTCGATCTCCAGAAGGCCCTGGAACGTCCAGCTGGAGCACAGGTGGCACGAGCCCGCGCAAAATCAGCCACCTTGTTGCGGGGTCAGAGCGTACAAATGCCCGCATAGAGGCAAGCGCTTCAAGCTTCTTTCACCTTGTGGAAACTGTCGGCTTCTAGTAGTAGTAGTAGTAGTAGTAGTAGTAGTAGTAGTAGTAGTAGTAGTAGTAGTAGTAGTAGTAGTAGTAGTAGTAGTAGTAGTAGTAGTAGCAGTAGCAGTAGTAGTAGTGGTAGTAGTTTTCGTCGTCGTGGTAAACGTAGTCGTAGTCGTAGTCGTAGTCGTCGTCGTAGTAGTAGTCGTCGTCGTCGTTGTCGTCGTAGTCGTCGTAGTAGTCGTCGTAGTAGTCGTCGTAGTAGTAGTAGTAGTGCTGGAACTGTCTTCGGCCATCTGGCTTCGTGATCGTCCAGGCTTCTGCATTTCCAAGGATTTATTCAGCCGTGAAAGTCCACTCCGACATCTTTGCCACGGTTGCGCAAGCCTTACCAAACTATGTGAGATCCTCGGCCTGTGAAGCGGCAGCCGCTCAGGCAAGCGGAGAGTTGAGAAGCTTCTCGCTGCTGCCTTCTCAGAATGATTTCGCCGCGCTGCATGCGTTTGATCTGTTTGGGTGAGCATGGGCTCTCAAAAGCAACCACAACTTTTTCAGACAACTTCACAAAGAGGCGTTCTCGTTGGTGATGAGCTGTACCTACTGCTCGTTTTGCATCTTTCTCTGCACAGAGACTTAGCACATGCACCTGCAGTCACGCGACCAAGACGACTGGACCAAAACCGGAAGCAGGTTCGAACTCGAGAGTGAGTAGCCTTCCAGGGCAGTCTTAGTGTGCTGGCAAACTCTAAGCGACGACAGATTCAAAGCCAAATTCAGCTTTCCTGCCGACCACCCCCCCGCCCCCCCCCCCTGCCTTGTGGGACCCCCTATTGCTTGGAGGAGCTGCAAACCGATGCCATTTTGAGGGGGGGGCTGCAAAAGGCACGATTTTGACTTTTTGGGTTTCCTTCCTGGACCCCCCCCCCCCGGGACCCTTCTGGAACCCGCCTACAATTTCTGAACCCTTCCTCCCCTATTTTTGAGGCCTTTCCCCAGAAACCAAGCGTTTACAATTCATCGGCAACTAAAGTGGGTACTAAATCGCCGCATCTTCAATATGTAGTATTTGTATCATATTTAAGAAAAGGGAATTTGGGATCATTTAGATTGGTGGGACATGCACACTGCCGACGGGGGGTGCTAGAGGCCTGCGAAGGCCGAAAAAGCACGAAAGCGGAGACGTTCCAACTCAGCACAGGAATGAGCTCAGTGGGTGAGTAAGCGAAACGGGTAGATTATAGAAAAAAGAGCAGAGAGATTCCAACCAAAAACGGATAAACCACCAGGAGAAGAATAAGGTAGAGCAGAGGGCTTGGCAATTCGGGATGCACGTCGGAACCTTGCGCGGGCCATGGTCGGTGGGCGAGGTTCCGACCTGGCATCCCCTTTAATTACAAGCGACGCCAGGTCGGAACCTGCCCCCACCCCAACCCCCCACCCAACCCAAACCCCCCAACCCACCCAAACCCCAACCCCCGACTTGCATGGACACAAGCATGAAGCTTGAAGAGGCAGTCTTTTACTCCTGGAGGTCTACACTTTTGGGGCCTGCGCACAATGAAGCCTGTATTTAAGGGGGCGTGCAAGGCTGGCTTAGGCTCATTCTACTATGAAAGTCTACACTTGTTGGTTCCGAGTCGGGGCATGGCACGCGGCTTGGGCTTTCCTCCTGTAAATACCTACATTTTTTGGTTCCAACCTTTGGTTCCGATAATTTCTTTTGACAGATGGTCGCGGCACTCGAGATTCTTCAGAAGCCCAGCTGCGCAGTATTTGGTCGCTGGCGCGAGCTATCTGGTCGCAAGGGAAACGTCTGGCGCGAGCTATTTGGTCGCAGGCGCGAAGTATTTGGTCGCAGGGAAACCTCTGACTCTTTCGGGCGTCATTGGGGTGCTAGTTGCTTACGCAGACCGAACCATCTACCGCTATTTGGTCGCTGGCGCGGGCTATGTGGTCGCAGGGGATAGGGCGGTAGCCAAAGTAGGTGGGATGCTAGTTGCTTACCCTGACCGAACCATCGCGGCCTGCCCCTTAAGCAAATAGGAAGGCCGGTCAAACTGCGGGCCGGTTATGGGACCATGATTTCGTTACCAGCACAGGTTTTTGGGCAGGCTGTGAATAATCCGGATTTTTGACCTTCAGAACTACTTATTCTTGTGGCCCTTCAGGGCGCACATGAAGTGCTAGTAGTTTTCGCTGAGCGTGAGCAACTAGCACTTCACCTGCGCCTGGAAGGGTCAGAAGTATATTCTTTGAGGGCGCTTTCAGAGCCATTTCGGCTTTAGGGAGCCTCTGACGAAAGGATTTGTGCCCGGCTGTCAGCTGAAGAAAACCTCTCTTTCCATCTGAAGTGCAGCAGGCACCTAAAATGCTTGTAATCCCACGAAGGGATAAACATCTCTCAAAATGCTCAAACCACCCTCAATTTGTGCGAAAAGGCCGTGTCAAACATGTCGAACCTTATGATGCTCAAAAGCCCCGCTGGTAATGTAATCGTGGCTCCATAACCCGCCCGGAGTTTAAAACACTATGACGCCCCCAAACCTGTGCTGGCAACGTAACCGTGGCTCCGTAAGGGTTGTGAATTGTGAATATGCCCCTGCGACCAAAAAAAGCTCGCACCAGCGACCATGACTCCACGAGCTCACCCGATGAAAATCACTCAGAAATATCAATTTACTGAAAAAGCTGGCGTTCTACGAGGTGTTCTTCTTCACCTTGTCTAATCGAGATGGCCCGGACCGGAACCATCCGAATTCTCCGCTTGCCTTTTTGTTCTTCTTCAGTTTGTCTTAATGAGATGGTCCGGGCATTATGGCAACTGCGACTTGCAGTATTCAGATGGTCAAAGAGTCGAAGAATCAAAGAGGCCGCGACGCCGCCGTCTCAAATGCTCGGCCCTCACTTGTCGCTCTTCCTGGGACTTCGGGGAATCAGCGGCTTATTTGGATGGATTTCTGCTCGAAAGGTTGCAGTCTCTCCAGCATGAAGATCTCTCCTTGAGTCCGTGACCGTGGAGCCTTTGAGGCTCTTGAGGATGTCGACTCTGCTCTGTCGACCAAACCTCCGGGGCGCGACTTTCACTCTTGAGTCTTCCTCGACATGAGAGCTTTCCGTCGCTTTCGAGCTTCTGCGCGCTTTCTCGGCTTCCCTCTGCATGTGGCCCCGGGTCTGCTGGAGGCGCTGTGGCTTCCAGAGCTCTGCGCAAGGAGTAGTCGTGGCTCTGAGTGTGGAGAAGCCGTTTTATTGGCCCTTGAGACTGAACCTTTCTACTTAAGGTGGCTTGTGCAGCTTTGTGCGGCCATTTCTCCTTCTAAGCTTCTATGCCTCCTCAAGCTTCACTTCCAGATTCATGGCGGCATCACGACCTTCTTGGAGCAAAACCCGAGTGAACGTCGTAAAGCATGACTATGGAAAAACAATTTTTAAATGGATTAAAGTAGTGGATTCTAGTAGCCACAGTCACGAACTACAGTCAAGTAGATGCCGCGCTCTGCCCGAGGCTACCTCTTCGAAGTCACAGAAGACGAGGTTCTCAAACCGCTTTGCCAGCCCAGTCCTGCCGTGCTCAGGATCAGAAAGGACCATGCTGCAGTGACAGTGTGCCTGAAGTAGAACATCATCATCTAAACTCCAGCTCCGCAGACTTCTACAGTTCCAAGTTCTAATCTATAGACGTGATCTATCGTGCTGCTGCTGTCCTTCTCAAGCATCTTCTTCCCCCGCTCCAGGTGCTTCATGATGCCGGCAGCACCCAGAAGGATGCAACCAGCTACAATCCTTCGGAAAAAGTAGCAGAAAGATCCCCGTCTGTTGTCGCCGCTGATAGCCCAAAAAGACAAAAGAATACCACGTGAACAAGATTGATCTGAGCAGGGCCAGGGGCATCAGGATGCACAAGAACAAGCCGACAAGTGCCTGAGATCCCATCACGCATTTCCGCTACTGTCGCTGCCTTACATTTTGGAAGTGCGCACCGGCTGCCTTCCGCAGGCCTCAAGCAAGCAGCAGAGATGAAGACATTTGCGCCCTATTGCTTTCCCAGCCGCAGTGGTTTGAATAAGTTGATCCTGCTCAGACGTCCCCATGTGAAAGCGGCATCGGGCTTTCAAGGAACCGGATCGTACATCAAGCTGCTGCTCCCTTGAGCCCGGCCACCGAAGCTCTGCGTCATGCACACTTGCAAAAAAACATGACGACAAAGCCTGGATCACGCACGGAGCTGGCCCTATAGCCAAGGTGCGAGTGTGTTGCATGTGCCCTGCAAAAAGAAGAAAAATCAAAAAAACATATTGGAAAGCTCTCAGATTGAGACAAGCTCCACAAAAATCTCCAACACAATAGTTATTCTGTGGGTTCCTTGGCCGGAACGAACAAAGTCTCCGCGTTTTCAGTTTCTCTGCGAGGTCGGGGTTTTTCGTTCGGGCGTGCAGCGCTTACAATCTGTCCCATGCAGCGAGCAAGCATCCACCTTCGCACCTTTTCTGCCACTGCGCTTGCCTTTGTCCTTGCCTTTGCCCTTGGCCTTGCCCCGCCTATCAGTTGCAACAAGCTTTTCCATGCGTTGCACACTAACTTGTGAGCATGCAGCAGCTTGAATGCCAAACTTCTGCTCCTTTGCCTCCTTTGAGAATCCGAAGATGGCATCGCGCTTTCCTTCTGGAAGCGGAGCTCTTCTGCGGCGAAGCGTGAACAAGCCCTCACAGCAGCTTGCCAAGCCTGCACCCAGGAACTTTTCAACCGCGTGTCTCAGTTTTGCTCAGCTCGGACGCTCCTCTCCGCCCCTCCTCGTCGTCGACACTCTCGCGTGCTGCGCAAGGCTTCGCCGCCATCGAGGATCGGTGTTGCTGGAGCTCCAGGTCGTTCAGCCTGCGAAGCTCTCCTCGGACGTCTCTACATCGCTGCATATGTTTTCATATTTCGTTAACATATCGTTCAGTTCCACTGCTTCCCTTTGCAAAATCAAGAACTTACTGCGTCAGGTGGGCTAAGAGCGCCGATGTCCTCCTCCAGTTGAGGACCTACTAAGTCCCACCTGCCAAGTGCGATGACATGGCAGAGCAGGCCGTGGGACATCGTGGGACCAGCAGAAGACGACAATAATCCACCTGATGCCCGACGGCTTGCTGGCAATCCGTTTGCAACGAACGAGTCCACTCGGAGTAGCAAAGGCATCCACCGGCAAGTCGTGTTTTTCCATCCTAAGTAGCGTACAGCAGCCTCAGCCTCCGAACGAAAACCGAACACTCGCAATCACTCGCAGAAACAAGAAAAGTCTGCGGGGCACGTCGCACCACGCATGCCATCCACAGTTAGAGTCGATGTGTCTACAATATGTTCGAACTCCAATGTGCACTTTCAATGATGACGAGAGTCAATTCCTCGTTGAGCTGAGCAGATTCCACCACCTGTAGATCATGGCAAATGGTGAACCTTGAATCAGCTCGCAAACTTCAGAAGCAAGCCCGTCCAAAAAGAAGACTCAATTGTGAGGGTGCAAGTGCTGTCCAGGAGCACGGGTGTTGCTTCAGGATCCACTGCGCCCAGAGCTGTGAGGATGCCCCACTCCACCTGTCAAAGCCAGTCACTTGGGTACAGACACTCTGAGATACCCATCGTATCAAGTCTCACGCCTCACCATAGCCCTTGCCCTTGCCCAAACGCGTGCCATTCGGAGCAACTGCGCCTGGGCAAATCAATTCGAGTCGGGCTCGTCTACAGTTGCAACGAAGCTCTGTGCCACTGTGCGTTCTTACACTGTCCTTAAGTAATTGATGAATCCCTGGCCCAAGAAGCAAGTAGCCACGACAACTATATCGACGGGCGGAATGTCCTCGAAACTTCGGCTGCTCTTGCGCCAATGAAAAAAGCAAAAGACTGGTGACATGCTTTAGATGCAGCCTTTAAGCGCAGTCAAAGGTTCGAGGAGTTTCACAGGCTTTGCCCACTTGAGGTACTCCCGCCTTCATTCGACCAGGCTTTTCTTTGCGCTCAACGCGTCTCTGCATTGCCCATGCAAAGCCGTGCGGCTTGTCGCCGGCCCATTCCAGAGATGCGCGGTTGGGGAATTGATCCCGATGAAGCTGAAGGTACAAGAAGTCAGCACCAGGGTATGGCGGTACGAGGACCTTAGGGTTGTTTGGCAGACCTTGTGAACTAGAGTGGGGCGACCTGGCCACAAGCGAGTCAACATCATGAAGCAAAGAGCCGTCTTCCCGGCAAGCACCAGGGCTGTTCGGAGAGCCGCAGCGCCAATGGAAGGGTGCACCTTGACCACTGACGCCTCCCGCATCTCGGGAACTTCCAGGAGATGCAGACCTGTGCCCACATCTGTGCCCACTTGCTGCTCACGTGCCGCTCACGTGACTCGCGCGGACGCACGTGATTCAGTTGGCATGCCGGGGCTTCGACATGCCATAGCCGAGCCAATGCAGTTTGGGATTCGGCCATGGCATGGGCGAGGGAAAAGGACAGCATCCTGGTTCTCCAACTTGTCCCATACCTGAGCTACTGTCGGTTCCAAACCGCCAATTTCCTGACAGATGCTGGCCCTTTTCTTTCTGTGGTGCAGGCCTGCTCTCTCAACGCAGCCTTTCGACAATTCAATGCCGCTTCGGCCCCCGCTTCGGCCTCCATGGCCCATCGTCCAGGCCCAGATGCTACAAGTTGCTGCTGGTTGCAGTATAGAATGGCCACGGCATGCATCAGACAAGTACGTGTCAACTGACATGCAACTATTGATGAATCTGGTTCCAACGATCCGCAAATCAAAACTCTCTGCCACATGCCCAGCCTCTGCCTGAGCACTCCATGTGAGTAGGCTTGATGCAAGGAGTCTCCTACTGCTCAAGAATGCCAACAAGCCTGTTGCCAGCCCCCGGACCAAAACAAGCTCCTTTACGTTCCTTTTGATGCTTCGAGCGCAATTCCCCTACGCTGTTTTCACTTCGGCTCTGCTGAACTCTGCTCTTGTTCACTGATCCTCTGACAGTCTTTGGAGCCCGAGCGACGGTGAGGTGCCACAAGCTACGTGTAGTTGGCACAACCTAAGTATGCACACACATACATATGCATGTGCACTACATACACACATCGCGACAAACCAATCTTCAAACACACGCTGCTTCGCAAAGAAGCCATGGGCACTACTGGATATACCTTTGATTGCCGCGGCTGGACTTATTGATATGAGAGGGCTGAGCTGGCTGAGCTATGCTAAGCTGCGCTTACAAGTGACAAGTAACTACCATTTATCCTGGTCCGGAGCTGGCCCTCATGGGCTTTTAACGTTGCGCCTCAAGCGACTGAAGCAATCGCGCTCGGCCAAAGCCGATCCAAGCCGAGTGTTGGAACTAGGCTTTGGGCCGCTCATGGCTGGTGATTTCGTCTGAAGCTGCGCACGAGCTCTGCCCTCTTGCGCGAGGCAATGCGCTTTTACTTGATAGACTTGTTGCCTTGAACACACTCCCGGATAACGCGAAGCGCATGTCTTCTCACTCTTACATTGACCAATTGTAGCGCACCACTCGGCAGTGACACGGACTAAGATGCATTGACGGCTGCCGCAGGCTTTGCTGGAAGCAGAGAAACCTGCAGACTGACCTGAAGAGGAGTCACGAATGCATCTGTCAGAAGTCAGAAGCACAATGAAGCGCGTGGACTTACCGAGAGCAGGACGTGTCAATGCAAGGACCTCGGTGGCTTTCCTACCCAAATTCCGTCCCCACCACTACCAGTGGTGTACGACAGATTTCAACAAGCTTGGGATCCACGCTGCGTCAGAGTTTGCTTCAGCTGTGCTGTCAAAGCCTTACTTGTGGCATCATGGTCTTTCGGCGGAATGGCGCGGATGACAAATTTTTATGAAAGCCTGACAATCATGGAAATCGGGGCCGTGCACGGCGCATGGCTATGGCAGCTTCCTGCGCAAGGAGGAGGTGACAGAAGCGCGTGGAGGTGCACGGTGCTTGGACTATTATCGGAGTCCACTCACGCACTCACCCTGAGCGCCTCAGGGTTTGCCTGGGGCCCGTCCGGCTCCACCTGAGCTGCCCGCTCCATCAAGAGGCCATGAAACTTCATGAAACATGTGAGCATTGAAGCTTGTTCCAACGCTCAACTTCCTGGACCTGCATTGTTCCAAAAATTTGAGATTGCAAAGTCCACAATGCTGGCAACTGCAAGCAGCATGGCCCTTGCCTGGGGCTTTTCTGTTTATATCTGTGTCTGCGGAGGTATGCAGAACAGGTCTCCGCACTTCCCTCTCCCGTGCTGCTATGCTGTGACCCAGGCGTTCCCTCGCAATTCGTCGGCAAGCTTCCTGCCTATCCAAATCTAGGAGTAGCTTTTTGCAATGATGCCATCGCACCAAGAATATCCGGGTGCCTGCATCCTCTGGCAGCGCAGGCTGACCTGCACCTGAGAAATGTATCGGAATGTATCGGCATTCACGTTTGGTGGCGCTGAATGATGGTTGCCCGCTAATTGCAATGCCCCCCAGGCCGAAGTGCTGACAATGATTTCTCAACTCTTCCCATGGGAGCGAGATGCTTGTTTACCACTTTCAAAAGAGAAGGGTGTTGCCGTGTCGGATGCTGTTTCCGAGCGCCCGGGCATGCGCGCTCTGCTGCACGGGCTGCTGTGGAGTGGCCGTTTAGCTCGGTGAAGCGGTTCAACCTCGAGCCATGCGTGGCCCAGCGAGGGCAAGAAACGGTACATCTCACATCAATCCGCATCACTTCCTAAACCTGATCCCCTCAACTTCCTGTGCCAAGCTCCGAGCTCCAGCTCTCTTTCGCGCCTCTTCTTCTCCATCAGGGCTTCTCCTTACGAGCTTCCAAGTCTAGTGGGCATGGCAACTGTAACTTGCTGTCTTCAGATGGTCAAAGAGTCAAAGAGGTGAAGAGGCCGCGACGCCGCTGTCTCAAATGCTCCGCCCTCGCTTGTCGCTCTTCCTGGGACCCCGTGGCAAGCACAAGCCTCACTAGAGTATGTCACAGCTCTCCCTGACACCAGGCGGGGCAAGCCTCAGAAGGCTGTTGAGGATTGCGATTCTGCTCTGCCTGTCGACCTCATCCAGTGACCGACAACCTAGAACCCTGCGAGTCTCCTCTGGGACAGGGATGGCTTCTGCTTCGTTTATTGCGAATTCTTGCAGCAAGCGAGAGAGAGCTCGAGAGAGAGCTTAGAGCCTGCAAGACTGGAGAGCAGGGATGTTTGATGATGTTTGCCTGCATGCCTTGCAGGAGAGCTTCTGATGTTTGCCATGTCGTTCACTTCGGGAAGACTTGGCGACAAGAAGCATTGACACGCATCAGAGTCACTAGAGTACGGGGTCTCCGGCAAGTGGACGAAGGAAGCCCCTCCGCTGGATGCCACAGGTCAATTTGCTGGAGCGCCACCGCTCAGGCCCTGACGGGCAGCACTTGCCTGCGCCACTGCTATCTGAGCACGTTCCTGCTGCTCAGCCGCCTGCGCGTCAAAATGCACTGCAGGGTTGAGGCGACGATCGGCGAAATTTGCACACCCACATCCGTTGATCCGAGCTCCAGGCATCCATGCGCCGTCTCTCCTCCTTAACTCTTCTTGACTCATCTTCAGACTCCATTGGTGGCACTGGGGCACTGCGGCACAGCATCGTGGCACTGCGCTTTGTGCCCTTGCGAAACCCGAGCACAAGGCCGCGTATGGATCTTCCTCTTGCATGACGGGGGCTGCTCCTTGAGAACATGCCAAAAATCCAGGTGCTGCGAATCTCATCTCGCAGCCCTCACAAGCGCTCGCGCGCCTACACCGCCGTCGAGAAGAGGTTGAATCTGCAGAGTCGGCGGTAGACTGAACTGTTCCTGGGAGTTGCAAGGTGAAAGAAACAAATCCAATGGCTGCACGAAAACTCAAGAACACTGAGAAATGCAACCTTTACTTACCACTACATGCCTGCTGCTGCTGGATCATCTGTGCCGCGGCCAGTGCCGCCTGTTGGGCGGCCTCGGCCTCTGCCTCTCGAAAAAGACAAGCAAGGGCCCAGGATGCGCAGGCTCACATTGCGCGCTGCACGGTGCCATGTCAGTGCCCACAGCTGTACCTGGGCCTTGCAGATCCTGACACCGTACAGCGGCTACTTACAGTAGAGGTAGGAAGAGCAAATGGCCTGGGCGGACATGCTCTCGGCATGCGCGCTGAGATGAGCCTCGTGCACACAGGTGGCACTGGCCATGGACTGGCTGTCCCATGCGGATGCAGACGGTTCAGCTCAGCTTGCTGCTGCCATTTCCAGCACCTCGTTAAGCGCCTGTCCCATTATGCCGTAGGTCTCATTCAACACCCCTCTCCCAAGTGCACTCCACGACTCTCACAGCATGACAATTTTCTCATCTGCCAACACGAATATCACAAAAGCCCCCTCACACCTCAATGAGTTGCAATCGCTTCTCCAAATGCCTCGACCTCAGGCATACTTGGACACTTGGAGCACACTTTTGTAGGACTTCTTGTAAGGGCCTGTAAGGCCTAAGCCAGCCTTAGCCTTTACTTGGAGTCGGGCTTCTTCAGCAAGCACCACGGAAAAGGTGAGGTTGCGTATTGAGGACAAGCTTGCTGCTTTCGCTGTGAAGTTCTCGGCCCATGAACACTCATGGCACCACACTAAGAGGCCAACAAGGCAATGGCCAGTTGAAGCTCGGCCTCTGCTAAACATGCTGAAGTACTTGTACCTGGAAATTCGAACTGAAACCGACACGCGAATTGTGCGTTGTCGGTGCCTCGACACACCGTTGTTCAGCTTCGAGGCGCGCCAGCCTTTCTGCCTTCAGAAATGCGTCTTCAACTTTTTTGTAGAAATCGTACTGCATGTTAAGGCTTCCAAGGGCAAGGGTCCAGGGCTCTGCCAGGGCCTCTGTCTCCAGCTCTGCTGTCTCAACGTGTGGCGGTGCCTCAGCCAGCCAGATGCTCTGCTATGCCACAGAGGCACTATTAGCCTAACGGGTTCCAGGGTGTTTGCGCGACAGTGCCTTCACCCCTTCACAAATGCAGTTCGTAGCCAGCACTGTCCTGCTCGTGGTTTTCGCAAAGTCGCACATGGTCGCTGTTTGTTTCGGCGGCGGATCTGACTCTTGGCCGGCTCGGTGCGATCTTTCGACGGAAGACAACACTGTTTTTCGTAGTCTCTTTCGGCTGCGAACGCGTGTTCAGCCAAAAACGTGGCCTGCGTGGCGTACTCGACATAGTCCCTGACTGTGCTTTTCCTGACTTTTTGGTCTGTTGCATTTCAGCTGTCTTGGGCTTCATGGGCTTTGCTAGCTGGCACTGTTTTTTTGAGGGGCTACAAGAAGAAAGCTGAGACGCAGCAGCCTTTGCATTTCTACCGTCGTCCTTGCCGGCCGAGTGCGCACTGCTCGCCTTCGTACTTCTGCCAGAGCAGAAGGCGAGGGGCCCCATGGGCTGCACCGTGTGACCAACATTTGCGCTGGTTCTAGGACTTCAGCCAAAAAAACGCGTATGTCACATCGTCCCGACTGTTCGCTACGTTGTGCTGGCCGGCTTTCTGTCCGGGGTCTTGGAGGAGGGGTTGGCAGCCTCTATGTTCTCCGCTCTCTGTGTATCGGTCTCTTTTTGTTTCGGGAGGTTTAGGCACCAAACTCTACAGGAACAGTTCCTGCACACAAACATCAAACATCCTCAGTGCAAAGCTACAGTTACAGAGCGTGGTTCTGGCCGGACATGAAATGAAGTGCCCTGAGGTCACAGAATTGCAATGCCTCTGCACCCTTTTTACGGCCAGGACTGCTACCAGTACACCCTAAAGCCTGAACCCTAGAATACCCTTACAACCATTTTCCGCGCCCAGAAACACAAAACCCTGAAAATCACGATGCAAAACCACCCCTGCAACTGAACCTGTAGAGACTAACTTTTGGGGCAGGTGCTCTGCGAGTCTGTGAGCGCCCCTGATAGTTGGCATGCTACAGCATCTTAAAGATTTGACATCATGTTGTATCACGGCCCGGCCGCTGCAAGGCTTCATTGGACTCAAGGTGTTCCTCTCAGTGCCGGGCCGGAGTTGCACTGTCTGCCACCACCTGGCTGATGACTGGATTCTAGCGATACCTAGCGATTCTAGCGCCTTAGATGCCGAAGTTCATTATACTACTCCTCCGCGTGGCAGTTGTGTGTGTGTGTGTGCTTATGGGTTCTTCTGCGTGTCCTTTCTCATGCTGACTTCAGGTGTCCAAGTCCCCAACGATTTGCCCGATCGGGTTCAGCCTTAGTACTTGCAGTTGCACTCTCAAGGAGACCCTTCATTCCAAGGAACCAGGAACCTTGGAGGTGTTTACATATATATACACCCATACACACAGACACACACACACATATATACACACATACACACATACACACATACACACATACACACATACACACATACATACATACATACATACATACATACATACATATATATATATATATATGTATACATATATATATATATATATATATCGTACTCCCGGCCCTTAATCTACATTTTTTCACATCCAAGTGGTTTAGGAGTCGCAGTAGATGCCTGTCAATATCCAGGGGGTGAAGGTTCAATTCAAGATTTCCATATCCAGAGGATAAGGGTTTGAGATGCCTCTAGGACTCTAAGTCTATAGCTCTCGAATCGTGATTCTCTAAATCCAAGTCACTTTGGAACACAGGAAAGCGTCATTTTGAAACACAAGGAGGCTAGAGAATGAGCAGCCCAGAAGACAGGATCAAGTTTTGACACGTTCAAATGTGTGCGCGTTCTAACATGACACCTTTTTGCGGCTATCATTTTTGGCCCACTTTTGGCAGGTGATATGACAAAACTCGGGCTCGTTCCAAACTGACACCTTCTGCATTCGCGCGTTCCACGATGACCGGCGTTCACACCTTGAAAATGATCCTTCTTCTTGTGTGGCCCCCCATCGTAGACAAAAGAGATGTCTGCGCCAGCAATTTGCAAACACAATGCTCGCATGATGGGTTTCAAAAAGGTTCATAGGTCAAGCTAAGCTTGCACGGGGGGCGGGGCGTGGGTTCGTTTCCCCCCCCCCCACCCAGGTTCGCCATCCCTGTGACGTCCTGTGACCGTCGTCACTTCTAAGTGCTGACAGTTACGCGGATGCCCACCCTCCTCCCCCCGGCCCCACCCCCGCCCCAACACCATGAGCCACTACTTCAAGGGGTCCTGCCCTGATTGTCCGAGAACGATCGCAACTCACGGCAGGGAACTGAAAGAACCGATCTGAGCTTGCGAGGATCATGGTGCCGATCAGCTGATCGGGAAGCCCGAGAAGCAGACGATTCTCTGGAAAGCTCCGAGTTACGCTTCAGCATCATCGCCTCATGCAGGATATGCAGCATGCAAGATGGTTCTTCGATGCACTGCCTGGCAGCGCCAACGGATGTGCCTTGAAGACGAGGAAGTCATCGACACCTCGCTGTAGGAGCAACATGGGCACAACTGGGCACAACCTAAAAAGCATCTGGACAAGGCGCTAATCAGCTGCTCCACCAGACTTCTGTGAAGTTCATTGCTGCCCTTACAGGCAGGGCCAATCGCAAAAGGAGCAGCTTGAAACTGGGACAAGCTCAGTGTCTTGCCGAGAGCCCATATTCGCAAAAGCTGGTGAACCTGTTCCACATGGTGATGAAAGCTGCATCAACGCACCGCATCTTAGCTGCCGGCTCTTCTGTTGTGATGTGCAGCTCAGCCATGTGAGCCTTGGAGTCGCTCATGGATCGGAGGGATATCCGGGTATCCTCTGATCAGACGTGACTTGGTCCGGCTTCCGCTAAGAACGGCGCAGCCAGAAGATCTTCAACCTTTCAGCTCATTTCCCCTTCGACTTGCAAAGTCTGAACAGCAAGCGCGTTTGGATAAGACGCATAGCTACCTCTCAGAACAGAGCACGTCCCCCCCCCCAACCCCTCCGAAAAAAAGGTTTCCTGCCACATCTCAAGAATGAAGAGCAACGCGTAAAACATATCGATGGCGGGCAGGCGGGTGTGGACAAGACCAGGGAACAAACTTATCCTGAGGCTCCTGACCAGCTGCTTGAAGGCATTGTGCACCAAAGTGTACTCTAACCTGCCATCTTCGTCGAGCTCTGCCAGTCGTGTCTCAAAGCAGCGCGGCTTGACTTGGCCGTGAAAGCAAACGTGGCCGCCCCACTTGTTCTCCTGCATGTGCTGTCCAACACATCTGCAGATCATCTGTCTAAACTCTGCAAGCTTGGTGCAGCAGGGCACGGTCCTCATGATCTTCAAAACAAAGGCAATTGGTATCTACAAACTGCGAGATTGGAACCATCCATGTCGGCGACCTCAGCAATGGCGAGCAGCGGGCAAGTGCATCCCCAAGCCACGGCAAGAGACGTGAAAGCAGCGGCCAGGCTGTTTTGGGTCTAGCGAGGGCGGTGCTGGTCTTGGATAAAACGGCACACCGATGGCTACATGTAATGCAGCCACACATTTCCCCGCGTGAGGCCGTCTAAGGAGCCTCCGAGGTTGAATTGTGCAGTCGCTGTAGAGTTGTGCAATGGCAAGCTGTGCTGTCAGCGTCACAGCCTGAGAAAAATGCCACACCAGGCAACCCACGCATGATCCCATCATGCTCTGTCGGGGGCATGCCCCCACAGGAGTCACGCGGCACAGCGCAGCGCAGCAGTGTCGCAGAGACTACGTCTTGCAGGTCATGCCATGGATGCGGTCGCCTACACGCAAGTGGCGCATTCTGGTGCTCAACCAGGTTTCATGAGCTTGAGGAACACAGCTTAGTAAATCCTTGCAGCATGCGGACTGCAACCGTCCAGCCTCTTGGAGGGCTTGGCGCAAGTGGACAAGCTCCTCCTCGCGCCTCTGTACCTGGCTCTTGGGGAGGTACTGATATATGGGCGAGGAATGAATCTGGTCCTTTTTTGTGTTTGCTTTTGTTTTCGGTCCTTGCCTTTATGTCTTTGGTCTAGGGTTCGTTACTGGAAAAACCTCTCTATTTCCTCTATATTTGTCGGAACCTCTGCTTCTTCTGTACATTGAACAGGAAGCCTCTATCCTAAATTTTCCTACGAAAGCTACAACCCTCTCTGTATTCTCTGTCTCCTCTCAAACATCGATTTCCTCTCCATTCCAATCGACGACCTTCTGTTTCCCCTGTCCTCCCCTCAGAAAACCTCTTCCGCCGCAAACCTGATCATGCCATATCATGCCCCAGGTCTCCTGGCCTCAGCAGCCAACTCCAAGCACTTGTGGCGATAAAAGTCCGCATCCTGCCACGTGAAGTGAGAAAAACCTCACCCTTGAAGCTGCCCGTGCATTGCGTGCAGTTTGGCCCAAAGCCCGTCCGAGGTCTGCATGTCCAACTCGCGTCGGTCACCATCCTCCAGGTTGAAGCCGGGTGATCCAGATGTCGTGACGGGTGGCGTGGTGGTCTGAGTCTGCGGGGAGACGGCCAAACACAGCTGCTTCTCCAGGTGGTCGAGCGCAGCGCGTGTGTCTGCTAAAACTTTATCGTGAACTTGTGTTGCCTGAGACTGTGTGAAGGGTGTGAAGGGTGCCTGTAGATCCGTCCTGTAGGTGGTGATGGGTGGGGGAGGCAGGTCCAATGTTCCCTCAGGCGACGTGCAGGAAGCAGCTGACGGAGATGGCTGCCCCATCTGCGTGTCCACATCCAGTGCGTGGGACTCCTCTTCCTTGATGACACATTGCCTGTAGCGCCCCCACTCCTGCACGAGGCGACTCAGCAGCATGTCCTGACTCTGCATGACCTCTCCGCCCAAACGATGCACAAAATCACCCAAGAACCGGCACTTTTCTGAAGAACGTCCTCACCCATCAGGGATCCGAAGTTTGGCATCCAGTCTTGGGTGGCTTCCGGCTCGTAGCCTTCTTGCTGCACAATGCCTTAGATCAGAGGCTTGAAGGCTGGAAGATGCCTGAACATGCCTCGTCGTCCACCTGGCCTTGTAACATTGTATGATTTTCCAACAGAACGTTTCGGCGAATGTCGACGGGCAGGTCATGTACGTCCTCGTATGCACGTGTCCTCTTTCCTCTGCCCTGCTGCTTACTGACGCTGGCTTTACTGTACCTTCTTCCCTCGTTCCCCCCTCACTGGTATGTCGCTCGTACTAGTATAGCTTGGCTTCCATGACTGACGCCGCAGCAACGCCGGCGAGGCGGATGTCTTTCCTGCAAGGTGAGTAGACTTGGTAAGGTGGATTTCTTCTTTTCTAGCCCCTTTCTATTTTTCTGCTTTACTTTGGCAGCCCTACGTAACGTTTCTGGCTGTTCACAAGTTCCTAATGCTGCATGCTGCTAGTTTTCTAGCTGCTAACAAGCTGCACTCAAGCTGCACAGGCTGCAAATTCCAGCGTTTGTGACTGTTCAACAGCTCCAATGCTGCAAGTTGCCACATTTCTAGCTGCACATGCTGCTTCCATGTGTGGGGGCATCTTATGAAGCTAATACTGCGGGCGCACCTTCACATGGTGAACACCTCTTACATGAGGAAAAGTTGAGAACATGTCGAAATTTGCACTTTTGTTCTCCAGCCTGGAGCAAGGTCTCCACGAGGCCGGCCAGGGCCTGGCGCTCCGCCCGCTCCTCGGCGATGTCCTGCCGCAGCCTCGCGAACTCCTCCTCCAGGCCTTTTCGAGCTCTGCCACTCTCTTCGAAATAAGGAGAAAAAGAGAGAGAGAGAGAGAGAGAGAGTCAGAGAGAGAGAGAGAGAACGAGTGAGAAACAATAAAAAGACAACAGTCCGAAGAAGCCCGCAACCGACAAGTAAACAGGACTTAACGGAGCCACCAAAAGTTGCAAAGCAGAAGCCTCACTGCAGCACGCTGCCACCCTTGAGCTGCCGAATCCGCAAAGTCAGCTGAGGCTTCGGCTCAAGCCTGGAGCTGCTGGGGTCGACGCTGCTGGGGTCGACAGGACTGCAGAATCTGCAAAGGCACCGAAGGCCCGCATCTCCCCGGCACTCTTCCTGTTCCCCTGGGCAGAGAAGATCAAGACACGGGTGCCTGCATGTGCCTGCATGTGCTTTTCATCACGGTGTGCTGTTGCCATTCTCTTGTAGACACTGACATTGCTCCTCCCAAGTGGCACTGGCATTCGTCACTCTGAAACTTGGCATGTTCTCCTCGAGGAAGGTCGTACACATGCAGTGTGCGTTTGTAAGTACACTGTCAGGTCCTGCAGTGCCTTACATTACAAGGGTCTTACAGGTGCCTTGTCTGAATAGTTCAAACACGGTCTTTCGGTTCTTGTTGTGCGACACAAATTACTCCTGAAGTGCCCGACATGGTGCTGGCATCCAAACGACAAACTAACACAAGGCACTGCCGTCAACAGGCCTTGCGCCCAACGTTGGGGGAAGTCTGGTTTTCGGGTCACTTCTGCATGCGGGGCTTGGTGGCACACTTTCGCCTATCATTGCGAGTCTGAACCAGTCAGCCCATGCCACATAAGATGTCGTTGTTGTGTGCATGGTCAGTGCATGGTTGAAGCAAGCGTCGAGTCCATCGCAGGGCCGTGAGTGCTTGCCTGGGCTGGCTTTCAAGCGGCGCGCCACTGCCGCCGGCGCCAAGGCCGCCAGGTGTACAGGTTGTACAGGTACCGACGCCAGCGGCGCCAGCCTGGCTTCCCTGGTAGGGCTTTTTGGTCAAGGCTTTGGCCAGCTGCCACGAAAGAACCCAAAAACTCTAAAAATCTCCAAGTGCCAGGATGAGCTGAGAGTCTGAACGACGGGACCAGCAGCGACGTGCCGCTCCCACGTCCCCTGGCTGCTTGCCGAGATGCTGCCTGAGAAGTGGGTCCCGCTTACTCGAGCTATTTCTTGCGAGCTCGTGCTAGCAGCACGACAAGGCCGAGCCCAGAGCTCGGAGACACACTTGATGCAATGGTGCTCTCGGAGCCTCTGAAAATCCAGTTTGCGAGCTTGAACGAAATATCGGACATGAGGCGATTGCAGCGAAAAGCCTACGCTCCGGCGAGCCGACACTGCTGGTCGCACTGGCCAGACTCTCTCTGCCTGCGTAGCTTGTTGCAGAAGATACCGTATGATACAATTCACAATAACCAGTGCCACTGGAGCTGTCTTGGCCTTCAAAAGTCTCGGTTCTGCCAACTCTGCTTCCAACTGCGCTGCCAAGCGCTGGAATGCAGCTTGACCCAATCGAACAGCTGCGCCACCTCAGCAGCTCTTCAGCCGCCGTCCAGTGAAGGAAAGAATCGGTTTTGCACGCCGTCCGGAGTAAGGCAAGCACTGGACAGTGGCTTCATGGTTGAAGCTGAAACCTCGTGTGTAGCGCTGATGCTCCGATGGTTCAGCTTCATTCGTAAGCAACGCAGAGCACACAGAACACGTTCAAGGTGGAGCCGAAAACATGACGCACAGGCCAATAACCAAACAAAAGGGCGAGTAAGAGTGAACCAAGGAAAGAAGGTGATTGGACCCTCCATGACAAACAGGCTCACGCTGTTTGTGGGCTGCCCGTAAATACCAGATGCTGGGTTTGGAAAGCCGTTTTTGAATTCGCAGCCCGCTCTATCCCCAGACCGCGGTTTCCAACACATGTGGATGATTTCGGATGCAAACAGGTACTACCTCCAGGGCAATCTGTCACGGGTCGGCTTCCACATGTACTTCATCATTCTGCTATGCCATCGAAAAAGTCGCACATGCTCGCAACATTACGCTAGAACAAATTAACTTGCAGCTGGGCAGCTTCGTCCACCGCCAGCTCACTGCCGCAAGCCTTTTGCAACATGGCCAGCCAGTCGCCTGAACGATCAAGACTCGGCCAACGGAAGGTTCAAGAAACATGATGGGACCTGCTGGCCAGCTGACGGCTTCCAAACCATGCGTCGCCAGCATCCGCAAGCCAAAACACCGCAGCTCCTGCTCACGGGGATCCACTGGGAAGACCGCTGGGAAGTTACGGTGGGAGCCGGGGTGACGTGAAGCTGCGCGAAATTACCGGGGTTCTTGCCTTGGCCGTCCAGTGCTCGCCTCCCTCGAGCGAGGAGCGCCGCACAAAATCCACCGCCTCTTGCAGCGCCAACTCCTTGGATCAGTTCCGGAGATTCTTTGAGATTCTTTGGATGTCCAATGTGGGAGCAACTTGAAGCAACAGTTGCTCTTAATGATGTCTGGAGTCGGTAGATTCGGAAGGCCAGTTCTTGAGAGCTTCTCTGATGATGTTCAGCTGCCGCATGCACCTATCACCGCAAACGCTGATCGGGTGATCTTTGCCATCTTTGCGAGCCTCACGGAAAAGGGCCTCCTTCGATCTTCACTCGTGGGTCCACAGCGCACCAGCCGTTGAGGAGACTGGCTGCGCGCTTGGCCCACAGCACCTGCAGTCCACAGGAGCCTTTCGAGCTTCGGCGTTCGCGGGCATTCTGCGGGCATTCTGCGGGCATTCGGGCACTCTGCGGGGGCATTGTGTGGCCTGCTTGTGGCAGGTCCAAAGTGATGAAGCGCTGGGGAGGCTGTGCAGGCATCGCCTCGTGCGAACAATGCGTATTGCAGGCTTCGATCATTGCTGCACATTTAGCCAGGGGTAATGGCGATGTAGCACCAGTGCACAGAAAGTTTTCGTAATTATATCCTCCAAGGGCCAGGCTTGGATGTACCTGGGCGCAATAGAATCAATAGAACTGTACAAAGCCCTGGCGAAGAGGCTGACAAGGTGCCTGAAAGGCGGCGGCTGTGAGCAGGCCCGCTGCACGGGCACTTGCCTGGCAGCAGAAAACATCGCAGAATTTTCGCAGAGAATGCGCAGCGTCTGAGTGTGCAGAATGAAAGACACAATGAATCGGCGAATGCGGCTTCTTCTATTAAGATGCCAAGCCTCGCCACTTCCACCGGTCGAATCCGGGGGTGACCTCTCCAGGGTGCTCGCTCTCCCTCCCTCCCTGCCTTGCTGCCTTCCTTCCTTGCTGCGCAGCCGACCCCACGAAACGGGCCGCTTTCAGGGGGCTTGCGTCGTGCTCCCTCTTTCTCTCTGTCTCTCGCTCTCACTCTCTGGGCGAGGAAAAATCGGGAAACGCGACTGCGTTCTGCTAGAGGCACCAAAAGGCAGCTCTTGCTGGCTGATGAGGGCTGAGGACCTGACCTGTGCATCGTGCGGTGAGCGGCGCGTGTAAAACACCCCCCGTATCTGAGTTCAAGCAGAGAAGAAAACAAAAACAACCATCATCTCTGCCACTGTGACCAACAGCCTGGAGTCTCCCAAGCCGCAGGCTGAGTGAAGGTCTCACAAGAACGGGTGTTCCCTGTGGCCCAGTGGCAGGGACTCAGGAACTGCTCTGGAACGACAAATGTGTCCAGTGAGCCCGGGACGAGCAGACCAGCACTTGCGGACCCAGCCTGTAAAGAATGGCGCGAGCTTAGAGTCTTTTTTGCATTGAACTCTTCAGTTGCTTTGGCCTTACCGCTTGCTGCCATGTCTTTCAGGCCTCCATGCGATAGGCCGATGAGCCAACACGCTTCCGGCGTCAAGGCTTGGCACGGCTGGGGGCGTCTAATCTTTGCCACCTCTGTGGATTCCTAAATCGGCTTTCAAGGCTCGTTGAAGGCTACGGCCTATGCCCGGATATGCCCGGCTACTGTACTGTATGCCGTGGGAAGCGAGGGCTCCTAAACGCCATTCCTGCGCCCCTTCCAAAGGCACAAAGCCGGGGATTGGGCCTCTGTTGTGCAATCTTTGCATTACAAGAATTCTACCAGTTATACACTACATGGAAAGCTTACGTAAAGTTCTACGCGTGCAAGGCCTTCATGGGCTCATGTCGGGGCTCATGTCTACACTTGCTTGCGACCTGTGACCGAGCCACGGCGTGATACAGAATGGCCTGACATAAGGCTCATACGGTGCACATTGTACATTCAGCTGCATGGACCTGTGTCTTGGGCACAAGCTTGAAGATTCCAACGATCAGCTGTGAAGTGCGATCCTGCAGCATTTCACAGATCTTGTCCACAACGTCCCAATCCCGCACAGCAAGCCGCTCTTCACTCCAAGCGGCTCCTGGTCTTCAGCCATTCTGCCTGTTGCGACGTCTGGACAGGGAACGGGAGTGCAAAGACCTCGCAGCTTTCATGGCGCGGCTCCAGGCTTTCGGAACAAGATGCTAACAAAGTGATGTTTGAGCCCGATGTCAATGCATCCCGATACCATGCTCACGGCTCCAACTCTGCAGCGTTGCCTGACATTTGCTAGAATGTGTTCACCTGTAGAGGCAAACTTTACTCTCCTGCGATCGTCTTCGTTGCAGGCGCCAGCTCCTTTCGCAGCGCTTCGGCCTGATTTCGGCCCTGCAGTGAGACGTGCACATGCTTTCGCGTCGCCGCGGGCCTATGTCAACACTTGCTAAACAATCGTTTTGCCTGACAATCATATTTGTGTATCATCATTCACGTGCATATTATTGTATATTCATCCTACTGCAACAAGTTCCCCTGCGTCACTCCGCGGAGACTCCAAGACCTGTTAGGATCAGAAAATTGCTCTGCAGCACTTTTCGACGAAGTCGGCCCTTCCCGTGATCCTGCACTTCCGGGTGGGCCATCTCAAAGGTGTCCAGGTCGGAAACCACCTCCCACGGTCTACCGTGTAGTCATGGCCGCAATAGCTGCACAGATATCAACCGAAAGCTCCGATGGTCGGGGCACAGAACGCAGAATCCGGTCGTTCTGCTGCGGTCTCGTGGCTTGTCTTCCCCTTTCCAGCCACCTGCACGAAGAACTTCTCAACAAGACAGCGGGGGTCAGGGGTGCTGCAGGAACTGTCTTGGCCTGGGTACAGACTGTGCATCTTGAGATGGCAGAGGGTCCTTTCGAGCTCCGAACTGCGAAAAGTTGGTGCGGGCGTCAAAGAGTAAAAGAGTAAGTAAAGAAAAAGCCATCGAAAAAACCGGACCTGGAAATGCTCTGCTCGAGTGCCGAACTCTTCCGAAAACTCTGGTGCTGCCACTTCCGGCTCAAGTTGGCTCTCTGTCACCCGCTTCCATCCAGGCTGATTCAAAGGTATCTCGTGCCTCACGAAAGAACTGCACAAACGACTCTTCGTGTTCAGGATTGTTGGCATTATGGGTACACACAGCCTGAGGCCCCCTCATTTCCAGACCTGACACTGGATCGATCTCGGGCTCGTTCAAGGCCCGCTCTGAGCTGCCGATTTCTGTGCGCACATGTTTCGGACCTAGGCCGAACCTGGGTGAAGCTAGTGGCTGTACCGCCTGGGATATGTGCGGTCGCATGTCGGTTGTGAAAGGTGGAAAGTGTGGAAACGGTGCCTGGATTTGGGCATCGGGTTGTGCAGGCTCACTGCCTGACCGTGCCATTGCCCACTGCTGCCGACCTTTGATGACAACGTCATCCTCGTGCCGAGACTTGGGGGACTTGGCCATGCTGTAGCAGGGGGGGAGGATTGGAAGCAAGGGCAAGGGCTTAGAGTCTCTCTCGGTAAAATCTGGCAAGACCAGCTTGCGTGCGTCCAGGGCTTGATCAGGTGGCGATTTGTGGGTTCCATCACCCCATGTGAGCCAATCCATGGACGCATGCAGCCTCAGCCAGGATGAAGCAAAACAAAGAACTAACATCAACAGCTTTGAAAAGATCTGCCTCCCACTTCATGCTGAGAAGCTTGGTGGCCCAGTAGAAAGACACAGCTTCTTCCACATGGGAAAGTTTCGAAGACAAAGACCAAAAAGTTGAATCTGGTTGTCTCGTCGCATCCCTTACAGCGCCGTGAGCCTGACGAGGCTTTCACCGTGAGAGGCAAGGCAGCGCCCAGCGTGTACACGTGCAATCATGTGCATTTGTTTGCAAGACAGGGGGGGGGGGGGGGGGCGCCTCCAGGCTTTCCTGAAGCACGGATCTGATCCGTGAAGAGACGGACCCTGGAGGTTGCCACACCGAGATGGTGCCATCACGTGCGCCTCAACATGGCACTCTGGGGGACTCGGAGTCACTAAAAGTCGCTGAGATGTCCCTGGGAGTCCATCTCTGTGAGGGCTGGGCCGACGAGCAACTGGCCAGGGTCATGCCAGGGAGAGCCTCAGCTGCAGCCGTTTTGTTCTTTGTGTGGCATGTCCAGCCGCTGGCCAAATGCTCCGAGATGCCCAAGCTGATGCAGTTGGCATTGATACTCGCCTTGGAAGCACGCCGTCACTGCCAAGAACTGTCAAGCACTCCCTTGTTCTGCAAGCAGCTCAGTGGCCTGGTAGCACTGCGCACCGGTGCTAAAGTCAACCACGCAGATCACTGAAGTTGACGCCTGGACGGTCGCCGGACACCGTTTCTAGCGGAAGCTGCAATCAGAGAATAGATCCCCTACATATGCCCCTAAACATCTCAAAACCGTTCTAACGGAAGCACGTGCAGCGCATGCGTCTGTATCTAGACCTCGCACCTTCAACTACATCGTGGCCCCAGCATGCTCTCTTCCACTGGGTATATGTGTTAGAGATCTGTTTCATATGTTCCATATGTTGTATATGTGATATATGAGATCTATATCTATAAAGCTATATATGTATGTCTGTATACAGATGTGTATAATGTAAAAGGGCGCTATTGAATCCATTCGTGTCCGGGCGTCCGCTGGTGAAGAATTTGAGGCAGGCCAGGAGTGCAGCAAGTCGCTGCATGCATAGCCAGGCGTCACACTGCCGGTGCCTCCAGAAGTGGCGATAGGGACAAAATAGTAGAGCGCATACTTCCGAAGTCTCGAACGGCTCTGCCTGCACATCCGACATGCAAGTCGATTGGCCCCAGCGGACCGGGCGTGGATGCGCAGAAAATGTAGGAGCCTGGTACCCATGCCAGCTCCGACAGCTGAGCGCTGCACGTAACTCATATCTGTGCAGGTGCCAAGTCAGGTGCCAAGGTGCCGCTACAATCTAAGCAGATGGACGGGTGCAACGGCAGCATGGGAGCAACCTTGAAAGAGTCTCCTATCTGCGACGCATGCGGGCATGCTAGAGTAGGCTCAGGATGTCTTAGGCTCGTGCTAACATGGAATTGAAGACAGGACATGACTTCAGCAGCTCTCCACTCCACAAGTCGAACACAAGCACGATCGACCTGCACCAGATCTGAAGAATATGGAAGCTGCGCTCCAAAACCGTTCATGAAATCGTCTCCAATCTCCACGCACGCCTTACATCGCTGGAAGGCAGCACTGCTGCCGCAACAAGGTACCTTGCACGAAGCTAACAGTAACAAGGCAAATGTTGAAACAGCGTGTGGCTCAAGAACTAACTCTGTGATGCTGCATGGTCCGCACGTCCGAACGTTCCCGCAACTCTTCCTTGCAGTTGCAGCGCAGCTGTGATGGATGTGCACAAAGGTCGGTGAAGACTCCTCCGGCTGCCTCCAGGACATGTACGACTGATCTATGGTAGGCCGCGCCACTCACCACAACCCCGCCTGGCAAACCGGAGCCAAGGCGAATTCAGCCTTTGGCGCTTTGGCATAAGAGTCGCCCAGTGGGTAGACTTCGTGGAGGACTGCCTGACAGAAACGTCCCCAAGATACACGAGTCACAAAAGATGCCTAACGCAGGCACCTCCCAGGGATGTCGAAGCCTGCTAACGACGTAGAGGTTCTGATCGTAGGCTCGTTGTGTTGCTGTTGGCCGCCACACGAAAAACCTTCACGTATCATGTCACACAGAAATCCAACAGAACACCCATCCACCGACTTCATCTCAACAACAGCTGAGCTGCGCTTGCTGAATCTTCTCGTTGTTGATGCGAGCTCCACTTGGCTCGCCATACTGAATCCTGAGCAAGTTGAAGAAACTGCACACCGGTGCATCATCCTGGCTTGCTTCGCCCAAAGGCCTGTCGACATCGGAGTTAGTTGCAGCACAAACTGTGGTAGCATGTTGCCTGTGCTCTCCAAGATCCACGCTGCAGCAATCGGCTGAGAGTTGGGAACTCAAGCATGTCCTTGCATAGATAGGGCAACGTTCATCGACAATGCACGCGCTCAAACACATGCGTGCGTGAACGCATGAGCATGCACGCGCTCCAGTACCCACACGCGGACATGGGATATTCAGAAATGAAGAATGCCATGAGCTGACACGAGCAAGCCAAATTGCCAATGGCTTGCTCATGTCAGTTCTTGTTTTTTGCCCACGACCTATGTCAAGAAACTATGTCTTGGCGACCCTCACACCGTGTAAGTGTAGGCCCACGCATTCTATCACAGACCCGTGGCCCTCCGATTTCAATCGCTCCATGACAGAGCTTCGCCCTGTAGAGCTTTCAACCGGTGCAAAGCTCACGAAGAAAAAGCAAAAAACAAAACTGCAAGGCTAACCACGTCACACACAGACTATCTCATAGTGGGTCTTTTGGGTCCCTCCGTTCTCTCGAGACAGGGGCGCGAACCACGCTTCCATCGGAGAATGACGCAGCAATGAAATTGCCACAAGGGGAAACATTCAAGTGGCAGCAGGACCTGGGCAGCTCTTTAGCTTCAGTTCAGAATAAGTTCAGAATGAGTTCAGTTTTGCTCTCTCTAGTGCGCAGAGGCTGCTCTCAAAGGCTCAGGCTCGCAAAGGCTGAGTGGCCTCTTCACCTCCATTGGAGCCATGCCAGCCAACCCACGTGCGGGTGCCTGCGCCAGGTCCGCTCTTCGATTTCTTCATTTTTTCTTCGCGTCCCGACTGGGTTGGGGGAGCTTCGGGCTCTGGCCTCCGAAGGCGCCACCGGGCGCGGCACGCAGCGCACCGTCCTCCAACTCACCGCCTTGGAGAAGCTGGGGGGCGTAGGCTTCCGGCTGTTGCCAACACATAGGAGCCCCCATCCCCGCACTCTACACTCCTCCGCTCCTGCCATACTTCCTGGAAACGCCAAACACATGTAACATGATGCAACTGGCCTGGTCAGGAGACGTCTGAGCTTCGGCCTGACACGGCCAGCACATCAAGAATTGCTCAGGCTTAAAGCAACCACCAGCATTAAGCAAGCATGTTGCGCTGCGTTTAGTCAGGGGTCTATTCAAACTCGTTTGCCGGCTACAAAAGTTCGGCGACGGTGAGGCGGGCTGTTCTGTAAAACTGTGAACGGACACCTCCAGGGCCCAGAAAGCTGTGACACACTGCAACCAGAAAGTCATCTTTGTCAAAAATAAGTTGATGACCAGGTTGTGCAAACCAAATGACAGTTGGGGTGGGGTTTCACGAGAGTGTCCAGCGAAGGCTTGTGGTTTGCTGTTTGGGGGTTTGTGAAGGGGCAGAATTGCAAGAGTTTGCAGCTTTGCTGCACGGCATTGTGCCAGGGGGTTTTCGAGGTTTGCTGAGGGGCAAAGGGTTTTGGGTAGGGCTGCGCGTGAACCAAGGCCTGCAACCTCGCTGGGGGCGAGGTTTCTGGGGGTTGCGTTGCGCGCCTGAAGAACCACGGGGCCTGAAACCTCGCCGAGGTTTCGGCCTTTAGGGGAGCTGGCTGTTGGGTGGCCTCCTTGGTACCCGAAAATATTCATGGTTTCGGACGCTCCTTGTCAAGCTTTACGAGTGGCTTTGGACCAGCAATGGCGGGCTATCAGCTTCCGCTGCTTTCTGAGGCGAGGGTTTCAGCACGTATTCTACTTCGGCGGCGACGGACTCTTCTCGCAACGACGGAAAAAGAATTGAGGATCTAATAGGGAGTAAACGGTTGACCATCCCATAGAGCCCATTAAAAAAAAAAAAAAACGAACTGGAACAGTAGGAACCGTAGGATCCGTGGGAACCATTATCTGAACTCTGCATTCAACCGCACGAACTGAACCGTCGAAATAAAAACCATGACCGAATTGAAAGTTCCGTCCGTGTAGCAGCGAAGCACAACAGATGCGACAGTAGACAAGTGAATCTTCTTGCTCGGACACACCTCAACACTGGGCGGAAGACTCTGTTTTCCGGCTCCGGGCTATGCATTGGGTTTGTCTCTTTCCTTCGGTTTGTTGTTGGACTCGCACCTATGTCTTGTTAGTGGGCTATACATGTGGCTTGGGAAGAGTGCTGTGTGGGCTCTGCGACAGTATCTAGAACTCAGTATGTTGGGCTCTGTCCCTCAGGCATCTGTCCAACTCTCCAACCCTGCCGCGTCCACAAAGGGTCGCACATGTGCACATGTTAGAAGCTTCCATACGCGCCTAAACCTATGAAAGCACAAGAATCTACGAAAACACTTCACTGTCCCGATGCACCGGCAGTCCCGAAGTATTTCTTTAGCAGTCTTAGCAGCTGAATCCCTGGTCGAATCACAGACGGGCTCTTTTCTTGCTGCCTTTCTGACCGCAAACTCATGCATGGCTTGTGGCGGCATACCCGATGAGCATGTTTGCCCATCACCGATGCGGATCGTCGGTGGTTTCGTCACCAGGCTCACCCTTCGCAAGCGCGAGGTTGTAGCAAATTAGCCGACCTCCGCTTTGCCTGAGGCATTGGGGACGGCAGGCGCGGCTGAACTAGGCATGTCCTGCTGACTTTGACTAATGATGGATTTTAACGTCCAGACTCAAGCCGATACTAAGACCCCACCAGAGTGCAGCACGAAGAGTCGGTTCCGGGATGCTGCCGCCATGCCCACAATGATGCTGCGAGGCCACGGCATACCACGGTTACCACGGAGGCGATCACCTTCCTTGGACGACGCAGTATCAAAACTGCGACCCCTCTTGCTAATTACGTGTCACAACCTCGACTCTTGACATTGCTGAAGAAACTGCTGAAGAAATTGCTGACGAAGCAGCAAGGGGAGTCACTCGCAGTTCAAATCGTAGCGAGCCTCACGTGAAGCGAACCGTGGAAAATCCCTTCTTGCAACTCCGTGTATACCTGCTGGCATCCTGCTGGCTGCTTTCATCTGCAGTGCATCCAAAAGGCGCGTCCGCCGCAGGACAGTGACAGCCCACAGCATTCTAGCCACCGAATCCATTTTGGTCGACACAACGACCTCAAGCAAAAACACTTCCCAATCCCTCTGAGATCCAAGCCGTGGCACAAGTTGGCACAAGTTGGCACAAGTTGGCACCGAGCAGCAGTGGAGAGGCCCGGCATGTACACAGCGTGTGCGAAGGCCCCATTGAAGGGAAGCGAGTGTTTGCAACGCATGCTCAAGCAGCCGTCCTTCGATAAAGCAGAGGGGCAGGACAACTTGGCAACACTGTATTGACTAAACAAAACCGAGTTGTTGAGTTGTATGCTGGTTGTGGCAGCCCAGATTCGGTGAGCCACACGGTTGTCTCAGAGAAGATCATGGCCATGTGTTCCGTGCGAGTGCCTACACACGTGAACTCCAGATTTACGGAGTTCTTGCGCAACATGCGAGAGCAACCGTTCGGAAGTTGACAAGCGTCGCGCCTGAAAGCAGCAGCGCTCGCGCCTCTTGAGCATGCACACAGCTCAGAACCTGCACACGTTGGAGTAGGTCCTGGCTGAGGTACGATTGCGAAAATCTTAGAATGCCTTCGATGCCTTCAAGGCTAAGGCGGTTCAATGCAACTCTCGTCCTGAGCTTCAAGTAGGGGAAGCACAAAGGATCGAACGAGCTCTGCAGGTAGCAAGCAGCCATTTGATGTCCAATCCATCATCATGCTGTCACCTGGTAGTGGCTTCTTCGCTTAGACTCTGTTGTGATGTGAAAGCTGCGCCGTCGCAATCTCATGCATGCAAGTCTTATAGCAACTCCACGCAAGCCAGCAACGCTACGCAAGCAGCAGGGCAATCTTGAACACGCGCCTGGCTGCGGGCAAGGTGGCGCCTCCACTGTCTGGATACATCTCAGGGGTATCCAGCACGCATTCCATGCTTTCCTTCCAAGACGCACGTGCCAGGCACGCAACGCTTTGAGGCACGGGTGCTGCGCGAACTAGAACACAAACTCTGTGATTTGCCCTTTCTAAATCGATTCCTATTTGCCTTCCCTCATGTGGCCTGAACTACACACGACATCCACGCTGCGGCATGCTTGGGCCCAAAGCTGAGTTTAAAAACACAAGTAGGAACTTGTTAAACGGGCCGCACCTCCTGGTCCCATCAGGTTCAGGAGCAAAGCTTCGCACCACGGAGGCAGGCTCGTTCTCGGGTGGAAAACTCGGCGGGCGCCGAGGCAGGCCATTCTCCTCGAGGTCCGGTGGCTTCTCGATGATGACCGGCGCGGGTTGACGGGGCTCATTGGGAAGCGGAGGTGGAGCTAGGTTCAGCACCTTGACCTCGCCGGCAAGGGAGCCCACAATTGCACGTCCCCGGGCAATGTCAATAGTCGGCAAGTTGTCGGCAAAACCATGCAGAAGCGATGGCATCAGGCTAGATTCCGAACCCTCCCTGACTTGTCTTGTCTGCCAGCCCCTCTCCATCTTTCTTGCTCGTGAAGGGAAGGATGGTGACGGGCACGGGTCTGTATTTTGTGGGGGAGTGAGCCACCAGGCTTTGACGCAGTGGTCATTTGCCGACACAAGCAAAGGGCCATCTGACGTGGCAGCTTCCCCATGGGGAGATAGTCCGATGCCCCATGTGGAGATTTCATTCCGGAGTTTGAGGACCGGTTGCTTTGTGGGATTGCTGGTGGATGGCACGACCAAGACGCCGCCCAAAGAGTCGACAGCAACAACCACCGACTGGCCACCGACTTGGCCGCAGCGGATGCGATTGGCCTGTGCACTGAGCTCCGGAGCATAGGAGGTGAGAACAGGCCTAGCAGTAACACCCACTTCCACTTCGAGGTGAGCCTGGGTGACCTGAGCTTCGAGGCCAGCCAGAGAAAAGCCAAAGAGCTGGCGTTGGTTGGCAATCCAGAGAACTTGGGACACTGGGCAGACATCCATGATGTTCATGGGTGGCCCATTGGGGCCAAAGCGCCAGAGCTCAGCCTCGCCTAGCGGCATCCGCGGCACCTCCCAAGCCGGACAGCAAGAGAGCACCAAATTGCTTGCCGCCATCTGTGCCACACCATTGGGGTCCCAGCCCCAGTCGTTGAAATCCTTGATGTCTTGGCCAAGTATATCACCAAACAGAGACAGATCATCATCGGAATCACCATCACCAAAGGCAGCTTCTTGTTCCATTGCTTGCTCGAAATCTTCAGCATCTGAAACCATGTGTAAAGCATCTTCCTCATTCAGCTCACCGATGTAATGTGACTGCTCCTTCAGGGATCTTGCAGTACACCTACTCGCTTGGATTTAACCTTGTTTGACGTCAGCGTTGCTACCGCACAGTAACTTAGAAAGGAAGCACCACATGTAAAATCATGCTGCAATGCAAGACCAGCAAGACCAAAACAGAAACAGGGTAGAACTATGCAGAGCTCCTCATTCAACCAGCCCTCAGCTTCCTGTGCGAACTCTTCCAGCTCTGCCATTTCTGCTTGGGCAGCAGCTTCCTCTGCCATCCAGAGCTCCTCAGCCGCCGCCTCCTCGGCCATGCGGATCTCTTCCTCAGCTGCCTCCTCTTCTGCTCTCCAAAGATGCTGGCTTTCTGCGTCCAGGTCCTCCAAGTCGCTGTCGCTATGCATGCCGGGCCTCTGCGTGTTTGGACCATTGGCCAGCACCCAGCTTCAGTTTCGTGCCTTAAACTAGCCTGGGCAAGAGTAATTCTGCTTCGTAGATGCAGTCTTACTATGTCTTCTTGCTTGTTGATGGGCTGCGAACGGCCGGTTGGGTCAGCCGCAAGTCAACACCTCGGCCTAGCTCGGCCCTGTTTGTGTTGAAGGCTGTCATGGTGGTGCGTAACATGCCCATCTGTTGGCTGAGGCAAAATAGCGTGGGCAAGCTCTTGCGACTGAACTCCGTAGGCTGTCTATGACTGTCTACTATGTTCCAAGCTACAGTGTGCCTCCAGCAAGTGGACGGAGCCATCTTCTGCTCCAGCCACAAGAGCATACGCCCCTGGCACAGAAAACCATGCAACAAGAGAGTTGGCCAAAACGGTGAAACAAGACACAACAGTACGTCACCGACCGCCTCCCCCCCCCTTCCCCCCCTCTCAACCCCGAACCCCCCGGTGGGGCTGACCAGTGAGGCTGCCATCCAGCGCGAGGCAAGCAGAAGGGTGGAATGCAGCAGCTGTCACGGCTCTCTTTGGGGTGTTCTCCGGCAAGCCTCAGCGCTCCACGTGATCCAGCGTTGGGAAAGAGCAAAAGAACTGGCGATGTGTGGATGCACGGTTCTGTAGGTCTCCGACTGGGCACTGCCTGCTCCCCATCAAGTACTGGAACGGGAACGTCCATACTCTGCTGAAGGCACCTGCAATGACTGCAATGCAGATCGTCGGCACCGCGCTGTGCCACAAGTTACAAGTCGGCCCACCCTCGTGCTGGAGGTCCGACTTTTGGCCAGGCAATGAAGCCCAGCCCTGTGGCTGGACATCGCGGCCTTGCGCATCGTCTCTATCATACTCTATCAGACTCTATCATACTATCACCATGTTCCATCATCTTCTGCCCGACGCTCCCAAGACTCGGACTTCTGGGAGCCAGTGCTGAGAAATGCCAGGGCCTTTGTCTTGAGAATTCCTGACGCGCAACATGCAGAAGGCAAACTTGCCATATAAGTTCTCTATTGGGCATTTTGGGGCCCTTTCGCAAAGCAGACAGTTCAAAACCCAAATCTTCTTCGAAGTTCCCTATTGTACATCTTGGGGCCTTTTCGCAAAGCAGACAGTTCAAAACGCACTTCCTCTTCGAAGTTCCCTGTTGGGCATCTTGGGGCCTTTTTTCGCAGAGCAGACAAATTGAAAAAACCCTTCCTCTTCGAAGTTCCCTATCGGGCATCTTGGGGCCTTTCCGCCAGGCAGACAGTTCAAGACACAGTTCCTCTTCGAAGTTCCCTATTGGGCATCTTGGGGCCTTGACGCAAAGCAAACAATTCAAAACGCACTTCCTCTTCGAAGTTCTCTATTGGGCATTTTGGGGCCCTTTCGCAAAGCAGACAGTTCAAAACCCCATTCTTCTTCGAAGTTCCCTATTGTACATCTTGGGGCCTTTTCGCAAAGCAGACAGTTCAAAACGCACTTCCTCTTCCAAGCTCCCTATCCTCGAAGTTCCCTATTGGGCATCTTGGGGCCTTGACGCAAAGCAGACAATTCAAAACGCACTTCCTCTTCGAAGTTCTCTACTGGGCATTTTGGGGCCCTTTCGCAAAGCAGACAGTTCAAAACCCAAATCTTCTTCGAAGTTCCCGATTGTACATCTTGGGGCCTTTTCGCAAAGCAGACAATTCAAAACGCACTTCCTCTTCGAAGTTCTCTATTGGGCATTTTGGGGCCCTTTCGCAAAGCAGACAGTTCAAAACCCCATTCTTCTTCGAAGTTCCCTATTGTACATCTTGGGGCCTTTTCGCAAAGCAGACAGTTCGAAACGCACTTCTTCTTCGAAGTTCCCTATTGGGCATCTTTGGGGCCTTTTTTCGCAGAGCAAACAAATTGAAAAAACCTTTCCTCTTCGAAGTTCCCTATCGGGCATCTTGAGGCCTTTCCGCAAGGCAGACAGTTCAAGACACCGTTCCTCTTCGAAGTGCCCCATTGGCATATCGGGGCCTTTTCGCAAAGTAGACTATTCAGAACGCCCTGCCTTTTCGAAGTTCCCTATTGGGCATCTTGGGGCCCTTTTCGCAAAGCAGGCTAATTGAAAACGCCCTTCCTCTTCGGGATTTTTAATTAGGTATCTTGGGGCCCTTTTCGCAGAGCAGACAGTTCAAGACCCACTTCCTTTTCGAAGTTTCTATTGGGCATCTTGGGGCCTATTCGCAGAGCAGACAGTTCAAGACCCACTTCCTCTTTGAAGTTCCCTATTGGGCATCTTGGGGCCTTTTCGCCAAGCAGACAACTCAAAACGCCCTTCCTCTTCGAAGTTCCCTATTATTCTGGGGCCCTTTTTTGCAGAGCAGACAATTCAAAACGCACTTCTTCTTCGAAGCTCTCTATTGGGCATCTGGGGGCCTTTTCGCAGAGCAGACAGTACAAGACTCACTTCCTTTTCGAAGTTCCCTATTGGGCATCTTGTAGCCTTTTCGCAGAGCAAACAGTTCAAAACGCACTTCCTCTTCGAAGTTCCCTATTGGGTATCTTGGGGCCTTTCGCAGAGCAGACAGTTCAAAACGAATTTCCTCTTCGAAGTTCCCTATTGGGCATCTTGTAGCCTTGACGCAAAGCAAACAATTCAAAACGCACTTCCTCTTCGAAGTTCTCTATTGGGCATTTTGGGGCCCTTTCGCAAAGCAGACAGTTCAAAACCCCATTCTTCTTCGAAGTTCCCTATTGTACATCTTGGGGCCTTTTCGCAAAGCAGACAGTTCAAAACGCACTTCCTCTTCGAAGTTCCCTATCCTCGAAGTTCCCTATTAGGCATCTTGCGGCCTTGACGCAAAGCAGACAACTCAAAACGCACTTCCTCATCGAAGTTCCCGATTGTACATCTTGGGGGTTTTTCGCAAAGCAGACAATTCAAAACGCACTTCCTCTTCTAAGTTCCCTATTGGGCATCTTGGGAGACAAATTGGAAAAACCCTTCCTCTTCGAAGTTCCCTATCGGGCATCTTGGGGCCTTTCCGCAAGGCAGACAGTTCAAGACACCGTTCCTCTTCGAAGTTCCCTATTGGGCATCTTGGGGCCTTGACGCAAAGCAAACAAGTCAAAACGCACTTCCTCTTCGAAGTTCCCTATTGGGTATCTTGGGGCCTTTCGCAGAGCAGACAGTTCAAAACGAATTTCCTCTTCGAAGTTCCCTATTGGGCATCTTGTAGCCTTGACGCAAAGCAAACAATTCAAAACGCACTTCCTCTTCGAAGTTCTCTATTGGGCATTTTGGGGCCCTTTCGCAAAGCAGACAGTTCAAAACCCCATTCTTCTTCGAAGTTCCCTATTGTACATCTTGGGGCCTTTTCGCAAAGCAGACAGTTCAAAACGCACTTCCTCTTCGAAGTTCCCTATCCTCGAAGTTCCCTATTAGGCATCTTGCGGCCTTGACGCAAAGCAGACAACTCAAAACGCACTTCCTCATCGAAGTTCCCGATTGTACATCTTGGGGGTTTTTCGCAAAGCAGACAATTCAAAACGCACTTCCTCTTCGAAGTTCCCTATTGGGCATCTTGGGAGACAAATTGGAAAAACCCTTCCTCTTCGAAGTTCCCTATCGGGCATCTTGGGGCCTTTCCGCAAGGCAGACAGTTCAAGACACCGTTCCTCTTCGAAGTTCCCTATTGGGCATCTTGGGGCCTTGACGCAAAGCAAACAAGTCAAAACGCACTTCCTCTTCGAAGTTCTCAATTGGGCATTTTGGGGCCCTTTCGCAAAGCAGACAGTTCAAAACCCCATTCTTCTTCGAAGTTCCCTATTGTACATCTTGGGGCTTTTTCGCAAAGCAGACAATTCAAAACGCACTTCCTCTTCGAAGTTCCCTCTTGGGAGACAAATTGGAAAAACCTTTCCTCTTCGAAGTTCCCTATCGGGCATCTTGGGGCCTTTCCGCAAGGCAGACAGTTCAAGACACCGTTCCTCTTCGAAGTTCCCTATTGGGCATCTTGTAGCCTTTTCGCAAAGCAAACAATTCAAAACGCACTTCCTCTTCGAAGTTCTCTATTGGGCATTTTGGGGCCCTTTCGCAAAGCAGACAGTTCAAAACCCCATTCTTCTTCGAAGTTCCCTATTGGGCATCTTGTAGCCTTTTCGCAGAGCAAACAGTTCAAAACGCACTTCCTCTTCGAAGTTCCCTATTGGGTATCTTGGGGCCTTTCGCAGAGCAGACAGTTCAAAACGAATTTCCTCTTCGAAGTTCCCTATTGGGCATCTTGTAGCCTTTTCGCAAAGCAGACAACTCAAAACGCCCTTCCTCTTCGAAGTTAACCGCTGCAACGTGGGAATGCCGAACCAAAGGAAAACACAATGCGAAGCAAGAAGACCATGTTTTGCATAGCGCTGAGGGATGCCTACGAGGGGGCGGGCAACCAAAGACTTCTGCAAACCCAACTCCCGCACCAGGTTCCAATTGGAGCTCGCCTTTGGGGCCATGGGGGCTTGCTGCTGCTTCCCTCTGCCGCTGGCATACAGCCAGTCAGCGAGTTGCTTATGTAAGGCTACGCAGTGAGCGAGATCCAATCATGTAGCCAAGGGTCTTTCTCCGTCAAGCATCCGTCCAGCAAGCGCTGCCGGTGCTGACAGCCGAGGTGCTGTGATTATACCTCATGGTTTTCCCTACTTTTATCGATCCCCCAAACATAACATAGGTAGCAACAGGTTTAGCTCTTCTACCCAATCTGCAGGTTTCATGCGACATTGCTCTTTGCAATAACCTTGATGGTGAAATCACATGACCGCAGGCGCTTGCCAGAGTTTCGATGTGGAAATGCGCTCAACAATGATGCCGTCTCGACTTGTTTGGAAAGAGCTGACACGCACACACGCACAGACAGACACAGGGACAGAGAAAGAGAGAGAGACGCGGACAAAGACACAGAGACATAGAGACACACACACACAAACACAGACACACAGACACACAGACACACAGACACACAGACACACAGACACACAGACACCCAGACACACAGACACACAGACACACAGACACACAGACACACAGACACACAGACACACAGACACACAGACACACAGACACACAGACACACAGACACACACACACACACACACACACACACACACACACACAGAGAGGCGCACACACACACACACACACACAGAGGCACACACACACACACACACACACACACTCGAGCTAGTGGAAGGAGAAGACGAGCTGGATATGGTAGGGTGGGCGAAGCACACGTTATCTGAATACCTGCGTAGAGGACTCGACGAGCAGGATCCTGGCCAGCAGCTCATGAAGTTGAAGTTTCTTGTTGCAGATCGCAACGAAGCAAAGTGTCTACTGAGACAAGAAGGCTTGACACAGACTATCCAGGCGGGGGCCCAAGAACGGGACTTTCGTCCCTGTGCCCTCGGGCCGAAGAACCCAATGCCCGGCGCATCAAATCATGTCAAATCTCGGTTCTCCATTTCCGGAAAGACAAGCAAACCACAGCCGAGGCTTCCTCCACGTCAAGCTGGTATCGCCAAACAAAAGAGGTCAACAGAGTATAAGTATTGATCTTGTTCTCCTTGCGCTTGGCACGGAGAACATCAGGGGCATTCTGTGATCACAAGGTCTCTCGGCCGAGGCGGTCGACACGCATCGTTTGCAAGCATTGCGCACAACACTACGAGCTCCATGGTCGCTTGGAAGTACGGACCAGCTGAGGACATCATCACCAGCCAATTTCATTTAGCAAAGAGGCTGCAAATGCTTCCCGCATGTCCAGCTCGCAAAGCTACCCACTGCCCTGAGCTGAGATGGACGACCTCAGCGGAGACCATGCAGGAATACATGGCCACTTCGCCTCTGACATGCCGCCAACCAGTGCCGGGCCCCATGAGTCGCGTCTGCAAAACAGACGCACGCATAATCCTGCATGCTGCATAAGCTCGTTCCGGCAAGGACAACTGCCAGAGTCACACTTGCAACTGCATTGCAACTTGCAAATCCTCGTTGGCTCCAAGCGAGACGGAGACAACACCCGGCATATGCTTCTCGAGGCCGGACTTGTCGCAAAGCTGAGTTGGGCATGGCAGGGTCTTCCAGCGCTCAGGACCTCAACTTCAACCACAAGAGATGGGCCACAGTTGCGACACTCTATCGCCACAAGATCAAGCCGCACTAGACGATAATCATCAAGACGACTCTAAGACGACTCTTTCAGTGCATGGAACTGCCTAATTAAATGAAGGTTGTTCAGTTGTTCAAGGTCCTGTGCCATCAAGTCTATTGAAACGCAGACGCAGACTGCGCCCTGTATCACATGCTCAACAGGAACATGGCCCTAGGTGAGGTTCGGCGCGAGTTCAACTGCTCAACTTTGGGCGGCGCTGGTGCTGCGAGATACCAGAAGAGAGCCGTCGTCACAGCCGACGCAACTCAGCGAATGCAGAGGGAATTTCAACCAGCTCAAAGAGTTCTGAGCCCTAGGAGTCTAGGAGCTTAAGGGAGGACCATGTAGGGAAGGACGACCAAATCAGTTCGGCACATGATTAAATTAGCTGAGAAGCACCGTACTTGCCTTTGCATCTATGCAGGTTGTCTTTGAAGCAGGCGCTTGCACAACCTGTCAGATTGACTCGAACACGGCCAAATTGGTGCCTGCTGTCCCTTGCCTGCTCCCGCTGGCCCTGGAAGTTCATCACCTGTGAGTGGTCGCGTGTCTCCGCGCGGGTCGTTGCGTGACGGCTTCCCTTGCCTGAAGCCGCCCATCCGTCAGGAGATACGCAAGGCGGCCTTGCAACTCCATTTGAAGGCGCAGCCAGCTCGACAAGGTCCGTTGAGGTGGCCTTCCAACTCAAATGCTCTCAGCGGCTTCGTGAGGTCCACCCGCAGCACCTGCGAGCAGTGAGAAACTCAAGGCGAATGCCAGAGAAAGACCGAAAGAGTGAGTGAGCGAGCTGGCGAATGTGAGCGAGTGGGCGAGAGAGCAAAGGAGGAAGAGAAAATGAGAGTGAGCTGCCGACTGGCATCGTTGGAGATATGCTGCATCCCAAAGCTGAGGCTTAGCTAGTCCTGGGGCAACTTCAGTTAACATACTTTTAAACGGTTTGCAATCACTTCCAAGTTGTTGTCTGCCAGGTGTTTCACACTTTCTTCGAAAGTCACTTGTCACCATGACTGCCTATGCCCCTTGGAAGTTGTGGGAGATTTCTGTGGGTCTGGGACCCCGGTGTTGCTTCTGCCGATGAGCACCCAGAGCCGTTTCCCTTAGCTCCTCCGTATGGAGCCCGCGAGAATCCTGCTAGCTACCGTAGATCGTCGAGAGGGCGATCGACCTTGCTTCGCAGCCACTGCCAAGACGTCGTCAAATTAATCGGAGAGCCCCAGCTAATATTCGATCATCTCCAACAGTCTTTGGCTCTGTCGGACCACACCGAAAACGTCCCAACAGTGCATGCCACGCAGGTGATTTTGGATTCCGAGCCAAGTCACGCAAGCGCGTCTCTGGCACAGGAGCCATGAAAGCTTCAGGCTTTCAAAGCCTTTTTTGGGTGCTTGTTCAAAAGCCATTGCAAGATTGTGCCAGGTCGGGAGCATGCGCCATGTCCCAAACAGCGGCATTCCACAAACGTTTCGCGCCTTTGCTGTCGGCGCGTTCTACGCATCTATTGATTGAGTCTTTCCTGTCCTCTCGGCCCGTAACTTACATCCCTTCAATAATGCCCTTTGGGGTTTGATTGCTGGCAGGCAGTGTCGGGATTGCCTTTGCCGAGCTTTCCTTCCCAACGCCGACACGTCCAAAGACCAGCGAGCCCTCATAGGTGCTGCTGGGAGGCATGAAGAACTTGCTTGCTGCTTTATACTGTTGTTCACCTGGTTCTCCGGCTTTGCTTCCGAGGCAACCGAGTAGGCAGTGAGTGAGTGAGTGAGTGAGTGAAAGAGAGAAAGAGAGAAAGAGAGAAAGAGAGAAAGAGAGAAAGAGAGAAAGAGAGAAAGAGAGAAAGAGAGAAAGAGAGAAAGAGAGAAAGAGAGAGAGAGAGAGAGAGCGAGAGAGCCTGTGAGAATGAGAGCCTGTGAGAATGAGAGCGAGGGACAGATGGACTAAGTTCTCCCACCCTTGATCACAACAACTTAAGTGATTAGAAGCAGTAGAACACAATAGCCCACAATGGCCCAACCTGGCGGGGTCCACGGGTGCTGCCGTAAGTCCAGAAGTGCACGGCGTGCACCTGCAACAACTCTTCTTCCACAGATACGTCCGCAGCTTTCTCAGAAATTCGTTTCTGGCCTCCGCAACCGCGAAATGCCGTGCATCTTCCACAAGTCGGACGGACAACGGAGCATCCGAAGGTCCCAAGGAGCCCTGTGCCAAGGGGCGTGGACCTTCCGTCGCTCGACAAACTTCCCTGATACAAGCTAGTTGACTTGCGGATGTGATCAGATGTGGCATCGAGGTGTTGCTTGGAATGCCGGCTTAGGACATCAGCATCCCAGCAGGCGACCCATGCGGACAGAGCCTCATCAGGACTGCGTTCTGTGCATTGGACACAACAGGATGACACAGGAAGCCAAGTTTATAGGCGTTTGGGCTTTTGGGGGCCATGCGGAGTTCCCATGTATGAGGACAACCAGGTGCTGCGTCTCTCGGTGAAAATCCACCTCAGCTTTCTGGTGTCAGGAATGCAGCTTCTTCACATTCTGATTTCAATTTGCTTCGCCACAATCTGGTAGCTTCGGACCCAGAGTCCCTGCGCCGCCTCATCAGACAGGCTGTGTTCCGCGACCTGCAGAGCAAAGAAAGATCGGAAAAACCTAGGACGGCCCTGAACAAATCAGCTCAGCTGGCAGCGCCCATCAGTTTGCCTAAGGTCTCGGCCCGAACACCATCTGCAGCCCGCCAGACGGACAATGTGGGCTGTCCGCTGGGTGACAACCAGAATCCCAGCACAAAGCGGGCGTCCTGTTTGTACGCAAGTAACCCCTCAGTGGCAACGAAAAAAACACTCCACCAAGCCTTGCTGAAAAAGATCTCCAAGCAGCGCTGGCCCGGCTGCCTTACAGCGGGCAAGATATTTTCTTGGCCTTTGCCCAAGGGACGACCAAGGAGGACCCAGCCATGGGTGGACTTTTCTACGCCGGCGCTGGTCATCTTCCTTGCAAATGCTAGTCGCGCTAGTCGTCGGCACATCCTGGCAGTGGCTGAACTGCATCTGTCTGATGGCAGCCCCACTTGACACTTTCCAAGAGCGCAGTGTCTTCAGCGCTCAGGGGAGTTCGGAGGCAATGCAAGTCTTCTTCAACGTAGGACCTGGGAAGCTCCCACAAGCCAGCACACCCCCGGGAGTGAGTTCTTGGAACTGACAAGCTGCCTTGGTGCAACAAAAGAGCGGTTTCAACATGCTGGTCGCCATGGCAATGCCCTGGTCTAAGTACCACCGGGCGATGACCCTCAGCGGACAGACAACTGCGCATCGTAGTGCAGTCTCTTGTGCTGCAGTCTCTGGTGGTGGAGCTACATGAAGCTACGTGATGCTAAAGAGCTGCACATTCTTTCAGCCGTGAACGTCGGTCCCTGACCCCTATAGACGAAATCACAGCCCAGCTGGAAGGCAAATAAAAGAGACCCAGGAAAGACTTCGAGGATTTGGTCAGCTTGGCCTGTGCGTTTGGTCTGGTGGCCTTCGTGCTTTAACATATGCGCGCCCTGTGCTAAGCTTGCCCCAAACTTGCTTCAAAAGGCCTCGAAGCTTGGAGTCCCCTAGTCAAAACTTCATAGAATCATGAGATGCTCCCTGAGCACCATCCTCCGAATCCCAAGCAAACCTCCCTGCCGCGCCCCGTCATAGCCAAGCAGCTGAAAAACAGTTGCATTGTACTTATTGGCGAGCTCGCTGGTAATTGATCTTGTGCCATCAAGACAAGCAGACTAGCACGGCTCTTGCGACGACTCTAGCGACTCGTGCGACTCACTGCAAGGGCCTGTGCGCTCCAAGTTGTTCCGGATCATCCAGATTCTGCCAATTGTAGGGGCCCCAAGCCTAACTGGTGAAGTCACGTGCTTCTAGGAGGAGACCGCATCTGTGAGCCATTTGCAACCCAAGAAACAGATGTCGCCATGCCCTGGCTCATAGCCCATTTTGCCAGATCCAGCTGCTTCTTGGGCATGAAAGGTGTGATCCATCCATGCATGATGTCTGGCTTGACTCCTGGATTGGAGCGGTGGAATCGAGTCAGTTCAACTGTTTGCCTGCGAAGTCGCCCTTTTAACCACAAATCCAAAACACGAGGATTGCGACATTCCAGCACGCGGACGCCTACTGCGACGCGACAGGCCTGTGGAGTTTATCAGGTACTCGATTTCCTTCTGCGTGTGGAGCCCAACCTGCACATGATCAGTCAATTCAGGCGATGCAGCGCGGGTTTCTCTCCTATGCGAGGCAGAACTCCTGAGAATCTCCGGATGCTGAGAAAGGGACACCAATGTGCCGGACTTTTCCAGCTCTTTGAGCATCAATGAGACCCCAGTACAGCTCCAAGTTTTGTTCCTCCGTCACGTTCGCTACGTCGGGCTTCGTTTTGTAGACTTGCTCAACACCCCAATGGAGATACATGTCCTCAGAAGAGTGCTTCAACATGCTTCGCGTGGAAGAAGATCGCAACAGGACCACCGCTCAGTTTTTGTTCTTTCTTTTTTCACACATGTGGGTTGCAACGCCAAAGCTGCTAGGCTTGCATCAGGCAACATCGACGTAAGTGACATTCAGCCGATGGAGACTTGCATCTACTTGTCCCGCGACCCATTGCCGTGGATTCCGCGGCATGACAATGGGAGGATCCAAAGCTGTTGTGACCTGTTCGCTCAGGGCGCTGCTGGCCGTCAGCCTTGTCTTCATGATGCAGCACTCTGAGGCAGCTGCCCATATCTGCTCCCTCGGAACGCCAGAGTCTCGAATGCCTTCTCCCACAGCTTGCTCATTGCCATAGCCTGGATCTTCAAAGCTGGTAGGCACTGGGCAGCTCTATGTAACACATAGCCAAGGCGCCTGGTGCTGTGGCAACACGGCGGCCGCCAGCAGCCAAGTACCTCCCCGCAAACTTGCATGCACTTGTAGGCGGTAGTCGTTTCATAGCTCTCAGCTGAACTCCAAGAGCTGGCTAGCCATCAAAGGGATACAAGGCTGATCTCCTTCTTCTCCCGCTCTCTCCCTTTCTCTCTTTCTCGCGCTCTCTCTCTCTCTCTCTCTCTCTTTCTCTCTCGCCTCAGTGTGTGTTTGGTTGTTTGTGTGTGTGTGCGTGCGCGCTTCTTACTTCCTTCCGGTGCACGTAACCCTATATTACATATACATATGCATATATACATATGCAGTAATCAATTGACCCATAAACCCAGTCATATGGCCCATATGATTGGGTATGCGAGATTTAAATAACCGACCAACCCATTTACCCATTGAGCCATTAACCCAATCGTTTGGGCAATATGACTGGGTTAATGGGTTAAAGTACGGGGCTAACCCATTAACCCATTAACCCATCGTTTGGTGACTGGGTTCATGGGTTAATGGGATACTGGGGAATCAACAAGATTCCCATGCGCACCTTGCCACAGCTGGATGAACGTTTGCGCTGCTGAGATCTCTCGGCATGCCTCGAGCCAGTCTCTGGGAGTCCATATATTATTGCACGGCTGACAGTACGGCGCAGCCTCTCTCGGCATTGAGGCTCAGTTGAGGTCAGGGCAGCATGCGATGTATCCAAGGACAGGAAGGCCGCTTGCAGAGCCCGCCACGGGTACAGTGTCGGTGCAAACACCCGCGTGCTCAGCAAACCTCAGAACTTGTCGACGCTGACTTGACACTCGTCACTTGCTGCTCAGGCTTTATTGTGTCTTTAGGGACTTTAGGGTGCTGATGTGGCTACCGAGGAGAAACTTCGATTCAGCCTCTGATCATGCCGACCACCGAGTGTGCGTACTGTGAATCTGGTCTCCCTAAAGCGTCATGGAGCTTCCAAGCTGTCAAAGCAATTTATACAGTATCTGGGGGCAATCTCAACGGGCATTGGAAGGGAGTATGCTTGCTGATGGGAAATGCGGGGCATTGAGAACCATGCAAAGTCGCGGCGGCTCGGCGTTTGCGTGTGCATGCCCCGTGTTCAAGTGGCCGATCCTCTCAGTACTCCTACAGATTTGTGGCACGGGTTTGTGAGGAAGCTCATTTAGTGAGCTACTTGGGGCAAATGTTCTGGTTCTGCACGGCTCAGCGAGGGTTGGGAGCTCTCATGTCTCTCGTCAGAGCTCCAGGAGTTCCTTCGTTGGAAGATGTGCAGAGGGTGTCACTTCGAAAGTAGCATGTGCCTCGACATTTACCTTGGACATGTGATTGCCAGGTTTGCAGTCTGTTTCTTCGTTGACGGGGCGCCTCGCTGCACGGTGACGGTTCGCCGGCTTCCATTTGGGTAAGATTTGGGCTTGTAAGGGACCTGATGCGGCGGGGATGTCAGTTGGGCGTCAGGGCCGAGCCTTCGAAGGGCCAGGTCTTCGTTACACTCTGAGGCCTTTTATTGATCGAGAAACTGGAGTTACTTCCTGCCTTGGCTGCGTACACTACACGACACTACACCCCCAGACACTACACCCCACCACATCATGGACGACACTCCTCTCCAAAGCACTCCGGGAAGCTTTGCAGAGCGAAGTCGCTGAAGCGTGAGCGCGGTTTGCAGGAGTGATGTGACAGCGGCACCTGGGAAGTTTTGAATTCTTGGCTCACTTTCCAAGGTGAGGATGACGCTATTAAGAGCATGAAGGTTACAAACATGGCTTTGCTTATAAAGATAGTCTTCGTAACCCTTTCATTGAGAGGTTCACTCGCTCAGACACTTCCTACATCTGGTCCATGATAAGAGCCCACATGAATGTCACTACTCTACAACTTTAAACTCAGCTTACCAATGCTTACTTCCTCTCCACAAAGCCGTGTCAATGATTCGAATTCTCGCAACACGACTGATGTACCAGGAGTTTTCTCCCCTTGGTTTTTTCTCTGGATTTCTCATTCTCAGTGTCTTATTTTGCTTGCGAGCGGGGGGGGGTTGCGCTTGGTTGCAACAAGACAAATTGTGAAAGGAATGAAGAGATGAAGCTCAAGTTCAGGTACGCCACTTTCTTCCTGTGCTGTAACGGGTGGTGTTTCCTCTTCACGGTTCATGGACTGGCTGGTGAGCAAGAAACCCTGATCACACTCAAAAACTGGGCTCTCTTCACGCGCTCTGGTTCTAGGATTTCCTATGGCAGGGCATGTCTTGAACAAACATCACCGGCTGGAGAACCAAGGCGCTCTCGTCGGGACTTCCAGCTGATCTGTAGCTGAAGGTTCTTGGAATCCACAACAGGAAGCCAGCTGCGCACCATAAGCTCACGCGTTTCATGACTAGGCGGATGGTGGAATGGCACGGGTATATTCTCATCGGCGGCTCCCTAGGGTTTGGACTTTTTGGACGTTTGCCTTTTCTTGCGGCTATGCGGCCGCGCACTACAGAGAGGTTCGGTATGCTGCTTCGATACGAAAATGGCAATGTGACAGCAACATCTTGGCTCGCAAGCAACGTGGGCTCATCAAAGCTGAATGTGTCGACTGCCAAGGGCGGAACAGAAGGATGAACTGCCGTGACTCATCACCAAGCCGCGTGAAATCCCAAAGGACCAGGATTGAACCTGCCTCCGTACCAAATCACAAACTGTTTCCGTTGAAGGGTTCGAAGGCTCGTCGGGCTACTAGAGGCCTGATATGCAGCCAGAGGTTGGCGGTGATGGCAGGATAGCCTTGTCAAGTGGGGCGGCTTTCTTGAAATTTTTATCGACGCTTGCCCAGGACTCACGACCCTTTGCCATGTCCTGCAACTACCACTGCCCAGAACTGTCAGCAGGGTGAAGCTGCCCATGTGCCTGTCGGCACCACATCCCGCAGCCACCACACAATCAATTCTCTTCGGTTGCAAACCAGTTACAAATAGCTCAGGAATCTTCAACATTCGCAGTGCCTGCTAGCTGCGGGTCTGCGCCGTGCTCACCGCAGCCACACATCTTCCATGGCGCGCGGTCGGGCAAGACCGCGGCGTCATACGCCACAAATATGTATAGTATAGTGAAGTATAGTGACTACACATTCACGAGACTGCTAGACCTGCTTTCTGGCTGGTCACGTTGCCCAAATGCGAAACTAGCCCTGCTGGACAATCGTTGCGCTGCTTTGCAAGGATCTTGTGCCTGACACGCTACCGACACAAATAATTCGAATTCGTGCAACCTTGAAGCCGACATCAATTTTTCCGACATGTGCCAGGTCGAACACAAATTCAGCCACTCCAAGTTGAAGCTGCTGGAGGGGTTCGCGACGAGCGGAGATCTCTGCAGATCAATGCACTAAACCGGTTTTCCATGTCCAGCATTCTCGTTCGGGCGGTCCTCGGCCACGGTGTTGCTTGGCATGTCCTGCACAACATGTAAATACAGCAGTGACACATTACTTGTTGCTGGCATGTGCCGTCAGCGTTGCGCTTGATGCACGCAATCAAACTGACTGACTAACATGTTGCAACATGAACCGGTAACATGTACAAACGAAAAAGTCCAACATGCACGTTGCAGACCAACCAGCACATGAGCTCCCTTCCTCACAACTGCTTGAATGGGGTCGGAATGCCATCACCACTTCGGTGGTGGTCCCACAAAACATCAAACTGCTTTTGCCTTCTTTCTTTCACAGCCCTAAGTGTACGACCCCTTGCGCAGCGCGCCCCCCCCCCAGTTTGGGGTTGCTACAGGAACCAAACAAAGCCTTGTTTAAGAAAACGGCCCTCTGCCTCCCCCCCTCGTTCTGCCGGGTATGGAGATGAAGAGAGGAAACTCCCCTTTCCGTGCACAGGGCGCGCCCTCGAGTCCGTCCGGGTCGACGAGAAAAACATTACCGGGATAACCCACAGACAAGTAAGAACAACACCGCCTCCAAACACCACTAGAGTACGTAGAGTTTCCCCGTCCCAGTCACTATGAGCAGGAGGCGAAAACGTGCAATCCTATCTGATGTTGTTCGGGTGTTGTGCTCCCACCCCGAATGACGACCTCTGCCCCTTGTTCGTTGCATAACGCTGAACAAGCCAAAAACACGAAACTGCTCGCACTCTCATGTCAGTGGGAACAGGCTTCGCTCCTTTGTCTGCAGGGGTTTCGCATCCTCACTGGGCCACTCGAAACGGATCACTAAACAAGACATGCCTGGCAACTCGGCACAAAAACGTAAAGCTGGTAGCTGGAGATGTAACAGGCGAAAGCAGAAGCCGGCAAGTGCTGAGAAGCCAACTTCTATTGGTCATTGATCAGAAGAAGAGTCCTGCAGGGGCTCTCTCCCAGCTAGTCCCATCTGAACCGGAGCATGGCAGTATCTTGAACCATACTCATGTGAATGACGATCTTGATAGCAGTGGCGAAAATGACCAACTACTATTATTACAAACGCAACAGGCCAAGAATTTGAGCTATGCTAGTAGGATTATGCTGTGGAGTGCACTTGGGACCGAGGCCTCTGTTTCGGCACCGATGTCGACCAGCTGCTTCCGCAGTTGCTACAGCGCCTGCAGCAAAAAATGCTGAGATGAGCGGATGTGGTGCTATGGCAGAGCTTTTGGCGGACTGCGGCCTCACATGGGGATGGACCAGCTTCTGGTTAATGTGACTCATTTAAGGTGACTCAGCGGGCATGAATCCGTCGTGCTAGCAGCTGTAGAAAGGCCCGAAGCCATAAAAAGAAAATGTAACTCCAAGTTTCCAAGCATGCAAAAATCCACACGTGGCAAGCTGCTTTCATGAAGGGTCAGGCCGGTCAGGCGCACGAGTGCCTGTCGATCCATCTCCCGACAGGCCAAAACCCCTGTGAGATCAAATTCACGCCGAGGGGAAACCCCATTTAGATCCACTTAGCCATTTCAAATTTGCAGATGCTTGACCGCGCTCACTAGCCGGATCCTCTCAAGGCAAGCTGGTTTGACTGATCACGTATTTCCTAAGACACATGGTACCATGGTCCCAGTGTAAGACACAGCCTTGAGGTCAACAACATGGTACCATGGCCGTTCTGACTGGGGCCAAGGCTGGCTTGCGGAGGGTGTAGACCTTGCACCTCAAAGGCCAACCCCCGATGCTGTGCTTCATGACTTGCTGTGGAGCTTTGGGAAAGGGCGATATCCAAAGAGTTGCTGGTGAGCGGCTGAGTCCAACCCTTGTTGTCAAACGGAGCACCATCCTTCTGGCCAAAGGATCTCATTTTCGAGGATGAGGCGGCTGCATAAACTTTTCTTGGATGCGACGGGTCCTCGAGAAGCAAGCGGTTCTCCTTCTCCATGTAGCGCATGACTTGATCTGGCCAGTGTTTAATGCACCCTTCGCTAAGGTTTGCAACGCAGTCTGGCAACAAGTGCATGAACCTGTCACTGCGCAACGTGCACTTGCCATACTGTCAGGAGACGTTCTGAGGCTTCCGCTCTCAAAGTGCTTGGTGCAGATTGTCACCACCTGAACGGGAAATCGGCCCCCGAGTGCCTCGAAACCAGATATACTCGGATGTAGGGAATGTAAGGCTCGGGCCAGCGCCACACCTGGACAAGAATTTGGGATCAGCTGTCTTCGCCGATCGTCTCTCGCTCTCTCTCTATCTGCCGAGCCCTGTGAGGCGGGAAGGTACATTAAACTAAGGCGTGCTACAACAAATGGTCACTACGGTGGTCGCTGCAGCAAACTACAGCACGTTGTAAAGGATGGCAAAAACGGCCTGCTCCTTCCGAGCACGTAGCAGACCAAGCACGTCAATGAACGGCACATGCTGCACTTGTTTCTCAGCGCTCCGTGACATAATTTTGCTGTCTTTCCCCAGCCGGGGCCCTGTGCCTGTGCCCTGTACAGTCTCTCAGCTGGGGGCTCGGCTTGCATCTCCTTTGGAGACCTCCGAGAAAAGTCAGCAAAGCGCCCCGCCGGCACTCCGGGCAAATAGCTGTGTGAAGAAGAACTGTCCAGAAAGAGACTGCGCAACACCTGCACACCGGCTGCACATAGCTGTACGTGCTGCGCCAGCTCCGGCTCGGCTCCACTGACACAAGCGCCGCCTATGAAACATTGCAAGCCAAGGCACCAATTCCGCAAAGGTCAAAGGCTCCCAGTAAATTCTTGCGGTGGCCCGGTGATTTGATCCAGCCCTGCCAGCTCTTGCCAAGCCAAGCTCACGCCCCCGCAAAGCTCCTGAATATTCCCAAAAATTTTCCCAAACCTGCCTGGACCGCAACACCAGCTGCATCTGCCACACCACTGTTATAGGCCAGGTTCCTGAGCAGCAAGCTTTGAGCAACTGGATGGCTTAGCGCCGGTTGCTCACGGCGCACGGAACGTGCACAAGAATCTGAAAGACATGTCTGTTGAATTCCGACGACGGAACTTAGCATCAGCAACCTGGCAAGTCCACTGTCTAAACGCGCCTGGACGCGAACGACGAATTGCTCTCGAAAGTGTTTGCCTGCGGGTTCTGGCCAGCCGTTGGCTCATGTCTCTCACAGGGGCAGCCATTTCATGGAGATGGGGCCGAGTACTTGCTGTATGGCGGGTGAAAGGTTTCCCACGTACTTGTTCAAAGCCTTGCGCTGTGACCGCAAAATTTCTGCAGACTCAAAGTATGCAACGACACTTCCAGTACAGAGCACATTTGTCGGCCAGCACACACATTACTGTGTTAAACAAAGATGAGTTTGGTCGGCGCGTTTCGTGTTTTCGTTAGTGAGTCTGTTTGTTCTTGCATGTGGGTTTTGTGTTTGACTGTTTCGAATTGTCTTTGTTTGTTGGTCTATCGGTGTCTTGTCTTGGACAAATAACAGCCCGTGTTGGCTTTTTCTTAAGAAGGGAGCAGGTTCATAACAGCAAATTCTGACTTCAGTTGGACGAAAAATGCTGTTATCGGCTCACTTTGATTGATTTGCACATTCTGGTTGCTATCTTACCCCCAAGGCTCGACATGTGTCATTTTGGGTTGTAAATCACACCAAGAAGCATATGCCAAAATCTGAGGCGCCAGGGCTGGCGATTGGACAGGACAATCGGGTTTGTGGGTTTAGCAAGTTTATGCGGCCATCTCCTCTTCCATATGAAAGCAGATGTGGCCTTGTTGAAGGCAATCTCGCGCAAACATGTGTGGATGAAACTTGCTGCTGAAGGCTCATTTCATTCACGGACGCGACAAGTTTTGTCCAAACATGTTTGGTGAAGATTTGCTGCTAAGCCCCTTTTTCGAAGCACAAGCGGGCTCAAGTATCACACAAAAATGTCTGGTCAAGATTTGATGCTATCGGCCCGGCTATCGGCACACACCCGTTTGATACTAAAGAAGAGGGTGGCCTTGATGGCTGGGGCCATAAGACAAACAAGGCGGCGAATATTGCACTCCAAGGATCTCTGCAGCGCTTAGGTGTGGTATAGGGTACCGGCTCACACGCTCCGAAAAACCATCGTGGCTGAAGGGCATCTCGCCTGGCAGTCCATGGAAGGACAAACGGCATAAGCAACACCTGCACGCGCGCGCACACACACACACATATTCCGAGAGCCTCCCTGGGATGTGCGAACAGTGACTCATAGCAACTCTGACAAATCCGAACACCGACATGATGCCAGCAACTCAAGGCAAGCTTTGAAGCCAATTGCAAGATCCTGCAGAAGTCCTGGAGAAAAGAGGAGACTCTCAGCCCAAGGCGAAATTGTGAAGGGACGACGTATGACGGCGTACTGTCGAGTGATTCCGTGCAGTGCCCCGCAAACACCGGTTCTGTGAAAACCGTTTCGGCCAGGGTGCTGCACATGACCCCAGTGTGTTCCTTGGCCATGCGCGTCCTACTCAGCCGTTCGGGCTGAAGCATGCATGAAGCGAGCGAGCCGGTGCTCCAAGCTTCAGCATCCGATCCCCATTCCATCCTGGTTTTGTCATCTTTGCGCTGTGCCCCACCCCGCGATCTGGGGAAACAGCTCAACCCAGCCCAGAGAACTCAACAGACAAGCAAGGCTTCCTACCGCAGCATCCCGCCTCGCGCCATCTGCCGAGCATGCTCCGCTGCGATGTCGGCAATGCCTTGACACCACTTCCTGAGAATCTCTCGGCTCCAAGCTGAAAGAGCCTTTGTTCCTTTTTTGGCTGGCAATTGATGCCGGACCAATATCCGATCTAGTCTAGACTCTAGACTCAAGATGGGGATGGTCCTGTGGGCATTGCTGGAGTTTGCAGTTCGAGGAACAGCGACTACGATCTTAGTTACCCGCAGAGTGGGCAGCCTCTTGTAAATTGCGCGGGGGTCCCGCTGGCTAACCGGAGGAGTGAGAATAGAGACAGAATTGTTGCAGAGTGTGGAGTCAAGCTCCCATGTAAAGATAGGCAAAACATGCATTGAGTCTGCAGACAAAGAAGCAGTGGCGGCATCTTCTCAGAGCCTCGAAAAATGTTGGTCTCATCGAGAGCCCGACGGCCCAAGTAGTTTGGATCATAGCTGCGTGAGACCAGCTGTCCTTGGTCGCGCGAAGCAAAGTAGAATCTCGACGGCGCCCCCTCCCCAATCCTTAAGGGCATGGTCCAGATTCACGAATTCTGCCCATAAGAAAAACGGCGCTTAAAAAAAAACGCTCTCAGAGTCTCCGTAGGATGATGCTTGGCCCAAACTGGCCTCGTATTCCCTCGCATACCTCAGCTACACGGGAAGCGATTGAACAGACAAGCGTCATTCACCACTAGTCATCAAAGCGGCAGTGGCATGCTGCCAATTGCCTCTTCCACTCGCATGTTCTCAAGATCCTGTAGATTGAACCTTGGATCAGATCTATAACTCCGTGTCTATTCATACATGCATCATCATGGGCCCTAGATTCCCTAGATCCGCTGAACGAGGAGCTCTCGCTTTCCAGGAAAGCGCTCTTCGAGCGGTCTGTAGTTTGCGTCTTTCGCACTGGGCCGCAAGCTATACACTGATGGATTGGGCAGCCGTCCTCTACAGGCAGATGTGCAAAGTGGAGGGGTCGGCAGGGCCCCTGCAGTAATTGCCAGTCCTGCAGCTCGCATGGCCTCCTGGAAGCCTCGTGGGTCGCGAGCGCGTCGAGCATGCACTTCTGCAAGCAGCTCACCTTATAATACCGTATGGATACAGTATGGCAGCTGTTGAAAAACACCGTTACAGAAGCTAGTCCAGAATGGTACAAGTCACGAGCAGTGGCAATTTCAGACTCCGGTGTGTCCAACGCGTCAATCGCTTCGCCGACCCTGCTCTTCACCTCCACGGGGCAGTTTGTTGACATATTCTGGAAAAAAAAGCCTTACCAAAGACCATCGCCACACCCCCCTAAAGATGGCAAGGCTCTAAACATTCTTGCTGCTGACATAGACAAGCACTGGCCAAAAAAGCGGCCGTCGACCCAACCGATGATGTGTTTTCTGGTGGCTTTGGCTCTCCAGTCTCAGGCTTGTCAGGCTGCATTGTGCAGCGCTTCGCAATGGGAAGGCTGGGTTGCTGTGCGATACATTGATATACCATGCTGGCAAAAGCGTGCTGTGTGTTCAAGGCAGTCATGGCGTTCACGCGTCGACAGGCGTGCAGCTATGCCCAAGCCCAAACAACCTTGACCTGACGGAACCACTGACCTGACAGAGCCCGCCCTGACACACAGAGCGCACGTGAACAGCTGAGCATCATCGGATTACGAAGCTTTAAAGGACTTTTTTCTAGGGGAAAAAGAGAGAGCTTCCGGCTGTTGGCGAACGGGGGGCCTCCGGCATGGCAGCACAGACTGCGGGAACCCAAGTCTCGGGTGCACGGAGAACTTCGTCGATCAGGGAGAAAGCACCTGAAAAACACATTGTTCTTTTCGGAGCCGTTGTGTAAAGAAGCCCCAAGTTGTTTTGCAATGTTTTGCAACCTGCCCAGAGGGTGGCTGTCACGACACCGCTCCACAAGGACAGCGGGTTTAACGTGCATGTTGCAGCTGTTGTGACCAAGACACGTTCCATGCGCTGAGACATAGGGTTTGAAGACCCCACTGGCAGTCGCCACTCCAGGCATGGCTCACGCTCGAAGGCGCTCGTCCAAAAGTCGCCCTGTTGGAAACCTGAGAAACGGACTTCCCGAATGTGCTCCGGGTCGCTTGCACCCTCTTGCAAACGGTTCATGCGTCTCCGAGTTGCCAATCTTCCGAAGAAGTGACACAGCTTGAGGGAAGCGCCCGATCCTTTCCTTGAAGCGTGGATTTTGGATCCGGATCTGCCTCTCAGTGCCGATAGTTGCTATTGCTATTGACTGTTGTTACTTGGGGCTGTCTCTGTCATTGTTTCGTTCACGCGCTTCCTCTTCTCAGCGGGCCTGTGGCTATCCGCCCGTGCACAGCGGGCCCAGGGTCCAGTCTGTCTCTTTGCTCTCTCTTTGTGCTCTCTTTGCTTTCTCCTTGTGTTCTCTCTTGCACTCTCTTGCTCTCTCACTGCGCTCTCTCTTTCTGCTCTCTCTCTCTCTCGCTCGCTCACTCACTCGCTGACCTCTCAGATCTCAGATGCAGAATTCGAGCTCCACTTGCGTTAGCAGAGCCTGCAAGCATCTGCAAGCCATGCCTGACTCGGCAGGACTCGGGATCAGCCAGAATGTTCTTCAGCACTCTGTGCCTGAAAAGGGGGGACGTCTTATCTCAAGTGGCACGCCCCACAAAGCCACAACCACTCCATGGCACAAGGCAGTGCTCAGCACAGCACACTGCTTGAAGACACGACAGGCGATGCAGGGCTGGAACTGTAAGCACCCGCAGCACAGCCAAGGCCACTTCTTCATCCTAAGAATTCCGAAGAGGAAGGCAGAACGGAACCAGGCAAGCCCTTACAGCACTTGTGGCACTTGATGCCGGCGTCCTCGCGAGCTTTCAGCATGGCTGGGGACATGTCAATGTCCTCATCATGCTGATGCCTTTCCAGCCTCAATTGTGAATTGCAATCCAAGAAAGGGGAGAGACCGGCCATTTCTAGCTCTCCCTTGCAAGATGAGTACCAAACCACTCCACTGCATCTTCCAGGTCTTCACAACCAGCGCCCACGGCTTTCCGAGCTCGCACGGCTGAAAACTGCAAGTCCAAAAGCTCCGCAAAGAGATTTTGCCTGGAAAGTTCATGGGGTCATGGGGCCACTGTTGTTTTGATTCCGTATTCTTTGGATCTGCTATGTGCTTTATTGAGCTGCTGCGCTGGCATCCACATCGGGTCTGCTTCAGCCTGCCAGGAAACAGGCGAAAGAATGTGCGGCAGCAGCTCTGTATCACATGAAAAGCATGCAACTGGGCCTCCATGCTTACTTCCTGTGGTCCTTCTCGGAAAGGGCCCGGCGCTTCTCCCTCAGGAGGCTCAAAAAGTGCGTCCAGCTCCTCGCGGATGAGATTCATAAAATCCCTGCGAAAGCGCAAGCTGCAAGCCTGTAAGCCCTGTAAGCACCGGCGCACCGTGCAATGTCAGGGCCTGGCCTCGTCCCTGTCACAGCACTGCGGGTCAGCATCCACCCATGTACCAGATCCGGTGGCCAGGCACCTGAGCTTCTCCTCAACAAGAACGCGCAAACAAGCCTGGACAAGCCTAAACAAGCTTCGCTATCAACTAGCGGCTGCTGAGCAACTGTGGGCCGTGTGACACTTCTGCCACCGTGACATTGCTGGAATCCGCCTTTGGGAATTGACGCTCCGTCTCTCCCTGTTCTTCCTCTGTGGCTCTGTGGGGTATAGGGGTTCGGGACCAGAATCCCCCCACGCACGCCTCCTTCTCTCTCCCCCTCTCTCTCTTCCTTTCTTTCGGGCACCCAAGCACCAAGCCACAGCGCCTCTTTACCTGCAGGATCTGTCTCGGTCCTATCTCGGCCCCTTCTCGGCCTACTCTCTGCAGCTTGGGCACCTACTCTTGTTGTCTGCCCGCTGAACCTCCCGACAACCTGTCCGAAGGCAACCTCCCCACCCCCCCCACGTCGACCCTTGCAGCCCCCATCAACCCCCGACCCTCTTGCTCTCTCTCTTTCTCTCTCTCGCTCTCTCTCCCTCACTCTTGCTTGCTTGCTCTCTCCCTCTCTCTCTCTCTCTCTCCCACTCTCACTCTCTCTTGCTCCTGCCTCCCTGCCTCCTGCGTCCCTGCGTCCCTGCCTCCCCGCCTCCCTGCCTCCCTCCCTCGCTCCCTCCCTCCCTCCCTCCCCCCGCACAGGTTGCATGCCCCAGTGGTCGAGCATGGATATCTCTGGCGATATCAAATATGCTATATCTTAGACATGACACTATTTTCCAATTGTTCAGAACATTTGTACTTCCGTAAATATTCGACTCTGACAACTAGTGCATATTACAGTCCCTTCTCTGCACTGTCAATCATGTATATCTGAAAAGTGAAATGGATGGGCATTAGTACCACACAAATCCTCCTACCTCCTCACCGATTAATTCCCATGACTGAACCTGTGCGAGCCGACGGCCTGAGCTGTACGTCCCTTGAAGCACCAAGCCCTGGGACAGTCCAGCTTCAGCTGAGCATGTCGGCTCCGAAAGGTGAGAATGAGAAGCCTCATCCCCCTCGCTCACACCCGTGGTGAGCCGCGTATTCTTTCAAGCATGTATGTACTTCTCGTCCCCTAGCCGCCCTAGCCGAAAAGAGCCACCCCCCGCCTGATCCCCCTTGGTTATCTGCACTCTGCCCTTTCTTCTAGCTTGTCGAATTTAGCCCTTCGTTTTCCCCCTCTTTCTTTTTTCGTTTGTTGCGTTTTCTCTCTCTTGCTTGCTTGCTTGGCGTATGACCCCTGCGAAGGGGCCGCCCCCAGGGGCACGCACGACAGAGTTTGTTGGAGTGAGAACGGTGCTTGTGGAGGAGGCTCTAAAGCAAGTAGGGGACTGATAAGAGGTACCAGTGTTGGTGGCCTTTGCATTCTCCACTGGAGTACGTAGGTTCACTCCCGCACCTTGGCCTACATATGCTCTTTGGCGGACGCTTTGCTTGTGAGTGTGGGTGGACGACTAGAGTTACGCAATACTGGGAAACCCGTCCCCCTTCACTCTGATATCAAGAGTGGCGTCCCATCACCCCTCCACAACTTGGTGGACTTGCTGTCTTTGATCATTGCTACCCCTAAACAGGCAACCCAATGCACGGTGTTTTAGCAAGTCGGGTTGTGGGCTGTTCAGGGTGGAAAGTGAGAGTGGGGTTCTGGCCGCTGCTGTTGCCCCTTTGTGTTACATCTTGGGGGGGCCCTCCCTACTTGGGGTAAAGATCGAAACAGCATGCCATACTTCCGGAAGTGGGAGGGCCCCCGTTAGGCACACATTGTGGCTGGTTTCCCTCGTTGACTGTGCAGACAGCATATGCTTTTTCTCTCTCTCTCTCTCTCTCTGTCTATCTGTGTCTGTCTGTCTTTCTGTCTGTCTTTCTGTATGTCTCTCTCTCTCTCTCTCTCTCTCTCTCTCTCACTGCCCTTCTTGTTATGCCCAGCGGAGGACCCCGCCAAGGGCACGCGGCCACAACGACTCTCTCTCTCTCTCTCTCCCTCTCTCTCCCTGTTTTAGACAAAACCATGTCTATGCCTCAACCAAGGACGAGTAGGCTGACTCAGAGATGGACTTGCCTCCTCAATTTCTGCCGATGGACGCGGAGCTTCGGCTCTCGACTTGGACTCCTTCGACTCTGTCTCCTCGTGTCTGGCAGCCTGGGGCTCTTTAAGTCTTTGGGTTTCAGAGTACATGTCTTTCGAGCGGGGGCATCTTTTTGCGAGAGTTGCCTTCCTTTTTGTGTAGCTATGTAGACCAAGCGATCCCAGACGGCTCGGGGATGTCTTGAAAGCTTTGCCGATCTTTTTAGGGATTTGCTTGAAGGTCCAGAAGTCCAGCCATCTAGATCATCTAGCATGGCTTACGGCTACGGGCATCAAGGAACCTAACGGAACCATGAGCGCCCTCAACAGTCCAACACTCAAGCACGGTTCAGGCAGCCCTGAAGTCCTCCCTCTGCAAGTCAGTCACCTGCCTCTGCTTCCTCTGCCCGTTCAGCCTGGGCCTCCCATCGAAAACGTGGAACTGCGGCTGTAGACTCTGAATCGTTTTTTCCCGAACCCACCAGCTGCTGGCACCTGCCATAGGTGTGCGGGGTCCAGGGCTGCCTCTTCGGCAGGCGAGGAACCCGTGGCAGTCTGAATTCGGAAAGCAATCCTTAGTCTTAGATGGCGAACATCCCTAAGCAGCGACCCCGTACCCCTCATTGCGTGTGAGCCTGGAACTGCCCCACCTGGTCTCTGCACGTTGGGGTCTCTTGATGTCGCAATACTGAGAGTCAACAGCCCAATCCAGAAGAAGTTTAAACCATATGTGCGTAGCTGCATAAGCCGCCCGCTTGGAGAGAACACTTTTTCAGCGTAGCTCTGGCAGCCCCTCATTGCCCGGCCCCGTGCACATTTTGAAGCAGGGCGTCTCTCCCTTCTCGAAGGCACGAAGTAATAGCACCGCATCAGGTGGCACCTTGAAGGCCTTTCATGCCATGGAAATGAGCATTCTGGGCAATTTACCACGAAGCTTCAAGCAGTCGGGGCTGTCCAGCCTTGTCATACCATTGCCCGTGGATCTGATATCTGATGGCAACTAGTTGGTCTATGGCACCTTCGATCCTTGAATACAGGGTCGCCACCACGCATGCAAGAAAAGACTTGTCATGCTTGTCTCGCAAAGAAACATGGACAGCAAAGAAGAGAAGTCAGGTTCTTTGTTCGCCGAAGTCTCACATGCTCGGCTCCGTGCGGAACAGCAAATTCCTTCATGCCATTTCCAGCTTGCACAATCCGTAGCTGTACCTCGTTCTGATGTTGACTTCGCAAGAATGTTCCAGCACTGTGCTGAATAATTCTGACTTTCATGTGGTGGCACCGGGCAGCCCAGGCGATTTCTCACCCTGCATGTGGATGGCGCGCTGGACAAGCTGCCACCCATGTCCGCGACCCGTCAGGCCATGTTCAGAAATCTGCTGCTTGCAAAAGATTTACGTCAGTTCATGTTCACACACACCCGCTGCATCAAATGCTTGCTAACGTCTGATTCGGTGAGGCTGTGCACTCACAACTGCACTGCACAGCTTCTAACTTGCTGCTTTCAGGTGGGCCCTCTCAATAGTTGGCAGATGACGCTTACAATGGACTCTACCACGACTTGTTAAATTCAACATGTCGCTTGAAAAGCCTCCTGCCTGAACTGCGCCGAGGCATGTCTGTGTGAAGTCAGGAGCATCGGCATCGAAGTACATCGAAATCGAAAACCACAGCCGCAACATTCGACCGGGCACACAGCAGTGTTACGAACTGAACTGCTGATTTGGCAAGGACGCTACACGCGACACATGCTTCGAATCCCCGAAGTGCCAGAACATCCCTCAACTAATGCCAAGCTGGGTGTTGTGAAGCCAAGAATTAAAAACAACTTCTATCCCTTAGGCGCTGTGTTGCCAAGGATGGATTTACTGCACATCAAGCCGGAAGAATGCACATGGCGGGCTGCATCGAATTTGGGTACGACTGAGGGTCTCAGAAAGTGTTTGTTCGGTCCAATGGTCCGATGTGTCTAATGAGCATCTTCGGATGACATGGGGGTCCAAATATCGGGGTTGTTGGGCCCAAAGTTTTCATGTGATGCCTCTGGCAACTATGCCCATAACAAAGCCGCACTCATGAAGTTGCGACACATGTCGCAGCGGGCCAATATGGCGCTTCAGCAAGCCGTACAGCCAAACACTTCAGTGGCGGCCTCCAGGTCGTAGAACACGGGCCCACTCGCACACCTCGCACTCTCGCAGACATGGCTCACTTAGTGTTCTGCACTGAAGCAAACTCTCGTTTGTAGAGCGTCTAACCGATTAAGATGTTGCAGCAACCTGTGGCGCGGACCCAAGCATAGAGGTTCTGCTTGACGTATGTATGCCTGCGCTTGTGCAGCAGCACTTGCCGTGTGCCCAGAAACGCTGGGGCCTGCTGTGTCGTTGGCCCCAGGGCCTGAGTGAAGCTCTTGGTGGACTCAATCACTCAGCAGAACTCAGCAGATCTCAGCAGAACTCAGCTGTGTCGCTGACGGGTCCACGACAATGAGGTCAACCACATTGCTGGCAATGGGAAGTATCCTGCTGGACCTGCGGTCAGCGCTGGCCCGACAGTATACACTCTCCGTGCCGGGTCGGGGTCTCGAGGCAGTGGCTGTTTTGGGCAGCGCTGCGCGGACTCAAACAGACTTTTCTCTGTCTCATTCCGAGGTCCGAAGGCATCATTCAGCAACGTTCCTTTCTGGCACGACGCTACGCGATACCTCGCCGGTCCTCACTCCCCGAGGTCAGTCATCTCAGCATCAGAGTCCCCGAGGTCGCCCGGCGCTTCATGTGCACGCTCTAAGATGATCCTGGGCTGGGGCCTACTGGGCCTAATGACCAAGACCGCTCTTCCTTCCACTACACTTGCACAAACGATCCGCAACACGACTTGAGTGAAAACTGTATACAGCAACAGCATGGCAGCCAGGCTAGGAATCCCTTTCCCATGACAGGGAACCCCATCTCATGAAAGGGCACCGCCTCCGTTTGAGGTTCCTAGCGGAACTTGTCGCTTGCGTCCTAAAGCTCTCCTGCGACAACCTGCAAACTACCAGGTCCAGGCTCCTGCTCACGATCAGATCAGCATCAGGCTCCCGTCATTGGAGAATTCACTCTACATACGGGCCATGCTCATCCATTTTCCAATTCCAATAAAGCCACGCAAGCTGGTTCACGTGATTAGACTTGCGCAGCCAAAATCCCTCGAGAGAAGTTAATGTTGCCCACAGTATCTTTTGTCGGCTGGACCAGCAAGCATCTTCCGGAAACTGTATGTAGTAGTGGTAGCGACGGGAATAGTTCGTTGCGAACGAGTCGTGGTAGTCGTCGTCAAAGCAGACGAACGAGAGCTAGTAATCGCACTCATAAGTAGCGGAAGCAGTAGCACTGGAATAATTAGTAAATATTAGCATATTAGTGGCAGCATAACTCGCGATACTGCAGCAGAATTTATTATGCGTAACAGTCATAGTCAGTCATACCTAAATTTTTCAGTAAGTTAAAACCCAGTATGCCTCCCAGAACGCCCACTTTACAACAGTTTTACAACCGCACGAGGATGTTAAGGATTAGTTTATAGTCTCGTTTTTTATCCATGCATGCGCTGAGACGTAGTCTACAATCAGCACTTTCCACAACTTCTCTGGTGCAGTGTCGTCAAGATCCGAAACATCGTCTGGGTACAAAGTGCGAGCTCTTAGTTCTGTGTTGCTGTATTGAAAGTTGTTGGGTTGCTGGTCCGGTTTTTGAGGTTGGGTCAGAATGCGTTTTTTTTTTCATTTTCGCTAGTTTCATTTGTTCAGCTTGTTTGTCACTGATGCTTTCCAGTAACATGTTTTCTTTATTGTTTGATGCACTTCTTCTGACATGTTGCTGCAAATGCTGCCTGTTTGCACGATCAGGAATTCAGACAGGCATGGTCATGTCTCAAACGCACAAGTATCGCTTCCATGAGGCCCTAAAAGGTGGAATGTTGAATGTTATCATCCTGTCGCCTATCTTGTACCTGGAGATGGCAGTAACATGATCACTGATAATTCACGAAGAGCGCGGACATTCCAGAAGTCAGATCTAGAATCTAGAAGTAAATTGTAAAGTGGATTTTCCTGGTTGCAAAGTGGGCGTTCTGGATAGAAAGTGGACGTTATGGGGGGGACGGGGAACGCTTGTGACAGGAGCAATTGTAAGCATCACGCAAATGGCATGAGTCATAAGAACAGCAATAGCAATAGTATGAATAAGAGTGGCATCATGAATACCAATTCGTAATATACATTCAGACACACCTCAAAAGAATGGCAAGCAAGAGTGATGCTGATGCAAAGTCTGTGTGATCACCAGCATCGGGAGAGCGATCGCAAACAGCAGGGTAGCAGTTAGCCCCGGAAACCTGCGCAAAACCCTATGAATCAGTCGACCCTCGCAAAAACATTTCCGCGATCCTGGACTTCTATTGGAAACACGGTCCAGAACCGATGCATGCAATCTCAAGTCTTAAGTCAAAATCAACACCACAGGAGCCACAAAATCTCCAAGTGTCTGCTGCAGGCTGGCCCTGACCTCCTCAATGTGAGCGCCAGCAGTACACAGGACACACACCATCTCCGTGCAGTTGCCGCTCACAGCCATATGCAGGGGAGTCACTTGCCCCGGGCTCTTATTGACATCGGCCCTTGCCCGACACAGCTCTGCTACGACATCTGTGCGCGCTTCCTCTGCTGCGATGAAAAGTGCAGTTCTTCCGTGGCGGTCGGTACGGTCGAGATCGGCCCGGCTTTCACCAAGCACCCTCACCACGTCCGGGAAGCCTTCGCCAGCAGCGGCCATTAGCGGTGTGAGATTGCTGCTGTTGCCCGCGAAATCGGGGTCGGCCCGGCTGCTCAGGAGACTGTAGACCAAGTCGTCATGACCGTAGAAGGCTGCCAGGTGCAATGCAGTGACACCAACCTGCAGGTCAACCTCCCGCACATTCATGGCAGCATAGCCAGCATCGACTTCATCGCCTGCATGCAGCACGTCTTCCTCAAAGTCATCTTCTTCCTCACTTCGATAGCTCTCGTCTTCAGAATCGGCGTGGATTGCAGCAGAGTTGCATGGATGCAGGCATTGGGCGCTCTGGGCTGCCAGAGTGAGGTAGAGGATATCCTCTTTGCGAACCACTCTGTTCAAGTCACAGCGCAGCTGGCAAAGATAACCGGCAATTTGAGCCTGACCATTTCTGGCTGCAACATGCATAAGCACGCTGCAGAGCTCAGGGTCTTGCACGTGAACCTGATCCCCACATAGGACCTTCATGACATCGGGATTGTCTTGCAACACTGTCATGAGGAAGGCGTTGATGCCCGGCCTATTGCAAACACGGGCGTGCTTGTCGGCTCTCGCGTCCAAAAGCAGGCGAGCAGTTTCGGGATGATTCCACCAGCAAGCAAAGTGAAGCGGTGTATGACCCTTCGTCGTCACACTGTCCACATGTGCTTTGTGCAGTAGCAGCTGCTGCGCCAAAGGAACGTGCCCGCAAGAAGCAGCAATGTGTAGCGCCGTGGCGCCATAGTCGAGATTCGCTTGATCCACTGCCGACCTGTGCTCAAGCAACAGCTCGACCATGTCCAGATTCCTCCTGATGGCAACCTCGGCTGCCATGAGGAGTGCAGTTGTTCCCTTTGCAGCTGCAGCCTGGACGCTGGCACGAGCTTCAAGCAGGAGGCGTGCAGCCTCCACTTGGTGATGCTCGGCCGCGACAATCAAAGGCGTCTTGGCCGCTTTGGCCTCGTCTTTCGCGTTGCACTTGGCGCTGACGTCGCTGACGCACTTGTTGCTCTCCGCCCTGGCCTGAAGCAGCAACCGAACTGTGTTCGAGTTGTCGAGTTCGTCTGTTGCCACAGCTGAGTACAGCGGAAACGTTCCATCATGAGCTTCCTTGTTGACGTCTGCACGCTTCTGGCACAGGTACTCTACAATGTCGCTTTGTCCTTCGCAAGCCGCCGAGTGAAGAGGCGTAATATGAGGCGCCTGTGCAAAGTTGATGTCTGCGTGAGCCTCGCAGAGAATTCGCACTAAATGGATCACGCCGGCCTTCGTTGCGCAGAGCAGAGGAGTGGCATGGTCGTTAGCGCATCTATTTGGATCGGCCTTGTACCGGCACAGCATGCTGACCACCTCAATGCGGTGATTCAACAGAGCGACGAACAAGACAGGGGCAACATCAGAGTCCAAGGGCATATCGGGCATTGTTGAAAGCGTATGTCCCAAGCAGGCGTTGGCATTTTCAGTCGCCAACATAATTTCTGAAAGATGCGTAGGGAAGCACTTCATGTTGGGGTCAGCGCGAGCTTGCAACAAGTGCTCAACGATCTGCAGGAACCCCCTCCTGGCTGCAACCGGCAGTGGAGCAATTCCTTCACACGTTGTCAAGGTTTGATTTGGGTCAGCCTTCGCGGCACATAACACTTTGACAAGACCCTCATGGCCGTGCTCTGCCGCCAAGAGAAGGGGCGCTGAACCTGAGCCTGCAGGCTTGTTAGCGCTGGCCTTTGCCTCCAGGAGGCAACGGCACGTCCCAAGGAAACCATACTCTGAAGCCAGCGTGAGGGTTGTGTCCTGCGAAATATCTCCCCTGACTTGGTCCAGATCGGCCCTCGCTTCACAGAGTAGTTCAACGATCTCCCCGTGGTTGTGGAGCACTGCGGCCAGCAAGGGAGGCTGCTCCACATCACTTGTGGGCTGATTGAGATCTGCACGTTGCTTGCACAAGAAACGAACGATTTCGGTTTGCCCGCTCTCCGCAGCCAGATACATTGCGGTGGCACCCATGTCCGTCAAGCGCCGGTTAATGTCCGCACGAAGATCCAGCAAATACCTTACAAAAAAAACTCTCAATCAGGGTCAACTATCATACCTTTTTGTGTATATTTACAACGCATTCGTGAACTCTTTGACAATAACAGCCACTTGACGAACGCTTACCTTAACATCCTCATACTGGCACCTCCAATCATGAATTTCCATGCAAGGTGCCTTACAACTTCTAGATGCCCCTGCTGCGCTGCTACCATAAAAGGTGTCGCCCCATCTTTGGCGCCAGTTTTGTCGATCTGGGCTCCAGCTTCGTAGAGAGTCTTGACAGCCTCAAAACGACCAAACAGCGCTGCCATGAACATAGGTGTGGCGCCAACGTGAAGAGAGACTTCGGGACGATACCGTTCAACTTCTACCTCAACCGGGACGTCTTCATCTGGATCCACCCCCCCACCTCCCGCTTTTGTTTCTGCATCCCACTCTCCATGCTTCGCCTCGTCAATTCCATCACTGACCTCTGTCCCCTCTTCCCTGGAGTCCTCTGTGATGATGCGGCCCATGCAGGCATCTAGGCCGTCTCCACTCGCAGGCAATGCCGACTCGTGCAGTTGATCAAGGGCCTCCTGCGTCACCATTTCGTTGACATTAGCACCACACTTACAAAGACGCCAGACGATTCCTTCGTGGCCATTACGTGCGGCGACATGCAGTAGAAGTGCCGTCTGCTTTAACATCTTCGCTTGCCTCTTCGGATCCTCCTCGCAGAGGACGTCCACGATGTCGGAGTGACCACAAAGCACGGCCATCATCAACGGTGTGCTCCCTGGCCTGGCAGCACTTGCGTGCTTGTCCGCACGGGCCTGGCACAAGAAGCGCACGGCCTCCGGCTTGTTGCCGAGCGATGCCAAGTGCAGCGGCGTGGTCGCGGGGCCTACGCCGACGTGGCCACTTGGGCGGCTGAGGTCTGCCCGGCTCTTGAGCAGCCGGTCGATGAGCTCCACGTGTCCCGCCATGGCGGCAACGTGGAGCGGCGTGGCGCCACTGAAAGACGACCGGTGCACATCACAGCGCGCGAGGCACAAAATCTTCGCAATCTCGAGGTGCCCATTTTTGGCCGCAACAAAAAGTGGTGTCCTGTTGCTGCAAGCCCTATCCGGCTCTGCCCTTGCTGCGCACAAGCTCCGGACCACCTCTGTGTGGCCGTTGAAAGCTGCCATGTACACCGCGGTGGCGCCACTTGCTGGTGATCTGCTCAGGTCAGCCCCCACCTTGCAGAGTATCTTCACTACATCGACGTGGCCCTTTGCCGAGGCGAGGTAGACTGCCGTTGCGTCCAGATCTCCGGATGAAACGTCCACATCTGCTTTGGCATCACAGAGTATCTGTACGCAGGCAGAGTGCCCAAGCGATGACGCTGCGAGCAAGGGCGTGAGCTTACCTTCCGTGTACAGCCTTGTGTTGATATTCACGCCCTTTTCAACGAAGAGCTTTAACACATCCGTTTGCCCACTTCTTGCAGCCATATACACGGGCGTCCTCCCACTCTCAGGCAAGGTTTGACTTGCATCAGCTCTTGCATCACAAAGAATCCGCACAAGCTGCGTGTGCCCGTTTTGTGCAGCCATGAATAATGGTGTGATGCCTGCTTCCAAGTTTGGGCCGCCCTTGGTGTCGGCTGCAGATATCGAATCAGCGGCAACGGGCTTTCTCGTTGCTAAATCTGCCTCTGCTCGAAATCTGAAAAGGAGATGTAACATTTCCAAGCTCCCGTTCTTGGCAGCAGCATGCAACGGAACCATCCCAGTGTCGGTGCTTAGGTTGACGTTCGCCCTAGAAGCACATAAAACACGCACCACGTCCATGTGGCCACATTCGGCGGCCATGTACAATGGCGTGTCGATTCCTGTCGGTGGCACCGACCCCTTGTTCACATCGCAACGAGCTTCACACAAGAGTTTGACAACTCCAAGGTGACCACCTTAGCTGCCCACGTTTCCCAACTTGCAGACGCAGGCAGATTCTCAAAGAATGCACTGTCATGGAATCATAGATCTGACACTGTTGTTTACAAACATTTTTGACATACGGTGATGTGAAGGGTTGTGGCAACCGCAAGCCATTGTGCGAGTGAGGCTCACCATGCTGCAGAATAGAGTGGAGTTGTCTGCATCCCGGTCTGCTCTGCCGATGTTGGTGTCTTCGTTGGTGCTCCCATTCCATCCTGCCATGCTGTGTGCTGGCTTGCAAAGAGAAAAGGCCTTTTTATGCACTATCACAGCCTGCGAGCAAACATGGCCATGCCACGTCATGCCCCCAACTTAGGGGCGTCTCATGTTTCACTGCCACTCAGAAAGTGCTTCCTATTGCAAGTCACAGGACACAGGCCTTGTCCGCCCCAGCTTTCAGCAAAAGCCGCACGCTAATGGTATGACCTTGTTCTTGCACTTCTAAGGCAAAATACATTAGCAGCAGCCAGTAGCATTTGAAGACCACAACCCCATTGGTACAGTCCAAATGCATGAAGCAAGAAAGCAAGGAGTTGCTGAGGCTTTGCCAAGCTTTGCCAAGCTTTGCCATGCTGCCCGCTTGTGCTGCTTTGTGAAGAGAAAGTGGCTGCAATTGCTTCGCTTCTTCCTTCAGGAATTTCAGCACCAGCTGATAGTCGACGTCCTTGGGCATCACAGCCCGGTGTCCCTCTTTTGCACACTACTGCAGCAGCATCTGCCAGAAGTGCAGCTGTGCCACTCCCTTGGACTGGAAGCGATCCACGAGCTCCTCATTTCCGGCAGCCAGCGCTTTGGCGCAATGTAATGCCAGCTTCTCAGCTCTGATTCGCCATGTTCGTAACTTGAGCTGTTGCCGGAAGAACCTCTTCAGAACTTGCACGCACATAGAGCAGAACGAGCAGAACAGCCCTGTCGTCCTAGCAAGTAAAGCTCTGACTGAAGTCAGCATTAGTCAGCCATTGGGCTCTGTGCCTCTGTAAGCTGGTCACCGCCTTCTCTCTGCGTGGTTGTAGATGCTTCCGAAGCAGAGATCGCTGTAACAGAAGCAGCGCTGCTTCCTGGAGACTGTGTCGAAGCTTCTCAACTTCACGTCGTCCGTCACTCCTGAGGCAGATGTTCTAGCATTCTAGCTGGGTGGTTTTGCATCTTGAATGTCAAAATGAGCTCGGCTCGGCTCGTCGTTGACGTATGTTGGGGATTCGGCATCTGGACGGTCGGTCTGACCGGCGTCTCAAGACTGCAAGTTGCAAAGGTTCCCATCCCCAACCCCCCCCCCCCCCGCCCACCCAGCTTTTCCAGGCCATGCAAGCTTGCTTCGAAGCATATGAGTCCTTATCAACCGGGGACCAAGTAGCTTCCAGCTTTAATTCTGAAGGAAAGTGTCCTGCAAACGTAACTGAGCTATCGATGACAGAAGAGAGGACAGGGGCCGCAAAGCGGAAGGCTGACGATGCTGAAGGGATTACTGAGCAGATTATCCTCAAGGCTTGTGCCGCCTTTCTTGCCACGCTGGAGGGTGTAGAACGCCCCACCTGTGACCTTGAAGATGGACTGGTCGCCGAGATTGCTGGTTTGCTGCAGCCGTCTGCTATGACGACCTCACCGGGAAAGAACTTCCAGCTGAAGGCGTTAAAGCTGCGAGAGTCGAAGAGGTCTCTGTCATCAAGTCCATGTTTGTTTGGGAGGTAATCCCTGGGCCTAAAGTCGAGAAAGCAACAGAAGACAGAAGCGCGATGGGTGGACATCAACAAGGGCGACGCTTAAAGAATGAAGCCTTGGTCAGGACTCAGTGACTCAGGACTCGAAAACTCGAAAAGAACATAAAAGAACTAAAGAGACTCGACGAGGGGGCCCCAGGAGCTTGAAGGCCAAAGCTCCTGGACCGACTTCTTTGCTGCGCTGCCACGGCTGGCTTGAGAGTGCTGTTCACACTCATAACATCGAAGAAAGTGCCCAACGACAAGGGTAAGGGGTAAGCTGACACCAGTGTGCGAGAGATGAGGGGTGTGTGTGTGTGTGTGTGTGTGTGTGATGATCGGTGTGATGTTGATAGCCGTCAGGAAGGCACGCGTCCAGTTCGGAGGCATCTGCTTGTGGAGCTGCCATTTGAAGCCGCTGAGGACAGCGACAAAGTCGGACTCCTCAAGCGATCCTTGTACGGTACCATGAACGCCTCATTCAACTAGGCTCAAGCAATTGAAACGGTGCTCGAAGAGCTTCGTAGCTTGTCTTTAGACATCGCCGTAGCAAGTCTTGCTTCTAATATCGCGCTAGTCGTCAACTTGAACGTGCATGGCGATGATGTTATGGTAGTCGGCGGTCGCCGTGAACTCGTCCAACTTCAACACGATCTCCAACGACACTGAACAGTAGAGGTTCGTGGCATACTGGCGTGCCCTGGTTCAAGGCTGCCAGGAGTTGTTCACTTTATCTCGGTCCTGAAAGGTCTTGTTTCCTGGACAAACGATGGGATTGAGCTAGAGGCAGACGCGAGACACTGAATGTCGTGTTGGAGCAACTAGGTTTAGAGAAGGCCAAACCTGTGACTACGCCTGTTGTCAAGGCCAATTCGGGTGAATGCGTCGGAACCAAGATTATGCCGGTTGAAGCAAGCATGTACAGACAGATCCAGTGCGTGGCTTATCCCAACTACGACGCCGACCTCTACATCATCCACGCTGTCCAGGACGAGTGCCACAACAATTCTGTCTTTTTCAATTAGTGCAACACTGTCGAGGGTCCCCCCCATTGAGCCCTTCAGAGTTTGCTTTTATCTGCTTTTGCTTTGCAAAGCTTTTTGTGTAGAATTTCTTGGAATTTGCTTCAGCCTCTTTTTGACTGCAGCCTGGGCTCACCATAGACTGTAGCTCTGCTAGCTGCACCTCAGCTCCGAGAAGGGGACGGGGAGGGCAGGAAGCCGTTTAAGGCGCAATCAGATGTTTGCAGATCATTGCAATTGTGCAAGATGCATTGCGCAAGACATTTTGCAGTACATCTTCTTTAAGTTTAATATGCACTCAGAAGCCACCTCCTTCTCTCGAACGGAGCTCTCCAAGGCCTGAAGATGTTTGGAGATGCCAGCATGGCTTGCAGCTCTACGCACATCTGATGCACATTTTGACCCACGCGTGCTGTTTTTCGGCCCAGGTGCACTTAGAGCGAATCGCCCTGCATGCAAGATCCGATCGGCTGACTTGTCCTTCCCCCTGGCCCTGCAAAAGGGGCAAAGAAGCAAAGGCCAAGTTCGGCAACCACAACAGTGGCAGAGAACGTGATCTGAGCCTCTGAACTTTTCGCTGTAGCTTTGTGTGCACCAGAGCTGCCACGGCAGCGTGAGTCTGCATGCGCTCGGTTCCTTATGCCACCGAGGTCACTGCAAGGATCTGCTGCGCTGTCGACATCGCACTGTTTTACAAGCCTCGGACTGCTTCGACAAAATTTAAGCGAGCCGCCGTCTGCTTCGACAAGCACTGCTTGCTCCGCAGTGGTCCCCACGGACCCACGCTGCCTCCGGCAAACACGCGATGAACCGACTCAAATCGGCGGTTGTTCCGAGGAGCGCCTGAGGAAACGCTCTATGGCGACGCGGAATGGCTGAATTCTTAGCAGTTTCGTGTGCGCCAGATCTTCACCGACGCAGGGTGACAGCCTCGGCTGTTGGGGGCTAGCCACTCACAGCATCACACAACCATTGCATTTAATAAGCCCCGGCTTTGAGTTCAAATCCTGACCACAAGAGACCAAGAGCTTGTTCCCCTCTGCGATCCACTGTGTGATGGAGTTCCGATCATAAATGTGCCCATCGCACACGAGCACCGGATCCTCCATCGGCTCCAGGGAAATTGGACAATGATCCACGGGACGGTTGTGTGCGTCGAGGATCGTGGTAAACCTTCAACGCCAGCTGGATTGCTAATGCCCACTGTTATCACTGACCGAGATGCATATGCCAGATGAGCAACTTCCAGCCATCGAGCTTCCTTTCTCAAAGACGAGTGACGGGCAATGACAAAAACTAAAAGCCAAAAGAACCCAGAGAGTCTGAAGCTTACAGTGGCTTACAGGCTTTGGCGCATGCTGTGTTGAGATCAAGCTTCCAGATGCGAGCCATAGCGGTGGCGACCGCCTTGGGCTCGAAGCTCGCCGAGAAGTCCCATACGCGAGCCATGGCAAAGAACACTCTGAGTTAGAACCTTTATCAGCCTCCTGTCCCCTTGTAGCACTGAGCATCGAGCCTTTCAATCATTTCAATCCCATGAAAGGTTGAGAACCGAACCTGGCACCGCTGGAACCGCCATGTAGCTTTCGGAACCACGAACCTAAACCTCAAGAACCGGTTCCAAAACGTATGGCACAGACCACAAGCGGTCGCACAAACCCCAACATTTTCACTTGATGTTGGCGTAGAAACCGAAAGTCGAACCGTTACGTGCATGAATCTCCTTCTCCCTCAGCTATTCTGGACATTCTTCTCATCACTTTGTTGCTTGCTTGTTCCCTCTACCGCTCTCTCTCTCTCTCTCTCTCTCTCTGGTTTGCCTTCTTTCGTTGCTTACTTGCTGCTGTCTTTTCTGCCGATGTTCTTCTTGTATTGCCGCGCTCCATTGTTTCTTTGTTTCTGGCTAACTTCCAATTGCTTGGGCCTTCGCCGAAGATGTAGCAGCTCGTCCAGCAAGCATCCATTTTGAATCTAGAGCTGCTCTTGGGCATCGGCCCAGCTAAGAACTGCGGTGCCAGTGTGCGCGAGCCTGAAAGGGACAGACCAGATTCCCCAGCTTCAGCCGGGAACATGCCCCATGGGTGTGCCCTGGTGTGCCCAGCCCTAAAGTTCCAGGCACTGCTGTGAAGCGTTGCAGCGAGCGTGGGCAAGACTTTCTTGCTCAGCATCAACCTAGCACTCGCATGGACAAGCAACCGCTCCTCGCCAGCGGCAAACGGGGCCCGAGGCTTACAGAACGGCATACCAATTCGCATGTGCTTCTGAGCCGGCGACGCCCAGCAACTCTGCCGACATACCTTCACCTTACAGTAGCCCACAAGCAACTACCAAAAGTTGCGCTCAGTTGTGCTTGGCGGCTTTACCGATCGGAGCTGAGAGAGCAAAGCCCTTAAGCCGCCCCCGGCTTGTCAACTCGCCTCTCTCAGAACCACGTGTGACTCTCGCGCAGAGAAAGAATTAGGTCTGCGGCGGGCAAGGGCCCACTGCAAGGCAAAGAGGTACGTCCCTCGCACCACCGGCAGCGGCCAGCACTTCTCTCATGGTTCCGGGTCTGCTTTCATACTGCCACGATGTGCACCACGTACAGCTTCGGAAGACTCGGCGCCAAACCAACGCCACACATGGGATCCAACCTCGCTGGCAGGTGAAAGCTGCTCCGTATTCGCAAGACCCCCAGCTTCCCTGAGATGTCAGCGCAATGATGGCTCTGCTGTGACTGCCTGGTCCCATGATACTAGGAGGAGACTTCTCAGAAGACTTGCTCACTGCTCTGTCTGACCATTTTAGATTCAGCGGCACTGTCGCTGAAGCTCCTCACCATGACGACTTCAGCTGAGTTCCAGCCATCTTCTTGAACCAAGCCACCAATTGGATCTTGCCGGTTGCTACTTCGATATGCTTGCCATTGCTGACCTAGACGGCCCGCACCGCGGGTCAAAATGGGCTGGTGGGACTTGGCTAGAACGAAACCGCAAAGCTTCAGGCCTGTACAGTGCAAAGCTCAGCTGTTAGCTCAGCTTTTGCAGGGAGCGCTTCCAAAAAGCGTTTGGCGTCACGTGCTGAAGCGAAAGTGTCACGATGGGCATTTCCCAACGCACCCAGGGTGCCCTTAACACACCCCAAAATACTCTAATCCTCTTCTAGGATAGTTGCCCCTATTTTTCGGGTCTCCCATGGCCTCCCCAAATGAGAAAGGAAATGCCGAGAATAATACCATGTCAGAACTGTGTCACTGGATCAACGGAGCCTTCAAGCAGGAGCGCTTTGAAGTCTGAGTGCAACATACTGGTGCGATGGTTGTCTGGCTTTTGCTCAGAATTCATGACGCAAGCGCCTTCGGACTTAAACCTTGGAGCAAGCAAACTACTGTACCATCCAGCTTTGGAGGAAGGACGGGAAAATTGAGACCGCCTGAGATTCAGCGGACACATGCGGGCACAAGGCATGCGACACAGTAATTCTTGTCGCATTCACTGCAGTGCCAGTGTTGCAGGCCGGGTTCGATGTCCTTGACATTCATAAACGCTGCAGACCGCGTCTGCTTGAAAGTGTCACTTGACCAACCCATCGCACAAACCAGCGATCCCAAGAATCCCAGGTGCCTCTGAATCCAGTTCTATTTCTAATCTTCGCCAAGGGTTCACACTCACAGGCGCTGCAGGCCAAAACCTCCACGAAGCTGGCCAGGAAGCCCTGCGATTGCCTCAGGTGAACAAAATGACTGACGCTGCTTCCAATGCCGATGACGGGGTAGGGCTGGCTGCAACAGGCAGATTTAGAGGCCACTCAAACCTCACATTTGACCGCATGCTTAATGCAATTGAGGGTCAGCCTGCACAAATGCTGCTGAGGACAGCATCCTTTTTGGTAGTCGGCCGAACCCGTTGAGGGATCGAAGATTACATTTCGCTCCTGCGGAACAGAGGGAACATTCAGGAACGAAGCTGTCGATGTGCGAGGTTTCATCGCAACTGCGCCAATAATGTTGTTCACTGAGCACCACCTCATTTACGGCTACCTCCTTTGCCGCATTTTTGCGACTACATTTTCTTGTCTCATTTGTGACTAGACTGGACTACGTTAGGCTTGAAGCTTTCCAAACGCGAACAGGCTTTCAACACTAGGGGTTCTTACGTTCAGGCAAAAAGCTTCGATTGAGTTGTGCGCGATGTGCTCGCGACACGCCCGCCATACTACACCGTACGCGGACGTTGTTCCTCGAGCGGTGGTCGCATTTAGGACAGCATGCGCAGAAAGCAAGGTTCCCCATCAAAGCCACCAGTATGACACACAGGCAACTGCACCAGCCTGCAAGAGATGGATGGGGCTCCGGCGACAACAGCCCTAACTGCGGATATGCGGATACATTCAGGCAGCAGTAAAACTCACGCACGCTTGAAGGCTAGGGCACATGGTCGACGGGAGGTGCAGCCTGGATGGGCTGGTGTTTTCATGAGTGACATTTACTTTTCAATGATGTTTTGAGGGTGGGTTCCGTGAACTTCTCCATGGTGAATTCAGTGAACTTTTCACTGGTGATTGTGGGTGGGCTCAGTGAACTTTTTGATGGTGTTTGAGGTTGGCTCAGTCAACTTTTCAATGGTGTTTGAGGCGCGTTCAGTGAACTTTTCAGTGGTGTTTGAGGGTGGGTTCAATGAACCGTTCAATGGTGTTTGTGGGTGAGTACACGCGGATTGCCGAGGTAGCGCTATGCGAGTCTCAAGCACTTCTGTCGAATGACAGGATCTTTTGGCTTAACGTGGCTGTATTGGTCTGGCAGTTTGTGCTGTGACTTTCCACACACCTCCACGTAGTGCGCTGTGGCGATCTCTGGTGTGAGTTCGGACAGATCGTGCTGTGTTCAGAACGTAAGACTGACATGCCTGAGTTGGTATGGGAGCCGTGATGTAGTGAACGCCTGCTCCTCGTGGCCTCGACAGGCCTCGAGCAGGAGCTTCTTGCCATAACGAAAAACATTGCAAAGTTTTGAGCGGGAGCGGGTGTTTCGTGAACATGCGCGCATCCCTGCGTGGTTTCCGGCCAGAATTTGCGGGCGGGCTTCGAGCAGGAGCGAGATTTCTAGGGCGCTTTAAATGCATTTATTCTAGCGACATCCGTGACAAAAATCAAGCCCTTCTAAGGAAACCGAAAATGATGAAGCATGGGCGTTCTCGTTTGCGGCTACCCGGACCTCGTTTGCACAAACCCATTTTGCCAAATGAAGGATCAAGAAAAGAAGACCCACATGTTCCCAAATGAGGTGAGTTCTCAAGGACTTCGCAACTGGGGTTCTCGCCTTGATGCTTCGCACCATTGAGTCCACCCAGTCCGGCACGTCAGCCACACCAAGGCCTGAGTGGTCACTCTCAAGTGCAATCCGTGTCTGCCAGAGATGAGAGACAGAGAGACAGAGAGAGAGAGAGAGAGAGACAGAGCGACAGAGAGACGGCGGGACAGAGAGACAGACAGAGAGAGAAAGAGAAGAAAACACAAAAACGAGAGTGTGATTTGATAATCCAGTCACTTCCTAGATGCGGTGCCTTCCCACAGGCCGGCACCCAATCTCATGCGATTGTCCAAGGCATCAAGACCCGGTCACTTCATTACATGTACGTAAAAACTCCACTTGTCACTCCCTTCAACTTCATTTCTGCCCATTGTCTGATGCAGTAGAGGAGCTCTTGCAAATGCATCGGCAGAAGGTGATGCAATTCGGACCCAGCACCTCGTAGTCCTGTCAGCATGGAAACAGATCTGACAACCATGCTGGACTTCTTGGCACTGTTCAGGAAACACCCGAGGTGACATGCTTCATACAATTTCGGTCCTCTGTCGGCCACTCCGGTGCCAAGTCGATAACCAGCTGGTCAACGTCCTGGTGGAATGTGGGAGCTGATGGTACTTAATCTTGAGACAGCTCGGTCCTCTGCTGACATGGTTGTCACGCCCAGGCAGAGACTTTGTCTGAACGAATGCTTGTGGCAAGACTTGGGCGTGCAGGTGGTGATCCTTGTGGCCACATGTGACTGGACACACGTCTCTTTGTCATAACTTACAACGGAATCGAGTTCGGTTCGACAAACACGTGTCGCACATCACGCCAAATCGCGGCACGTTCAAGGCAGCCAAAGCTCCCGCTTCCGCCAATTCCAATCTCCGTGCCTCTTTTGGCACATGCCATGCAGAATTCCGATGAGCACTCTTTGCAGTGGCCTCCAAAGGCATACTCCAGTCCATAAACTTCCACGCCCGCATGGTAAGCGCCGCCGGCTCCAAGTAGCCACGTGACACGGTTCAAGAGGCTCACCCGCCAGTTGAAGAGGTCCTTAAGGCTTCCACACAACGGCAGTAAAGTTCTTTGCAGTCACAGTGTTCAGCGAAGGCACATACACATTCAAGTATACGAAGGACCACTTGTGATCTCGAACTTGACTCGCCAACCTCTCAACTGATGCCATTGCAACAGCCCTGCGCCATGGGCCGGGACATGGGCCATGACAGTGCCAGTTTCACCGGTCCTCTCCACGGCAGACCGTATGCTTGCAGCCAGCTGCAAGGCCTCACGGCCGTGGCTCAGGAACTCGGCACACTTCGGGGTCTTTGGTTACATTGCATGGCTTCTGGCAGACTTGTTTTGGGCCTCCGCAGCAGTGCTGAGATGCACCTGGCCACGCACATCTCAGCTTTGCGATGCTGCGTGAGTTGTCGTTGCTGAACCAGCAACGATGTTTCCAGCCTGCGTCGAGAGTTGTGCCAAGGTTGCGATGGTGAGTGTGGTCCCGCTCCCTTCCACCACCTCAGACTCTCGTGCGATGTCTGGCCCTCAGAAAGGCATCACACAGGCTCGGCGGGCTGCGAGAGTCGGCTCCGAAAGCCATTGCTCCAAGACCACCTGCTTAGATGTCCATTTGACAGCGAAAGTTCATAACTATATTCATCTAAATTCACAAGCGTAGCGAGCCTGGCGGCTTGATTCCATGCTTTCGATAATGGCGACACCTGGCTTGGCATCTCTGCTAAAGTACGTTTGTGTGTTTTTGTCTGCGGCCCAACCAGTTTGAAGCAACACTGCAACACCCTGCATCAATCGGGGCACGGTCGTGGTGAAGGTGAATCTCGCAAGCCGTCCGCGCATCAGAATAATGCGCTGTCCACACCTCTGCCTGCAGCCACCAAATCGACTTTAGCCCTGTTTTGTGGCACCAAGCGATCAGAAGCAGCGGAAAGCTCGTCAGTGCCTTCAGAGCCGGAATCGGATCTGGGAGGGGGTCCTTGCGGAGCATTGCGGAGCATGCTGACTGTTCTCAGCGGTGCGCTGCGTTACATTCATTACATTGGGCTGGCATCCTGCGCCTCCTCCCTCTTCGTGGGCTTGCTCTCTTTGCTCTCTTTGCTCGCGGTCCCACGTGCAGCCTGGATGGTCGTTTTCGTGACTAGGGTTAGGAATTTGGGATGATCTGCGGGTGGAGCACAAATACAAGCCGTGGAACGAGCTTGGAGGGTAGAGGCAGCAGCCAGGTTCCCACCGACGGGAGCAATTGAAACTTGCCACCTTCTGCGGAAAGGCATGCAGACGTATGCAAGCTGTCCAGAATCCAGATTCAACATTCAGATGTGTCACCTGAAGAGAGCTCTCGTCTGCTCCGTCGGCGGTGGTGGCCATGAACTGGAGGCAAGCATTCCTGAATTCAGCAATGTGGAGCGTGCGATTTTGCGTCTCGTCTAGCATCACCAGGATCGTGGGGGTTTCGGGAAGGCGCACGTGGGGGAACGTGAGCATGCAACCACAAGTGGTGTTGACAGGTCCCCAACAGCTTTAGCTTGACGTTCCTGCGGATTTCTCGCGGCACTACTCCAAACGTTGCGGTTCCTTTGTCTCCAATTTGTCTCCCACCTCCTGGATGCCCGTTTGTGTGCGACTGGTGGACTCATTTGTCTCCCATACTTTCTGGATGCCGCAGATTAGATTCACGTGGCCCAAAAAACTCGTTCTTTTGAGATGATGGGGGGCGGTGGGTCTCAGTTGCTGTTTGGGGTCGAGGCTGAGATATTTTGCTGCTGCGGGTGCTAAAGGTTGTTCTACCATTTATCCGTGACTTCTTCTTACAGAAACGTACGACAAAAATGTGGACGGATATGTACAATGCGTTCTTGGTTTTGGCTTTTTGGTGTGTATTAGACGTCTTGACGTTTTTCTCTTGTAGTGCAATGGCATGTGTTGTCATGTTTGTTGTTTCTTGCTGTTTCTATTGCTTTTGCTCTTTTTGCTGTTTTTGTTGGTTGTTGGTTTGTTGGTTTGTTGGGTTGTTGGGCTGTTGGGCTGCTGGGCTGTTGGGCTGCTGGGCTGTTGAGCTGTTGGGCTGTTGAGCTGTTGGGCTGTTGGGCTGTTGGGCTGCTGGGCTGTTGGGCTGTTGGGCTGTTGGGCTGTTGGGCTGTTGGGTTGTTGGGTTGTTGGGTTGTTGGGTTGTTGGGTTGTTGGGTTGTTGGGGTGCCAGTCCATGTCTGCTTAGGCTTCGCCCGCTGTGGGGCCCCCCGTTAGATTAAAGCCGCGGGCCCTTCAACCTGGACAAGCCGCAAAGCCTAATGCGGTTGGGCAGATGTGGCCAAATGTGTGGCCCTTCTCAGCTTCACAGTTGCAGCATTGTAGGACCCACAATGAAGCCAGAGAAACGGGCTTTCGACTTTGGCTCCGGAGAATCTGAACTCTCCTAACCACTTCGGCACCTTTCTGCTGTGGGCCCAGAAAACCTCTCTTGCTGACAAAGGAGCTTCATGGGTAACAGGCTGCAACGGCCAGGACAGCGTATCATCGGGCACCGGTCCTCACTCACACAAGCAGGGGCACACAACACAAGTGGAGATGCTCCAGTGAAATGCCGGGGGATCACCACCGTCACCACCTTCAGCTTTTTGACATTCTTGTCGGTCCAATTCGGACATGATCCTTGGTCCACGGCAAAGTCAGAGTCCAGCGGCCCCGCAACGTCACACGAGGCATGGCTAGCCACATGCACAGCGGAAAAGAAGCCCGACTCGCCCTCGATGCGGAACTCAAGATCCAGAGGGAGTCAAGGGTGCAAAACACCCTGCAAAGAGTAAAGGGGGAGCACTTTGGATCATTTGAAGCAGAAGTCGACGATTAGTCGAGCGACTGGACACGACCCACCTGAGCTGCGCAGCAGGCCTCCATGGCCTCCATGGCCCATCGGAGGCGCAACTTCGAGCGGCAACGTGTTTTGTCAAGATGCTGCTGCACCCAATCTGGGGTTCGTCATGTGTTTCATGTGTTTCATGTGTTTGCAGGGTATTGCCATTGCCTTGTGCTTATCATCTGTGACATGTGGATGCGCGCAGTGGTGAGAGCAGTTGCGCAGCTCGATATTGCATGCTGCATGTGCCCCTTCCTGCAAGTACAGCCACTGCTTGAAGCTGAACGCTTTCAAAAAACTAAGTCACGCGCAAACAGGTGCTTTTTGTGACACCCAAACCGGAAAGGGATCGAGCCATGTAGAATCTGGGGTGCCCACTAGTCTACACTCTACGCAGGGTAGTGCTGAACCATACACTGCACGTTATCTTCCTGTACTTTTTTGGGAAGACGAAGTCCAACGCAAAGGAAGGTCTGTGACAACCTGCAGGCCGTGGAGTGCGCCTCGTCGCAGCACTGCTGACGCCATTTGGGCCAGGCACAAGGCCACGGTATCGTCGGCACGAGACAGCAAGTCGCCCTTGCGCGAGGGTACAGAAGCAGTGCTTGATCGAATAGCTGTCAGTATTTTTCGTGCATGAACCTATTTTCTCATTTGCCGGAGAAGCCACCCTTGTGGCTACATGCCACAGGCACGTTTCTGATTTCAAGGGTCAAGTTGAAGTTGTGATATTATGTTTACAACGTGTTACATCAAGGCTGGCTTTGCACGATTCCACCAAGATCAACCAGACGTGGCCTTGCCTTCTGAATGGTGAGCGGCACCCGGCGGCACAGAGTTTGCGAGGAGCGCAGGCCCAACACCAACCTCAACAGATTCACTGCACATCCTTCATGTGCCAAAAGCCGGGACAAAAGCCCTTAACACTGTGGCACTTACAGCTCCGGGCTCTTCCCAACCAATCCAGCTCTGGCAGCACCAGCTGCGACCGCCAGTTCATCGACCTTTGTGTAACGCGTGTGTATCCCCAAGTGACCTACTTCATGAACTTCATGAAAGCATCACCGATCCTGAAGCACACTCCCAGTAACTACCCTTGCACGTCCAAAAGGATCCTGAATAACGAAGTATGAAGAAATACGGACATACCGGATTGTGGCACGAGCACATTCGCCTGTGAGACTTGCGACTTGCGCAACCGAAACTGGCCCAGGCCTACTTTGGTCCAACTTATTCGGATGACACCATTGGCCTGTACGCTTGTCTGGGAGTTGTGGGAAAGATGTCAGGTGTCCGGATGTATTGCTTCCGGCCGGAAAGCTTCAAGGGTAGGTCAGGAAGAGTCAAGAGTACTGGAGTGCGCGAATTCGGGTTCTGCAATTCAGCTCCCGATTCCATCTGGGCCTGGGCACCCGACGCCGTCTGAGACAAAGGCGACGACCTGCGAAGCTCCATGCAAGCAAAAGATCAGGACTCGCCTCGCCACCACTTGCCTCGACATCATATTTAATAAGGTCTACCTGCGCGGCAGAACTATGTGATTTTTGCATGCAGCACCAAGGCTTCGCATCTGCATCTGATGGTGTCCAAGCTTTTTCCGCTTCTGCGGCATCAGTCCAGAAATGTTGACGCCGTAGCATTTGCATCCTCCAGGTGCCCTTGTGGCTTCCCACGCTGTTGTTGTTGCAGTTGTTGCTGCTGCTGCCGCCGCCTGACGCCGCCAAGCTGTCACGTTCAAATGAAGTTTTCTGCTTGGCTTGCTAGTGTCGGCCAGTTCAAACTGTGTGCTGCGGAACATGAGTGGCACACCAGGCGGTGATGGCTTCCAGGGTGAAGGGCTTCTCTGCCACCCAAACGTTCATGGCCTTACAGTCTGTTCTTCTTACAGTTGCAAGCCGCCATGCGTTCTCTCAACACCGAGTTCCAGACAATCTTTTCACAGGTATTTGGGGCAACGCCTTCGTGGAGCATCTGCCTCAGCACGTTCTTTTGTAAGTTTCGGTCTCGAAGGGGAAATCCCCAAGTGTCTGCCAGGCTGCGGGTCCGGCTCACCCGATGCATCAAGGTTCTGCCATAGCACAGCATCGCCCGCTCGAGGAAGGATGCGCAGTCCCAGCTTGGGAAAGTGCAGATGTCCACCGCCATCGGCTTCTGGTATATCAGTCATGAAGACGAGAAGCGTATGGCTGCGTTGCTCGCCTCTTGGCCCATCGCTATTCAAATCTCAGTCACATGTCACGCCAGCTGTGTGGCTGCGAATGTTTTCGGACATGCGGCCTGCGTATGATGACATCCGCTGGGGTTCCTCGTGCGTGTCCATGTGTGGCCTGTAGTACCTCAAAACTGAAAAACTAACCAAGGAAATCACTTCCCGAGGTGCAGTAGGTGTCAGGCACAGCAGGGACTCCCAAGAACTGCCAAATATGCTGCCAGAGACACTGCCCTGGTTCATAACGTATGAGCTGCAAGGGCTCCACCCGTGCTTCATCGACGCCAATCACCTTCCATAGCATTCGCGGTGGCACAACTCACTACAACAACAGCTTACATTGCAGGCGCGCTATTGACGCTCGTGAGACTTTGCAGCAGCATGCCTGCGCACACCGGTTTGTGGCGCTAAGTACCGCTGCCAGCTCAACCTCAACGGCCTCCGCCATTTGCTCGTTCTCCATACGGAGCTGCTGGATCCGCTCCTTGCAATGAACACCAGTTGAACACCACCCTTTCCCCACGATCTCCGGCGACCGGTTTGGATGAAGGTCCAAGACGCTCGCGGGGTGAAAAGCGGCCACAGCAGGGGACAGGAGCTCGATGTGCGCATCCTTGGAGACAAGACAGGAATCGCCATAGCTGAGCACTTTCTACGCTAAGGCCAGGATCTTAAGAGCTCCTTGCAAAACATCCAAGACATCATGCAAATGGGGCGGCGTTTCTTGTACAAGTTGTGCAAGTTAGGAGGGAGCTTGAGGGGGGCCTTAGGTCAGAGCGGAGGGTGGGGGCACAGCTTCGGCTCAACTTGATTTATCCAAAATTCGCCCCCCAAACACAAGACCTTAACCATTGACCCAAAACAAAAGAAGCAGGAAACAAAAGCCCACACAAGTTGCGTCGTGCCACGCAAATTTAAGAGCTCTCGGCTCTACTGGTAGCAGCCCATGGGCCATGGGAGTTTGACAGTTTGACCTCTCAACATTTTAAACTCTGAGGCGCCGATCTCTGAGAAATTCCCCGGACGAAGTCCGCTGCAGACTGGCTTGAAAGCCTTGCCGGGCTTCACAGATTCGCACTAGCTCCTGAGATGACCCCCACCATCCGCACACAACAGGGTGTTGCCAGTGCCAAGCTCATGTCAGCACGCATGGGGAAGTGGTCCTCAAGCTCTGCTTTCTGGAAAAGGCCCTGCACCAGCGACACATCAGGCTCGCCGTCCTGGCAGCCGCTTAGAGCCCTCCTCTACGTCCAGGTTTGTGCGCTTGTGACTTCGTTACATCTCACTTTTGGTCCTCAAGCACGCAGCTAGATGTGAGAGGGAGGCCACAAAAGATATGCTGCCTGCTGCCTGCTTGTCTTGTCAAAAGCTCCACGCAGGATCCTGGCCTCAGTCAACCTCCGAACAGAGACGCAAGCATCATGTAGTTGCAGCCGCCCTGCCAGGTTTCTATCAAGCTTGCACTCAATCTGAACAAAGTCCAGATTAGGCGAGCAACTCGGAGCCGGCAGCTCAGCAAGCTTGTCATGCCGTAGCACCAGACACCGACGACTTGTCCTTCTGCTCCTGCTTCTTACACCGGACGGCATTCGCAGGGCCAGGAAGGCGCCGACGAGACAGAAACCTGACGCGGTGGTTCTCAGTTGACGTAGACACGAGATTTCTGTTGAGACATCAATTCGATGCTTGGACTCCCTTCTTGGGGAAAACCAGTGCCAAGGTGCTTCGTGAAGCAGATGACCTCCTTTCCGAGGGCATACATGGCACGCCACCATGCGGCCCATACAGCCTATGCGGCTGAAGGCGCACCTCAAAGGGTCATAGGGTGCCTAAGCAGATGCTGCCCAATGCCCTTTTGATCATTCCTTAGCCAAGCTTCCCCCCGTGAAGAGATACGCTGGATGGGCCAGATGGGCTTCGTGTCGGGTCGGTTCAAGGTCGACGTCCCATGATTCTGGGCACGACCAGCAAGCCACATAGCGAGCTTCACTCAAATCGCGTGGCATACTTGATAAATGTGTCCACGTGTCTGTGTACGTGCGTGTAGGCTTGTGTGTCTTTCACCAAGGAGAGCTGCACACGGCGAATCCTGCATGACCCCACCCATCACGTCACACATGGCATCTACCCGGCATCACTTAAGTAAAAGAGCATCATCAACACCGATGCAGCTTGATGAAGGAAGTGATCCCTACGTGTATATACATGCAGATATATCTGTGAACTTGCAGGTTGACTTCACAAAGCATTCGACCAGTGCATTCCTTTTTTTTGGGCTTCTTCAAGAGCGGCTCGGTCTCTGCAACGTGCGCAGCGTGCGCAATCTGCTCTTCCTGCTCTTGCGCATTGAAAGCATTGAAGGCATTGAAAGCATTCCTCGGGGAAAGTTGTGAAGCTCTCACTTTCGGATGCGACTGCCGCTGCATGCACATGTAAAAACCCAGGCCATGACATCACATCGCATACGTAATCAACGTCTTCATCTCTCAGCTCCGGGTAGAGGGGCGGGCACACATGGTTCAAACCTCATCCGGATGAATCTCCAGTGGTGCCCCGTGCTCCTCTCCCGAACCAAGGCTGCAGCACAAGTCATCCGTGACAGGTAGATGCGCTGAAGCTGCCGCGCTGTTCTCATATGCAGGCATGCGGTGGACAGGCCTCGTGCAACCGTGTCATCACAGATATCACTGAAAGATGACGTGCATAGTCCGGCCTAAAGTAGACCTCGCCAGTGAAACTCACGCCTCGCCAACCAACATGCGATGTTTGATGATGTTTGTACGCGCATTCCTGCCTCGTTCCTGTGCAAAGCTGCGGAGCTCTTCTCTGCGTCCTTGCATAGGCCCGAGCAGGATCACGACCTGAGGAAAGCAACTAATTTCAAGCTCCAACCCAAGAGGAGTTTAGCATGATTGTAGGACGGAAGGTCGCAACATGAGGCGAGGCTCGAAGTGCAAGCACCAGGATTGCAGACGCTTGCATGCACCCATGATGGCACACGACAGGACGGGAGGGAGCACATGGAACCGCAAACCTGACGTTTCAATCGGTTCATCAATGGGACACCTGACAGATTGGGAACGATCTTTGGTCCAAGGCGGCCCTCAAGTCCCCCATTTGGACAATACAGGGGGCCTTCTACATTTAGTCAGTTGGTAGTAGCTGCATTGGAACGGCGTTAGTCGGACTCTCCGTGTGTTTTCTGGATGTCGCAAGTCGCAAGAGCCTGCGAATTCCGCACGCAACGGCGCAAGCCCACAACGTATGAGAAAGCAAAGACAGAAGCAAAAATGAGAACGCGGGTTCCCCAAAGCTGCCAGAACCGCCAGACACTGAGACGCATCTAATCGAGGCCCTGGTGCCGGCTGCTTCCCCCATTTCTTGCATTCCTAATCTATGTTCGGTGTTTCGGCTTGGCCGAGCCTTCCCCAATGTTCCCCAATTTTTGCACTAGTCCACTGCTCCTGCCAATTACAGCTCAACTTAGAAGTCGCAGGATCAGAAACCACGGAACAAACAATCTTAGCAAAGCTGCTCTCGAGACATTCCTAGCCACCACCTGACACAACATGGCCATGCGTCTAAATAGGAAACAGGCGCGTAAAAAACCTGGTTGCTTCGTGGACTTTTGGAGAGTTTTCTTTTTATTGTTTTTTTTTCTTTTTGGGGGGGGGTGGGGGGTGCGGGGGTGTTGGCTACGACCATGTTACTCAGTTACTCTATTCATGCCCAAAACACCGGTATTTGCAGCGTTGTTGCTCCTCTACACAACATGCTGCACCAGCATGTTTGACGTTTATGTAACAAGATGCACTGTCACAAGGCTTATGCGAAAGGTGTGTCGTCATGACGCTCGAACCACTAACAACTGCCAGCAGAAGCAACATAAAAGAACAAAAAACAAAAACGCACAAAACTGACGCTGGTGTGCATGTCGTAAAACATCGTAAAAGCCATGGTTTTCTGTGCTGGTTTGCCGCCATTGCTGCCTTTCACTAGAACGCCCGAAATGAAAGGAGTGACATGTATAGCTCAGATTTTTGTAGTGTCACAAGACAAAAGTTCGATTTGGTTTTGACAGTGTTTCTTGCCGGGGGACGTCCGGGGGGGTTGGTTGCGACCATGTTCCTCTATCCATGCCGAAAACACCGGAATGTACAGCGTTTCTGCTCCTCGACACAACATGCTGCACCAGGATGTTTGCCTTTCACTTTCTGTAACAAGACGCGCTGTCACAAGGCTTATGCGAACGACGCTCGAACCATTAACAACTGCCAGCAGAAGCAACATAACAGAAAAGCATCAGTAACAACGCACAAAGCTGACCCTTGTGTGCATGTCGTAAAACATCGTAAACTCCATGGTTTTATGTGCTTGTTTGCCGCCATTGTGGCCGTTCACTAGAACGCCCGATTCGAAAGGAGCGATGTGTACTTTTGTTCTCATCTTCAGATTTTTAGGCGAAATGTTATTGCATGTGCAGAAAACGTCGGTTTTAGTGGGTGTTTCAACACTAGCCCATGCTTTCCTAATTCTCTGGTTGTCGGCTTAGCCATGGAGTTGCGAGCACAACGTGCCCAAAACCCGAGCGAAAAGCACGTCGCATGCTTCAAGTCTCCAGGTTTTTTGTGCGCCTGTGACCTCTAAATAGGGGTGTGTTGCGGTGTCCCGGCCCCTCTGATTCTTGCATTTTGTCTCACGGAATTGTTTCATGCGTATGTCGCCGACCTGTCTTGGCATGTCTTGGAGACATTCTTCAGACAGCACGCTTGTCGCAGAGAGGGGTTGCCTCAACGCGAACAACTTTGTTACAACCCTATGTTCGCGGCCAGAGGCGTCCCCAAAGGTGTGCCCTACGGCCGTAGCCCTCGCTCAACTTCGACAGAAGAGACACGGCCGCCCCAAAAAGACTCAAAACGCCCATGATTCACACATCTCACCGTTTCCTGAGGGCCTAACACATTTGTAGGCAGCACTTTCACCTGAGCAAAGCTCCATGTAAGAGTCCACAGAGAACACACTGCACAAAACTAATTGCGAGCCCCGGAGAACCAAGAAATGTGTAGCCCGAGATTGTCAAATGCAAGATCGAGTTGAGGCTTTTTCAGCCAGTGCATGCAGGCTCTGCGGATCTCCGTGGTTTGCCTCGCAACTTGTGGCCTGCAACTTCCGATTGGATCCTGCTCGTCCGATCTCGTGGGCGGATCTGTTCACTTCCAGTTCGCGTTGACGTTCGTGAAGGTCGCAAGCTTGGGTTGTTCTTGAAGAATTTCAAAGCTCGTCCTGGCTGTCCGTGCCGAAGGCGGCCTTGTGACTGCATGGCACGTGAGCACCCCCCTCTCCCTGCCTTGTTCTGTGATCTGATATGTGTTCTGTGTCCTCCCAGCCAAGCTGCCAGGAGCGCTGCCCCGGCAACGGCGGTGTCTCCTCGGAACGCTTGGCACATCTTGGCACTCTCCCCCGGTGCTCTCACAGTGGCAGCTTTCTTGGGCAAATTTGGGGGTCACGCTGCAAACATCAATGCCAACATGGTCAAGGTGCCCATGACTTGCCTCCACTTGATGGCACCTCCATCATTCACACAGAAGGCTCTATTTTTGACTCACAGATGTCCAGCAAAATGTCTGAGCCAGATACCATTTTCGTGGAGATATCGCTGACGAAGAGCTTGCTCAACAGACTCGGCAGCACGAGACAACACCTCCGAGACCTTCTTCTCCACTGTGGCCCACTCAATCTCACCATTCTCATTCCTCCGCGGTGTCTCTTTGGGCAGACGGACCACGTCAGGCTCTCAAGGAGAGATGTGGGAAGGATTCCATAATATCATAGACCGCATAGACCGCATTCTCTGAACTCCAAGACTGTCTAAGCATGTCTAAGCCTTTTCATTCCGATTCTTTGGTTTCTCGACCCCGCGACATCTCACGACCAATTGCAGCATCATGCATCCCAGGAGCGACAAACCGATTGAAGCAGCGAAAATCTTCAAGGCTTCTGCGAGGTGTACCTGTGTTCGACGACCAGAGCAGCATTCCAACGATCAAAGTCTGCTCTCTTGCCTGGCTCAGTCCGGCTTTGCCGCTTTCTCTGCGGCCAGTGCCAGAGCTGCGTCTACTACGGCTTGATCCGGACAAAGCGCTATAGGCCTGCCGTGGCAGCTCGAACTCAAAGCACGGGCTGTCACAAGTGGCGAGCATCGCCTCGCTCAGCTCAATGAACTTAGCCTGCGCTTCTTCTGTTGGGTTTTTGTCCTCGGCACACGCCAAGCTCGACCAACTGGGGAGAGGTTGCCACCTCTGCCGCTGTCCCTTTGCGACCGTTGCATTTTCTGTGCCCAGTCTATACCGAACTGCAGCAATGTCGCCGGATGCCACTTTAACGAGGCCTTGAGGTAGGCTTGCTTGATTTCACGCTGGCTGGCCGACGGCTTCACACCAAGCACTTCATAAGGGTCTCTCACCGCCCGTGCCTGTGCACAGCAGCCAACCCGTAGGAAGAAACACCAAGTTAAGGATCCCTACGACCAGTGGACAGGTGGAACCGGATCGTTTAAGGCCTCGAACAAATCGATCACAATCGCTGCAGTCACTGCTTTCACTGCGCACCGCATCAGCCAATCCGCATCAGCCAGTCCGCATTGCGAATCCGCGGAGCTCAGTTCAGAAATAAGTCTGATAAACCTTGATAAGGGGAGGAAAAACCGGGGAATGGACTGTGTGCTGTGAGTCAATGCTGGTGGAAGAGAGTGCACTGGCTTTGGTTCTAAGAACAACACGCCCGAAACCACAGGCTGTAGCAGTGCTGTATAGCTATAGGCTATAGGCTATAGGGGGAAGCTAGGTGTGAAAAATTAGAAGTGGACCTCTGCTGCTGCAATGCAGACACTGCTTGAGCTGCTAAAGCCTAAGAAGCAACAGTTGGTCTCCAGCTGCAGATCACGCAACAGCAATTCATTAACTCACGGAACCAAGGGGAGATTCCCTTCTAAAGGGCCTGTTTGGGCTTAGCCGTATTTGGGGAATATCGACCCTTGCACCCCACCCTGGCTCCGTATGAAAATTACGGAACAAGCAAGTCGAGCAGGTCATGAGTGAGGGCGAATAAGGGCCACGCCGTGAGGCTGCAAGAGAACCCTGTAAAGCCTGGCTGCCCACTCAAAATCACGGTCTCATTGCACGCGTGGCAACACACTTCCTCGCGCACCTGCCATCTAGCTTCTGCGCAAAACGCCGCACCAAAGCGTTGCGACCTGAGCAGAGGTAAGATGATTTGCAAGACGTCTTGCAAGTAAAGCCGTCGACTTGTTGAAGCAGCAACATCTAATAAGCTTTCTGCGCGTTACCCTGGCCGTCACACGACCGCACTCGAGGAAGCCAAGTAGCCCTGTGAACCTTTGAGCATCCACGGGGAAATTGCTCAGAGCAGCAAATCAAAGCCACCACGGGGCGCCCCACTCAGAGATGCGACCATTGGTTGCTTCTTTTCGCACTTGTATGAGTCGGGACTTTGGACCATCTATGTCCTGACCGGAACTTGCTTTGGCGCCTTTGGCCGACGACATGACACAGAGGGAATGAAACATCGCAATTTGAAAACAGCAACTTTGCGCCGTTGCGCCGTTGCGCGCGCTAGGTGCACACAGAGCCGGGCTCACGTTCTACGCCAGTGCGCCGTACGCCGTTGTGCTGCTCTGGTCGCGTGTGCACGCGCGCACGCGGACACATGCGCCGTTGCGCCGTTGCGCCGCGCCGCCGGACCGGCCACGCGCCTTTTGCCGTCAGGTGAGCTCACGCCGTTGCGTTATGCTCTTCGTTACGCCGTGGCGCCGTGCTGCTGCGGGTTTCGTACATCGCTGCGGGGGGGGCGGGGACGCCTGCACGGAGCAACGGAGCAACGGAGCAACGGAGCAACGGAGCAACGGCTGCGCCAATGAGCGGGGCGGGGACGTCGCACGGAGCAACAGAGCAATGGAGCAACGGAGCGAGCGGTTTATAGCAGACGCGTTGAGCACCTCCATTGGAATGAAATATCAAAAATATCAACCAAAGCCAGTCCTTCCCAAACTCCTTGATGCTCTGCATTCTCTTGAAGAGAACCTCGTTCTTTGTAGTGACCATTCCAGCTTCGCCAGCTGTCATCACCTCCACAGTATTGCAGGTGCAGATCCTCACTAGCGCTAGGCTGCCTGGCACAAGTCAGGAAAATGACCGGAGAGCCTTTGTAGGAAAAAAGGAAAAAGCAGCAACATCTCCGATTGTACCTCTGCAGCGCGATTGAGAAAAGAGATCTGACATGCCCACTCTACCAGTCTACTAGTCACTCTACTATGTGCCCCGACTACACACGTGCGCTGCCTGCACGCTCTTGGTCCGAAAAGAAGGCCGTGTGGGCGTGAGCCGCATCCTTCAAGTTCGAGAGCTGGGAAGAGACCGCAATAAACGCGATTCGTACGTCTTTTGCTTTTTGTTGGGGGGTTTAGTGGCCTGCCTCAACCAAGGCCGCTCCATTCTGGGCGCACAGGTCCCTGATCTTCCGAAAGTGCGGAGAGATAATGCCAGCAATGTGCCTTACTTCGGCCAGAGGCCACGGACGAAACACCGTGAGCCAAAGACTCTGTAAACCAGGTTGCACGAGAACTACGGCTGCAACAGATCCGCGCGCGTGTCGCTTAAACACCATGTCCAGGTTTTGCGGGCAAACCTGGTGACCAATTGTTCGAGATGCGCCGAGCAATGAGCAACAAGCAACAAGCAACAAGCAACAAGCAACAAGCAACACCTCTGGCCTGCATGTACTCTGGCTCAATGTCAACCCACTCCTCCGCGGAGAAAGATCATTTGCTAAATTTCAAGACTGCTTTGAACTCGAAAAGCCGAGCTTCAAGGACTGCCCCAGCATTGGAGGCAGCTACTTGAGTGGCAAAGAAAGTGTTGCTGGGGATGATCACGACCTGACGGCAGACTTTTCGGACATGTCCGGACTCATCTCGCAGTCTTCCTTACTTCCAGCCTTGCCAGCGACCCCAACACCTCGCATGGCAATCTCCAAGGCCACTGTGCCAGACCTCAGATTTCCGGATCGTCGAGGTACACAGCAAGGCCACGGCGGCCGCGTGACTTGGGCAGCTGCGTGGTTGCTAGTGCAAATGGCGCATGTACCAGCTTGGCAAAGGCAGTCTCGAACTTCCTGCCCCCAAAAGTTCCCAACAGCCCCGTTGAAACACGTGCTCCGCTGTTCTGCTTTGGGCGATCCTGGTGAACTGATTCTCGCTCAGCGGGCGCCCGCTGGAGAGAATGTCCCGTGCCCCGGAAGCGAAAGCATCCACGAAGTCGGGCTCAAAGTCCAGTTGGAACATCGGCCTTGGCCAACATGAAAGCGAGAGCCAGGAAAGCAAGCACGTGGACTCAGCTTAGCACCCGGCACTTTGCGTGACGTGCACTCTGAATCGATGCTGGCTGCACACCTGAGATCAAGCCAATATGATCTCGACCATCACACTTGGGCAAACCGTAAACCCAATGGTTTGTCCAGGCTAAAGATGCAGGTGTGTGGCCGCTTTGGTGGCTTCTGTTCAGGCGATGAAGGCAATGCCCCCCAGGTGGTCTTTGCCCTGGCTGCTTGCCACACTTCCTTAAGCATGCCATTGATGGTATGCTTGTAGGGCTGTCCATGCATCAGAACTCTGCCGCCAAAGGCGCGCCACCGAAGTCCATTGGAATGCCAAAGGCGCCCCTATCTCCAATCGAGCGCAAGACCTCCCCTGCCAGTGAAGGCACGTGTTCAAGATCTCAAGTGCAACCATTCGACAGCTTGCCTCTGCAAAGTGTGTGGGAGGGCTGACACAGGATTTCAGCGTCAGCTCCTGTTGCAGTCAAAGGGCCCTATTATGATTACTGTCATTTGTGACAAACAGAGGAAGGCTGCAGTACGCAAGTTCGCGGGCAGAACTCGCCTCGCACCCACGCGCAGTCTCCATCGACAGCCAGAACCTGCACTGAACAGCGCAGAAATGTGCAGAACGAGCTTTTGTGCGACGACTCCCACGACCACAAAACGCAAGCAACCTCACCAAGCTTTGCGGCTGCAAAGCGCTGCAGCCGTTCCTGGATTGTGAGGAACCGTTCCTCAGCCGGAATGCTCTGTCGAACTGGGCCCACTTTCATCTGGGCAAAGTGCGAGTTGTGTCTCCATCGCATTGTGGGGCGGTAACCCTTCGAGGCCACGAAATTCAATTAGTTCTCATGCAAACGGTCTCACTCGCGTCTGAGCTTCGACCGGGTGCACCTGCCCAACGAACACATCAAGAAACACGTGGCATAAATACAAACAGCCGGGCCTCACACACAGTGAATCTGACCTCCTGGCAAGGATCGCTGCTCAAGCGAGCAAACGCACACAAAGATCATCTGCCAAGAGGTCTCCTGGCCATCTTCCCGGCAGAGCCGCGCAACTTTGGCGTTTGGAAGCAGCTGCTGGGAGCAAGCGAAGCGTTGGATGAAGCTGCCTTGACTACGCAGACCAACATTGATAGGATGCGAGATGGGTCCGTCAGGATAAATTCTCAGCATTTCAGGACGAGGCCGCGCCAGTGCCAGGACACCCAACTCTCGTTTGGAAAAGACAAGCCTGAAGCAAATGTGGTGTGATAGTGCTGCTGCAGCGTGGCAATAATAATCACTTAACTGCACGGTGCAAGTTGAGTCCGGCGGCTCGGCCGATCTAGGCCAAGGCCCGTCCGTGAACTGTGCCACACGCCCAGCATGGACATGTCCTTCAGCGTTTCACAGAACACGATAGGTGTCCCAATGCTTCAAGGAGGGATCGAGCCCCACGCATAGTCACCGGTTTGCATAGCCTTGATCCAGCCCTGCAGGCGGCACGAGGCAGTTGTGGAAAGCCTCATAAGCACTGCAAAAACGTCTCAGCCTTCCATGCACTCATCACTTGCTTGCATTGATTGACATCACGTGCTTGCAGCACTAAATCACTACAGCTTTGCGTCGCGGTGCGTGTCTATTGCCTCCCACGCAGAGGAAGCATTCGCCACATCTACTCTGCAAATATCCACCACCGTGTCCTGCCAGCATGAAAGGCAAGGCTTCAAGCTCACTGGCGTCAGCCCAAAGGCGGTGTCTTCTGGGCACTGCTCCTGATCAACGAAGCCTTAGCTTTGCAAGCACTGTCCCTGATAACACCGATCCAAATGATGCAGCATACATGGGCAGGCCAAGCCACTTGTAACCCCCAGAGAGGCAGCTTCGAGCAAAGCCCACGGCATTGATGTGCAGGGCAACGCCAGCGCTGTCGTCACCCGAACTCCGCTTGGTGCCAGAGTTTCAGACAAGATCGCCTTGCGGACAAGACTAGCTGTGGGCATCGCTGCATCTACCATCTCTGGCTTGGCTTGCACCTTGCCCTGAGGCCCTGCAGCTAACGGCTAACAGCGTAACAGTTAGAGCTACAAGTACAAAGGGTCGGACCCATGGATACTCACAAGCCAGGGGCTGCCCAGCCAACTCGTGCCTCATTCTGCGACTGATGCCGAGTGGCCCGAGGCTCAACCTGTAGGTGGAAGCCTGCATCGATCAACAAATCCAGTCCGAGGTCCTTCCAGATTGAGGCAAAATGAGATGACGCCCACATGTGACCTGCAAGATCATCGAGTCCTCCAAACCAAGTGGGATTTCCGACAAAGAAATGAGGTGTCTCACGCCATGCTCACGACAAAGGTCCCTCAGTTTCTTTTGGTTCTCGTCCCGATGTGGCCACGTCCCAGTTGAGTCCATGGCAACAAGGAGCACCTCCAGCCCCTCCTCTTTCAATTGCCTGAAGTACGCCACACTGTGAGCAGTCCCGCCGATCAGTCCAACTCGCTTGAAGGTGTGCGTCGTGACCTCTGGCAGCAGTGCAGCCTTTATGACTCCATCTTGGTATGAGGATGCCATCTCGAAGGCCATCTGGATATTCCTGGCCAAAAGGTTCTTTCGGATATGCATTGGAAACGTATCTTCGAGCGTTTTTGTTTTAGCCCAAGTTGCAGCAAAGGTTCGACAGCGGCATCCTGTGCGTTAGCATCTTCAGACAGCCTTCCCGCAGCTGCGCTGACATTGAGAGCAGCTCGAGGCACGCAGCCAGGGTCTGGTTGGCTCGGCGCGCGTTGAGGATCGTAAGCTCCTTGATGCGGGCCACATGTGGATTGTACTGTAGATAGTCCACTTCTGGAATCCCAACCAGGACCACCAAGGCAGCACTCGAGGCGACCTGCAACACGGAACGAGGAATCCAGCATCCACATCAACTCACGGAGGACATCAAAGTACCCGGACCCAAGCGAATGCCAAGCAGATGCCAAGCCCCAAGCACCTGGAGAGCCACCTGGAAGCTCCTTACATCATGCGAAAGTCTGCTGCTCCTATGCCCTGCAGAGACTTCCAACTCACGTGCACAGAAAATCGAAGGGTCGAGCCAGAAGTGCACATTCTGTACATTCCTAAAGCTACCGCAACATGTTTTCGGAGCCGGGGAACTGCTCGGTGCCAGCACAATCGAAGACGAGCTCGCAGCCCTTGCCGAGGTTTTGCTTCAGCTGCGCGGTGCAGCCCTCGCTTGGCACTGCACTGCTGGCTCCGAGGCGAAGGGCCATCTCCCTTCCTCGGGCCCCAAAAACTTCGTGCATGGCTACGTGTCGGCAAGGTAAACGACTGCCTGCAACAATTTTGCCAATAGCTGCTCAGCGTCGACCATTTATCGGCTCCACCACATGCACTCTTCGGGCTCCCACGTGCTTCAGCAGTAACAGGTGGCACAAGCCAATGGCCCCAGCACCCAGGATGCAAACATCGCCATCCAAGGCATCAAACATCGCTGCTTGACTCAACTTCAGCCTCTCGCGGCGCGCAGCACGCTCTTGCGCTTCACTTGCACCATCCTACACCTTGCCACCTTGCTGTGCTGTTCCATGATAACTGTTCAGGGTGCCGTCTGCTTTGCTATGTCGCCTTTTCAGGAACTCAGGGCTTCCCCCAACTTGCCGGACCAGGCGAGGAGAACACAATGCTATTGTTGTTTCTGGCCATTCCTTGTTCTACCTCTGTTTGGCCAAGGAACTACGACTGCATCGGTCACAGCCGCCCACTGTCGAATCAGCTTCCAACATTGTTGGTTAAATTTCATGGGTTAAGACAGTGCAAGGTATTGGAATGGCCTACTAGGCCTGTCGAGAAATGTCGAGAATATGTATAGTGTCCGCTAATGCTGTTCAGGGGATTAAGGCGACAAAGTCCCGAAAAAGCTGCTGCACCAAAAGATTCAAGAGAGCCACGAGTGAAGAGCCACGGAAAGCGGTTCAGTCATCATGGCCAACTCCAGGGGCACATGCGAAGGAACGCGCACCAGTTGAAGCGTACTGACACAAACCTGGGTTAAAGCAAAAGTCTGGTCCACATTTATCCGCAACGAAGGCCTCACCGTAATCGCACTGCAACACACTGCAACCTGGACGCAAAGTCCGCGAAACAGCCCCGGGTCTTCCCAGCGCCCATGAAGGTTCCGCTTTCGCACAGGTGCTGTTTTCCTCTCAAAGGGATGCAAAAGGGGGACCCTCGTACTCTTCTTTCTTTGCGCTCCGAGCCTCTCATGGACATCTTTGAGCTGAGACATGGGCAAAGGGGAATCACTGCCACACGATCTCCAATTGACCACCCGGAACATTTGTTGGCATCTGCTATCACGCCGGCCTTGGACCCCGATGCTATGAACGTGTTGATTCTTACAGAATGGTCTGAGTCTGCTCTTATGTCTAATTTTCAATCCAAGGGCTGGCTCGTGTCCCATGTACATGGGCAGCGGCGTCTTGAAGGAACCCAGACCTCCATGGCGAAAGTAATGCCTGGACACGGTGCGCCGACTCTGAAGCTGTGAAAGTCCCCGAAATGTCAGCAGCAGGACGAATTACGAGGCCAAATCACACAGGCAACTTTGCGCAGGCAATTGTACAGGCAAGCCACAAGTCCGAACCACACAGCCCGGCATGGGTGATGCGTACCAGGACTTCTCCCTCTAAGGGTACAGGGACCTCCTCTTTGACCAGGGCCATTCTTCCTGAGGCCACTGAGGCCACCACAGATCGCAGCGATTCGCAGAGGCATGGCAGTGGTCACTAATTCAACACTCAAGGTCGCACTCAAACGCTTCGGGGGCCCTGGCCCACATCCTCAAGGACTGCCAAACGATTGGCTGTGCGCATGGCATTGCGCACGTCACGAAAACAAGGTCGTTGAAGCTTTGGGGCTTCATGCTTGAGCCCAGAATGGCCCGATACTCCAGACATGCCGCCGACGTGGATTGCTGACATGGCCAAAGACTAATGGCAAAGATGCAGATGGGAACGCTCCGCGAAGTGAGGGGAAAGAGTGGAAGGAAAGCAGAATTTGGCAGCACCTGCGGCCCGGCGATGCAGGTCGGGCTTAGGGCGATGCTTCCGGCCTAGGTGCTTGGCCGGTGAATTGGTGACTACTTTGGATCTTCTCGAACCAGTTGACAGCACTTGATGATCGGAAGCTCGTACAACTGGTAAGTTCGGTTCTGGCGCAATGGCCTCGCCGATGACCACTGCTGCTTCCGGCGACTGCCATGCAAAGCAAAGAACATTCTTTCTTCATGGGTACATGAGGTATCATATGGCAACATGTTCGGCAGCGTGAGCGGCAGCATGCTGCAGCTCACGCAAAGTTCTACTCATTCTGGAGTGCTTGTTAGCTCTTATTGGCAGAATGCTTTGGGGTTCCTGAATCAAAAGAACAGGCAAACAAAGAGTACGCAAAGGTGCCCTCCAGCGCTGCGTCGCTCCACTTCGGTGCACCGTGACCTTAAGGGATAAAGGCATGAGCTGAGCGCTGAAAACTTGTGCGCTCACTGCTGGCCTTTGCGGAGGTGAAGCGAGCACTTTAAACTAGGCAGGAGTGGTGGCCCCGCGCCATTTTTTCCCAATTGCCCGGATGCGGCAGGTCAAGCAGAGCCCATGATCACAAGCTAGCTCCTCAAGAGATCTGCAAATGAAGTTACTGAGTGCTTGCAGACAGCACAGAACAGCAGAACACGCACCTCCTCATGAGCCTCACAATTCGGGCCAAGCATCTTCAGCCAGGCTGCTTCTGCGACCAGAGTGACCATGGCAGCCGTGTACCTCTCTGGACTCACAGAACATCACAGAACCCACTAGCCAGAACACACAGAACTCAATCTTAGTCACATGTTGTCATCTATGCCCTCGGCGCACTGCTGCTCAGCCGAATCCAGCTGCTTCCGCAGAGATGCCGAAGAACTGCGGCGAGTTGGCGCAATGGGCAGATCGAAAAGCTCCGGGCGCTGCATCCCGAGGCAGACAGAAACATGATGCAAAGAGGGGTCTCGATCGAGACTGTGGTTTAGCATTCAGTGGTCCCTAAAGAAAGCATCGTGCGCGTTAAAAATGCGCTTCGCACGCCTGCAGTCTTTTCTGGCTCGCTTGAAAAACTTGTCTTGCAAGCTCGATCATGTTGGGAACTGTCGGCTGCTTTTGGATCCGCACGTGCGCTTGATTGTTATTACAAAAACAACGCTTGCTTTTCGATCCGAGAATCTGTTTCGCGAGATTTCAAAGGACTTCATAGGACATCACCGTCCTTTCTTCACAACTCTTCACGATTCTGCCTGTAAAGATCCGTGCAGGGATGTTCATGCGAGGTTCTGTGCAGTCCTGTCGCTGCACAGGCCCAGAACCTCATGCTCTGGCACACTTTCTTCTTTTCTTGGCATGTTTGCAAGCCTTCGGCCCCTGGAACCAATCTCGCGCGCTTGAGAATACCAATCTCGCCCAAACGCTGGAAAAGGCCAACGTCGCCTTCCCTCTCCTGATGCGGCGTACGGGGTCCCTTTCACCGTCCCACTCGCAGGAACAGCGAAAACGCGATCGTATGATAGTATGTGGATGCTTTCCTTTGAGTTCGTCCCGCCAGGGTTCAGGGCTTCGCTGGGCTTCACAGTCATCACTCCTGTCCTTCCTTCTCGGGTTCACGCTTTTTTGCCAGTGGGATTGAGGCGGCCCATGGTGGTCCAAACATGTTCGTGCTGAAGTTGTTCTCAACGTTCTGAGAAAAAAAAAACATGCCTGGTCAGCCACTCATTGAGGTTTACAGTAACTGACAGTGAGCGGGTCTCTCCCTGCACTTTCGCTCCGAGCTTCCCATTACCAATCCTCCCAGAATTGATTCCATGGGGCGAGCATCAGCAGCATCAGCAGCACACCTCCCTAAACAGCTGAGCTTGGAGGATCTACTGTGCTCATCCGAACCCATCCTGGCACACTCGAAGGACTGCCCCACGTTTTTCTTGTCTTGTCCTCTTCATAACCCCGTCGGCACATGTCGGCACCTGTGCAGAGCATGGAGCCGCGCCGCCGCAGCTGTGACGCAGGCTTCAGACTCACGGAAGCCTCGGGCCAATTCCACATTCAGTCGCAGGACCTGAGCTATCTGAGCTGCAGTTGAACAGCGCCACAGCAGGAGTCCACAGCAGACCACATGTGCAGAAAGCAGGCCACCGAGCAGCCTCGCAAAGCTGTTGCTCCACTTTTCCACACTCAGACTCCTCCAACGCCTTGGTGTGTGCCTGACCCAGGGAAGTACACATCACATTGCATGCCCTGCAGTGAACGAAATACAGCGCGAAATCTTTCATTCCACCTGCCCATCAACACTTTGATGGCGAGAAGTGTCACGAAGTTGCACAACATCAGTTCCTGCCCTTCTGCTTACTTCCCACTTCCCACAACTTGAATACATGTCATGTTGTTACCGTACAAGCCCCACGGCCAAGCAACCGAGCCTCCAGCTCCATCTGGGCCTGCTCTACCCCGTGGCCGGCCAGATGCATTTCGTGAGCCGCAAGCGCTACTGCTTTGCGCAGGGAAATCGTCTCCTGGGGTCACTGTCGAAAGGCTGAAGTGTGTTCTGGAATGTTCCGGACACCTGTAGCCAAGCACTTCAGGCCAAGGATCGATTAACATGGCTTCTTCTTCTTGGGCAAGGGATGTCCTCAAAAACTTGGCACACATGCTAAAAGGACCAAGGAGAGAATGCTCCCTGCGCTAATTGATCTGAGCAGCTCAGCCACACGTGCTGCAACCAGCCCTGCTGGAATGAGCTGAGCCTGACTCTCTTCAGCATGTGTGATGTCAACATTGCGAGATAAAGTAAAACAAATTTCTGCTGGTTGTTGCTTGGGAACCAATCCCTGGTTTGTGCAAGCCCGCCCGCATGCCACACGCCTGCCCGCCTGCCCGCCTGCCCGAAGGCCCGCCGCCCGCCTGCCCGCCCACCGTGCGCACCCGCGCACGCGCACCGCCCACGCGCACCGCCCACGCGCACCGCCCAGGCGAACGTGCACGGGTTGGCTCTGCAAGGACGAATTTGTCGAGCAGAGTCCTGGATGTTGCTAGTGATCGAAATTGATTGACATGTTTATTATAATTATTATCGCTCTCCAGGTATCTCCAGATGGTATGAGGCTTTGTTTTGGGCCACGGAGGTTTGCGGACTAACCCTTAGCTCTAGATTCTAGATACCAGAGCCCTGGACCAGGGTTCAGGGCGTTGAGATGCGTTGAGTTTCTATTAAGATTGAGAGGTTACAGCGTCCTACGAAAAACACAAGGAGAGACCAACCCCCCCTTTTTGCATCAGGACTTGAGACCAACCCCCCCAATAGAGGGTTCGGGGGTGTGATTGAAAAAAGTTCTTCTCTTGCCACGCTGTAGAACCTTGCAAAGACTGCAAGCCTTATTCCTACATCCGTCGTACAGACAGCCATCAACTCATCCGCTCAAATTTGCTGCAAAGGCCATCCCCACTGACCTCCTCTGGTGAGCGCAGTGGCGCGCTGCCGTTGTCAAGCTTGTGCTGGGCGTTGATGACCAGGCGATTGCAGCGCATCACCTGGGAAGATCGCGAAACTGTGCTCTCTAACTCCGCCCTTTTGCACACAGCTGCGCCTGGTCGGGCCCATGCTCCAAAGCTTTGTAGCCGGCTCAGGCACGCAAGGAGAAAGGATGGAGAGGCATGTGTGAACAAGGAAGGTTTTCCTTTGGAGGTTTTCCTTTGGAGGTTTTCCTTTGCAAAGAAAAATTAAATGCGCGCTTTCTTCGGTGACGTCCCGCGCCCACGAAGGCAAACTTGCCCCAAAATCCTGCCCGCGCGTGGGCGTGCGTGCGTGCGTTGGTGCCTACGCATGCGCATGCGCATGCGTGTGCATGCGTGTGTGCGTGCGCGTCATTGCGTGTGTGTGCGTGCGTGTGTGCGTGCGCGTGCGCGACACACAGACGTGCACAATCGTGCACACGCGCACGTGCACGCGCACGCGACTTACACACACACAGACACACAGACACAGACACAGACACAGACACAGACACAGACGGCACGCACAGGCACGCACAGGCACGCACACATACGCGCGCAGACGCAAAGACGCACAGACGCGCACACGCATACAAACAAAAACTAACGCAAAGTGCTGGTGGTGTAGTTCCCATGGTTGCAGTGCGAAAAGGGAAGTGTTCCTTTCCGAAGAACCCTTCGCAGTGTCTTCGGGAACAATGGAAACTTTCCATTGCTTTAAGCATGAAGTCTGTCGGCCTGCAACTTCCTGCGACCATATGCCAGCAACCAGGAATGGATAGTGCGTTGCAGCGACGTTCGCCGATGAGCGCGGCCTTGCAAAGTGCAAAGGAGGCCGGGCAACAATCGCATAAGAATCACAGCAACACGTAGAAGGCCCCTTCCGCCGTTCCACTCAGAGGCCCCGGCCGACCGTCGCAGCCGCATGGGGAGCCTTGCGCCGGCGTCTCTGCGAGCCCCAGCTCAGGAAGATCACTTGCAGGAGATTACGGCGTGCCAGCCGGCTCCTCGCTGCACAATATAACCCGTGCGTGCACATTCTATTCATTCCAGTCTTTGCTCTTGTGCCGAAACTTACAGTTGCACCGAGAGAGAAGTGAGTGTGCCCGTGCATCAGAGCATCATCAGAACGTATCAAAACGTAGTGTCAGTGACTGCGAACGTGCGTACGTGGGTGACTGGAAGCCTGCGTGTTTGCGCATGCTCTTTCTGGTCAGTTCCACTTCCTTGGTTCTCATCTACCCGCACAAACCATTAGGAGTCCCAGCAGCTGTCCTTGGTTATTCTCGACTTACTCCATTCGTCGAAACCACAAGAGCCGAGAACCAAGATTCAGATGCGGCGTCACTTGAGCACATCAACTCGCGCCGAAACCCTGGAACCCAGACTCGCCAACTTTTTTGGGAATCTTAGTGCCGCAGATGTTCGAATGCCGGCTGACATTGACGTCGCGCGCGTGTGCGTCATCGCAAGGTCCCTACCCACTACTGTACCCACTTGAACAGCTTAAGCCGCACTATTCAATTCGTCTTTCCAATCTTAACATGTGCACGCGCTGTCATATGACTACACATGTTTGAGGAGCACGGTTTCTGCTACGCATGTGCTATTGTGTTGCTGACATAGAGCAGCAATCCGGGCTCTCAGCATTTCAAGTTTTTCGATTGCTGGAGCACCTGCGCTTCCTGCTGCAGTAGAAGCTATTATTTCTCCCACAAGGGGTCCGTAGCTGCAGAGGACACTGGCATTGCTGTTAGATCGTGAGCCTTTAGTTGTGAGCCGAAGCCCTCGACTTGCGTGCAGTTCCTTGGAACCATATGTTCGTGCCCCTCCATCGAGGGCTGCTTGTGCGTGTGTGTATCCCTGTTGCCAAGGGCTAGCATCGGATTCAGAGTGCGAGATTTTCTGCATCGTCACGCTTTGGTGTGTTGAAATCACTGGTGAATTGTTTGTCGAAAATCATATTGAGTCTGAGCGGGAGGGTGTAAGAATCTTAGTGTGTGTTTGTGTGTACAAAATGTCGCTTCATGCTGCTTTGCCAAGTCAATGCGCCCAAGCATCTGCCAACGGAGTCGACGGGCTTGGGCAGCGCTTCTGCGCCAGTGCCGCAGGTGCAGCTTCAGCTGACGCGAGCGAATGTCAGCGACAAATCTCCTTATATGCAGCATCATGCAACTCCAAGTGTGGTGCTGCATAGAGGCACATTTTCAATACCGGCTTGGTATCACAGGCATGTACTAGTACAAATAGCAAAGAGAATCGCCAAACTTGCAAACTCGTGTGTCAACTTGTGTGCAGACGGCCACGCCTGGAAACAGAGAGTCGCGTACTCTTCAGCAACCAGAGGAAGCAAAGTCCTCAGTTGCATCTTGCAGCTCTTAATTGCAACTGTTGCAGACAGCGACAACGGCACACAGAAAGAAAAAGGCTGTTCGCAGTGAGAAGCGCTGCCGGGCTTTGGGCTTGCTGGCAGCAATAAGAGCTGCATGTGCGGCAACCGCAGCATTCCAGCATTTCCAAACTTCTCTCCTGTTGTCATTTTCAAGGACATGACACAACAGCAATCCACAGCATCAAACCTCTGTTTCTGACCTGCCAAGGTATCAAGTTGACCTCTCGCTACTTGCCCCCTGCCCCAAGCCCTTGCTCTGATAACGGCAACGCGGAGGTGCAGAAGCCTGTCACGGAATTCTTAGGAAATTGGCACTTTTGAGTTCAGCTGCGAATGAGCTGCGAGGAGGGAACTGAGAAGCAATCATTTTTTGGCAAGGATGACGTCTACCAACCAAGAGCATGACGAAGCATTTCAAGCAGATACTGCCCCATGTCCTCCAGTCCCTTGATTGTTGTTCGCACCACCGAGACAGCCTCTCCTTACTGCTGGGCGGTGAGGACCAGCCAGCAACATGATCCGACATGACATCATGACATCAATGACATGAACACACACAACGAAAGCTTGGCTGCCGTCCCCGGCCATGGACCGACTGCGCTTTCGCAACCGAAGCAAGCTCCGCCATGCGCAGAAGACGAAGGGCTGGGGAGACCGGCGCCAACTGGCAAGACGCGTGGCAAGAAGCCGCCACAGCCTCAGCATTCGCATTGCAATTAGGAGGGCTGCATGATGCAGTTGACGCAAGTGACACAAGTTGACATAGGTGCATGTTTCTATCCAGGGCGCAGAGGCGCACAGCGATGCCAGCAGTGCCGTTGGATCACTGAAGCCCTTTCTCGATTTCAAAGCCCAAGGGCACACACGCCGACTATGGCATCACTAGACTCCTAGAAGAGGACAGAAGACACGGCAAGAAACCGTTCCTGAGTTGCGCCAAAGCATTGGCAGCAGTGACCGCTCGGCGATGCTTGCAGAAGCCCTTTGCGAGCGCATCTTGTCGAGCACGCACCCAAGTGAGAAAGCTCCAGCCGCGGAATGCACCGACGCACCTGACAGGGCAAGAAACAAAGCCGGACTGTAGCTCACCATGATGCTGGAAGGCGAGTGAAAATCTCATTTCCGGCCGTGCCTCTCGCGATCTTTGCAGCGCACAAGAAATCGCATATCTGGCCAGCCCAGCTGTGAGACACACCCCGTTTGTGGCTGTGTTGGGACAAGCCTGAGCAGAAGCTGACACATGATTCTACGACAGCCGTGCAGGCGTGTTGAGGCGCCTGAACCAAGCATGCAAGACCCCAGCTGCCAGCCTCGCGTGAATGTCAGGGGACATGAAGCGACACAGATATCACAAAGGCCAGCACCCCAACAGACTTCAACACACCCAACCTCTGCCGCCGGAGTGAGCACAGGCGCCGCTCCATGGCGCCCATGTTGCCGCTGACAAGGCGCGGCCCCACCCGGAAGTCGCAGGAGTCAGCCCAAGCACGCAGCATCCTGTGCAAGATTACCCGCAAAATAACGAAACTATGAAAGAAATATATAAATATATATACACACACACTTTTTTTGCACGTTTTGTACAATGTCTCACACACGCAACTCTTCGTCTTCGCCGACCCAGATGCAATCATTGGCCAGGGCTCTGCGTCAACAGTCGCTCTTCCGCTTGCCGGTCTTCCTGCTGAATGCTACATTCCGACTGATGAGCACACCAAAGCCACAAAAATGTCCACCTTCGCATACTGCCAGCAATCCAGGATGCGCTTCGTAAGCCGTGACGCTCTCTGCTGCTGAACATTCACCTCAGATGTGCATCGTCGTCAGATTGATCGTGTTCCTCCTAGTGAGCGGATCTTGCACAAGCTCCAGGATGTCACGTCTCGCTGCACAGTCGAACACAAACACATGCAAACACCATCCGAGGCGCTGCTTGCTCACAAAGCCCCTGAGTGGCTGCACAGCAGCCCTGAAATCCTTGGAAGCAGCGCTTTAGCACCAGCCTCGGTGCACAACGGCCGTTTCCAAGCCATGAAAGTTGCCCTTCATGGAAACTTGAAAGCCACAAAACCCTGCTCTTTGGCCCATGGCCGAGACCTGCTCCGAACTTGTTCAACCTATACCCACCACCTAACTCTCGACACAGATACAGTACCTTTTGACCTTGAAAGGGTATCCCGCCTCGTGCGGCTTTAGTTGTGGCAGCGCACAAAAAAAAGGCGTCGACAACACTCTGCGTGAGGACGAGGCTAGATCGACTAGCTCAAAACGAAGCGCAGATCTTTTCTGTAGCGGCGGAAGCATCCCATCCTTTGGCTCGGAGTGCGGTCGACCTTTCGTGATTGCGGCCTGAACCATTGTAGCTCGAGTTCACACTTCCTCGCCGATAGCTCCTCCGCTAGCTCCATAAAGGCCGTCAGCTTCCTTGACTTAGCAATGCCTCACTGTACCGGATTCCGCATGTGCACTGTACTGAATGAATGAGACGATGAGACTGTTTTCACCTAGAACCAATGAAGCCCAGATGGTGGATTTCTACAGGTACGTAGATCAGGCGTCCCTGATCTGTACCATCCCAGCTCATCAGTAGCTTGTTTGGCAATGGCATGAATGGGCCACCGCCCCCTGCCTTTGTAATAGTTTATGCTGTAGTCCTTGGCGCTGCGGGTTGGACGACTTTCAAAGCGCTTACGCATTCGGACTTGCTGGTTTTGAAGCCGAATCTAATCACGGTGCTCACGCCGGATGGTGGGAATGAAAGCTCTGGAAGTAGGAGCTTGATTCGACATGTCCGTCTCGCATGTCGGTTTCCGCAAAGGCGCCCAAAGCCGAGGCGGGTCACGTACCGTTAACAAATTGTGTATTGAGTGGGCTGACGCTGTCCGTTGCCTCGTGAGTCGATTAGTCACGCTGGTTCACGCCATTTGCTCAAGGTGCTCGTAACCTGGATTTTGAAGGCCGTACTCAGTGGTGATGCCAAGAGAATAACGAGGCAAGAGTTGCCAGGGAATCGCCCGCAACCATCCGAAACCGTGTCTGCGAACCATGGCGCATACCGCTGCATCCTAGGCCTACGCTTCTGAGGCCAGCGGGGTCTTCTAAGCGGAACTTGCGCTCGAGCGCAATGACTCGCCCCTACATGCGTCAACGATTCCAGACCTGCGCCTTAGCAGCAAAGCAAACCCAGGCCGAAAGCAAACCCTCGCTTTTGATTCAAGCCCTGAGGTGGAGAAATGCCGAGTCTTAAGCCAACTGTACACAGCAAGCGAGACTCAAAACGATCCACTCCCATCCTGCAAGGCCAAAGACAAGATGAGGTCCCTCCTCAAATCAGGCCAAGGTCGACCCTACATTTTGCAGGGCTGCGGCGGGCGGCAAAGAAAAATGTCGAAGCTAGCATGAGGCTACCCCCCCCCCGGCTCCAACCGAACCTTGCAGTTCTGCAGGCAAAGCTAGATGCCTGCAATTGCAGCAAACAATACTGAACTGCACACGCGTCACTAAGCAACATGCCCAAGGCTGTAGACTACACGCAAACAAACAACATGCCGCCCCGCTCCCAGTTCCGCCCCGCGTCAATTCACACAGTTGCTTCAGCAGCCCTACACAAGCAGGCCCAGGCCCAGGCGTGGATGTCGACAGATGGAGACCAACACAATTCGAAGAAGAGACACAGAGTTCATCAGAGTTCCACGGACACATGCGCGCGCATGCCCACATTCACGGAGAAAATTGCAGTTCACTCAGCATCGGACCTCCTTCGGAGACCGTCAGCACGTTTCTCCTCCCAGTCCTGCACAAAATAGAGAATGTCAGGCGGAGTTCAGGGTCCAAAGGACATGTGTCCTGATACGCGCGGCCAGCATAGTAGCGAATCAGCGGCTCTCGGACCTGAAAACCAAACTCATGGAATTCCTGGACCGAAAAACCGCGATGGGCCCTGGGATTCGATTTCCAGGTGTCCGTGAGGTTGTGGGCTTGCATCCCATGCACCCCGCACCCGGACTCCTGCCTTTTGGGATCCTTGAACGAGAAGTGAATGCATAAAGAATGCAAGAACCATCAACAAATCGGACCCGGTGCCGAGGCGGCGAAGTCTTGGATTGTCGGAATTACTCAATGTTTGCCCCCTCAATGAAAGCCCTTCACCCACGCGGGCCCCAGATCAAAAGCAATCAGGCAAATTGCGCTTGTGTCTCCATCCATCACATTCTCACAGCTTGCGAGATTCATTTTGACACGCTCGCGTCTCAAGACCGAGACCGAGAGTCCGTCTCAAAATGTTACAATGTTGTTGAGATACCACTTCATGCAACGCGCCCACAGCACCAGCCGACAGTGTCATGTCCAAACGCAGCTTCCATCTTGGTCCCGCCCCAACAGGCAGGAGGAAAAGGGGCGCCCCTGACTTGTGCTTTAAGCATTGACTTGGCAGCCTTGCACCCCTTCACCGCACGGCTCTATGGAGAAGGATGGGAGGCGAAACGAAGACACCTAGACCTGTCGGTTTTTGCTTTGAGGAAGCTTCTCTCTAAATTATTTTAAATTAGTTTCGACTAATGTGCCTCTTTGGCGAAAGCTTTGGTTGACAAGCTATTTACCGTTGACAGAGGGGTCCGGCGGCAAGGCTTCGGGATGCCGGACGCTTCGCTTGCGAGGGGCCCCTGTCTCTTAAATTAACAAAAAAAAGTTGGATGTTGGACCGATCGGTTACCCTGCCGTGTCTTTGTCACTTGGCCTGGTGTCTGCTTCCGAGAAGCTCATTGTCTAAGCCCTCCACTTGCTGCGAATTCTGCTTCTTGCGGCTTGCTTCTGCCGCCTCCAGCGCCAAGCCCATCGCATGGTCCTGACCTCTCAAGGAACTTTTGCGTGATGAGCACGAGGCAGCTCAGCATGTTCAGCCAACTTAGCTGCCCTCACCTGCTGCAAGCTCCGACTTCAACGCCGCCACAACCGCCTCACCGCTTTTTTGTGCAGTGCTGATCATAGCCTCATTCACAACTCTGCGACTTCCCGACTTCCCGACTTCCCCCCCTTGCCTCTTCACGCACAAGGCTCTCCTTGAAATGGGCGCTACATGACTCTATCGGACTCTATCGGGATCGCCGGCATGGTAGCGTGCAGCCCAAGTTGGGCTCCTGCAGTGTTTCCAGGCGCTGGCACAGCTCACGGAGCTCTGAAACGGCAACATGTTCCTGAGAATCTGCTCGGTCGCACCTGGAAAAAGTGCATCATTTGGGGCGAAGAACCGGTATCTTGATTCCACCCCAACATTCTGCGATACTGCCCCGCGGCTCACTTCAGCTCGAGTAGCTCCGAGGTACTTCGAGCACCGATGTACACCATGAATGAGAACAACATGAATGACAAGAGGCTGGTTTCTAAGTCGTCGCCGGAGCACAAAGCTGCGTTTGTTTTAGCTTCCTCTTCTTCTGCATCCAATCTTTCCAACAGCTCCTTCTCTCCATGCAGAGACTCCTTGTGCGTGGCAAGTGTGTAATCCTAACAAGGACACCCCAACGCAACAGGGAGATTGCAGTCAGCCATGGCCTGCAAGTCTCTGGCAAGCGTAATCTGCGCGGCCTCTTGCGCGGCAGCTTCCTCAACACTGCCACGCGATGGTTTGCCGCAAGAAACCTGACACCAAGCCGGCCTCATCCTCCAGGACGCGAACGTCATCGAGAGCTGCTTTGGCTCTCTGCACCTCGACGCGCAGCTCTGCAGCCTCCGCCTCTCGGCGCGCAACAGCCAGCTCCAGCTGAACGGCAGCTCCCTGGCGAGCGGTGCTGCACCGCCAAGCTTCAATCAATGTCTCTTCGTCCACCCGGCATCTAGTCACCTCCCTTCTCGGCGCCTGCACGCGCTCTGGAGCCGTCCTTGCTGCACGGCGTTTTGTGCGTTGCTCCTGGCAAAGACTGCATTGGCAGGTTCACGGCGTGGACCAGCAATCAGATGTCCTGGGCCCACAGCTTCAACCGCCCAGGCGAGTGATGGAGCTCGCAGGCCATGTGCTGCTTGGGGTGGCATTCGGCTAGAGGGACTAGAATGCATGTGGGTTGCATGCATTTTGTAGAGTGGCATTGGCAGAAAGGCTCGTTTGCTGCGGACTTTGGCAAAGACCATGTGCCAAAGTGGAACAGAGCCACAAACATTATCTGCGGCGCATGAAGCTCTGCCATCAGGGAAGCTGCGTTGCTGTGTCTGAGGCTCGCCATGTTTTGAAGGGTCGCATACCGCGGCGCCAGAAGGTTGTGGTAGAACATGCCTTGCACTCGCGCTTGCACCGTTGCAAAAGCGACTGTATAAGTACGCAGTAAGCTTGGCCTGTCTTGTGCCCACTAGTGAAGAGCAAACTTCACGCAACATCACTTTTTGACAGTGATCGGCAAGCTAGGTGACCCTAAAGAGCCAATAACATCTGGAGCCTTGGGTTTCATGGCCAGCCTAGGTTTGCCATGGAGGCAAACAAAAATGTGTATGAGAAAGAGTACCGCGGCCTGAGCTCGTGCCGCAATGCAAATGTCCTGCAAAGCTGGCAGGGGCCTCAAATGCTGAGCACATGTGTGCGGCTAAACACAGCTATTCGAGGCTTGCGCATGTGATATTCGTCGAACTTTGCCTCAAACCGATCGAGGCTAATCGAGGCTCGAGCGGTAGCCCGAAGTGACTGGATCTGGGCACGCGCGCAACAAACGTGATTCACTGGCTCACACACTCGATGCGACTTGTGCTTGAAAAATCGCAATCGCCCCCCCCCCACCCCCCAACCCCACCCCCCCCCCCGCCCCGCGGCGCGCACACGCACGCGAGCAACGGAAGCTCCCTCTGCATGCGGGTTTCTTTGAAGGCCTTAGGGGCCTCAACAACCTTCCTGCTGCTGTTCAACTGTTCCGTCTTTGCTGGACCTTAGCCTCTGGACTTTTCATCTTGGACTTTTGATCAAGACCTGAAGGATAAAGATTTGCTATATTCGTGATTTTTGTCACGCTTTGCCTGCCTTTATGGAGGACTTAGTATTGTGGCATCCCGCTCAGGGGCGGTAGTATTTCCCAAGAAGTGGACAAAATGAGCTAAACTCACCGAATGGTTCCCTTTGATGCAACTGCCTGAGACGGGAATGCGACTGCGCCATGTTCCCCGGTGCAACATGAACTGCACGAGTGGCTGTGAGCGCCCAACTCGTCAAGCGTGTAGTGCACATCCGGCACCTCGCACAAGAGCAGGAAAGAGCCTCACTTCGCACAACCACAACAAACACCACACATCACCACACACTCTTTGCTTCTCCTGTTTTAGGTCAGCCGCCAAGCTCCAGCACTGCTCCCTTGGCAAGAACTGGAAAGAGTCATCAAGATTCCGAAGCACACGACTTATGAATTTATGAATATGCAGCCTCTGGGATGCGGAAGAAGAGAACGCAGTGTTCCTTCGTCAGACCCTAATTTTGCGACATTCTGATACTTCGCCATGATCAGGCATTCAGCGCAGAGTGCACATAATTTGCACGTGCTCGATTCTGGATGCAACATGGAGTCGAGGAAACTTTTCAAATTCGCGAATTGCCGGGATCTGCTGCATCATGCTGCTTGTGTTACAGAGGGTGGGCCGCACAATCCACGAGTCAAAGGGATTCGGGTATTGAGAGGTTGGGGGTTGGCCTGGTTGCCCTTTTCAGCCAACACATCTCTGTTCGTAGGATTGTCCAATATCTACTTTAAGGTCTGTTGGCTTGTTGCCCGGTCAACTTATGTCCCATGTCTGTACTTTGAAATCCAGATGCCAAGCAGGTGGAAAACTGACTAGAGTGACAGCCTCGTAATGCAATTTTGGGGGTTCCCTGAGGGGAACAAGGCAAAAAAACGATGCCGCCCCGAGGAAACGAGCCGCGAAGGGACGAAGGGCTGAAAGACACAAGCGGAAATGGAAAACAGTAGCGGGTTTAACACGCAATTGAACCAACAGGTTGAAAAGGAGCGAGTGGCAAAAAACTAGGCGAAAGAAACGGATGCAGGGGAAGAACAAGCCAAAGAGGGGTCTGCATCGGAACAACGACCATTGGCCATGGACACCTGAGGCAACAAACAAGGGGCCCGTGCCCTCTTATACATGGCCTGTCAACGGGCACCGCACGCCTTCCTGCTAACTGCTAGTAGCTGCCAGTTGCGACAGCTCCGATCACCCTGGATAGCTCGACAAGGTCCTCGTGGTGCTTCAAGACTTCGCATTCTCGGCCTGCGGGGGGGCTGAGTGTTTACACACTTTGACAAGGACATCTCACCGCCTTCCAGCTCAGAGAGCGCTATACTGGTCAGACCTGCCACGCGTTGTGGATGCGATTGGGATCTAAGCTGCATTCACACGAACACCCCATCGTGGGGCCCAGGCCTCGTGGATAAACCTCCGCAACTTCACAAACAAAAAACAATAAAGTGCGCACGCGCACCCGCACATACGCACATACGCACACACACACACACACACACACACACACACACACACACACACACACACACACACACAC